GTGGGTGATGTGCTCGCGCCGTCGCTCCACTCGCTGTCCAACTCGTTGCCCATGTCTGGAAACTCCACGCCGAATGCGCTGTCGCCGTATCCGTCTATGACGGGTCCCGTCAGCCCGGTCAACTACCGTCGGTCACCAGGGCCGAGCCAGGCTTTGACTTTGCCCAAGGCTCCCCAGATTGCTAACGAGATGGAGCGCAATATGGTGGTGGAACGCATCCAGAGTTTTGATACCTTGGGCGCGCTGCCGGAGACCTTCCAGTTGCCGTCCACCGTTGTGCTGAACCGGTATCTGTCCACGTACTTCAACTTGTACCACCATCATCTGCCGTTCCTTCATCAGGAGTCTTTCAAGCCCAACTCGACCTCCCCGCCGCTGTTGCTTGCTGTCCTCTCAATCGGCGCTCTGTACACGTTTGAGCGCGAGCACGCTTTTAGCCTTCACATCGGCTCCAAGGTCTTGGTCAACCAGTTCTTGCAGCACAAGGAGAACTTTGACTCGCGCAAGTGCCCCCTGTGGTCGATGCAGAGCACTCTACTGAACATGGTGTTTGAGAGCTGGAGTGGCGACGCCAAGGGACTCGAGTGGACTTGCTCCATTAAGAGTCTGCTAGCCAACATGGTCGCTGGCAATCGCTATCAGTACAAGCTGCGGACGGAGGCTCGCCAGGGCGCCTCTCCATCCCGTGAAGAGTGGATTGAAGATGAGTCCTGCCGCCGGACTTATTTCGCCGTGTACATCTTCTTCGGCATGCTGACGCTCACGTTCAACCACACCCCCGCTATGAGCTTTGATGAGTTCGACAACCTGGAGCTTCCGTCGTCGGAGTCTTTGTGGAACCTCGACGCCGCCGATGAAGAGACTTGGCGCCGCAACTTGGCTTCGTCCGGCACGCTCACTGTCCGCGAGGCGCATGACTTCCTCTTCCAGGGCGAGCAGACCCGCTATAGTGCCTTCGCCACTCGTGTCCTCATCAATGCTCTGTTCTTGCAGGTGTGGAATCACAAGCGCAGTTTCGAGGCTCTTCAGGATGTGGTGACCGAGTACAAGCTGCGCCTGGCTCTGGAGACCTGGGAGAGCTCTCTGGACGTGTGCGAGCCGGAAACGATTGTTGTTCCCCTGAGTACGCCGCAGAAGGGCCACCCGCTCATCTTCAACTCGATGGCGGTGTACCGCAACACTCGTGCGCGCCTGGAAGTTGACCTCAAGTCCATCCAGGAGGCCATGCGCTACCACTCCTCATACGAGGTGGCAGCCGCTATGACTGTGGCTCGCGAGAAAGTCAAGCGATCGCAGGAAATGAACAAGGTCGTTCAGCAATGTTTTGAGTGCATTGAGATTGCTGCCATTCAGGGCATCAACTGGGTTGCAAAGACCTCCGCCACCAACTGGAGTGTCGAGCACCCTCTCTGCGGCCTGGATCTGATGGTCATCCTGAGTCTCTGGCTCTATCGCCTGGAACATGACGACGAGCCCGCGACTGAGGCGGAACTGGCCATCTACAACAAGGTGCGGAATTTATTCGATGATGATGCCATCGACGCTTTTGGGAAACTCAGCTCCACCGTGGCCCGTGTATGGGGTAACATCCTAGACGGTGTGGTGGTTTGGGGGTAAGTTTTACTTCTTCTCCCCATTAGATTGCAACGCTAACTGTCTTTATAGAATTACCAAGTTGATGGGGGAGTCGTTCAAACTGCACTCCCAGGCCCTGGTTGGCTACGAGGACTCGCTGCGAGTCGGCAAGGACCAACCGATCCACGCGATGCCGACCAAGACGCTTGCTAGTGTCGGCACCGCCTATTAGGTCACTGACCTATTCAATCTTTGCTTTTTCCTATCACTCCTTGATTTCGGGTTTCTTACTCTCCTTTGTGGACGCTTTCTTTGGGACATTGGGTTTTTGTTTTTTCTTTTTGGAAAGGGTCGGGAATCCATGGGCAAGCGGCAAGGTGTCTTGTTGCGTAATGCCTGGTGGTGATTCCCGGCCGGTTCTTGGTTATTTGCATACTTCCCCTTCGCGGGACTCTGGTGCGGTGTTTGACTTTGCTTTTTTTCGACACCTGGCTGGTCCTGCGTGTTTTTTTCGCACTCCGTGGAGTTTTTTCTTCTTGTTCTTTCCACATTAGCCCCTAATCGTGCCCCCTCGTCCCGTCTGCTTGTGCCGTTTTGATACCTTTTGGATTTTTTGGTCTTTCTGTCCTTCTTTTCTAATGCCGGCTTGCCCGGTCTTTGTATTGATTGTGGTTTTCTTGTTATTCTCTTTCCCCGCCCTCGCACTTGATTTGATTTCTAGTCTCCTCTCCGCATTTGCCGTTTTTGTTGTGCTTCGTCTCTGTTTCCCTTGCACATGTTTTCTCCATTGTCGCTTTTCCATGTACTATAAGTATAATCTACACGCAGAATACTACGTCTTATTTTGGCGGGGGCATAACCTATCCACTTGAATTCCTTTCGTATCTACTTCCCAATAGCAACAAACAACCGATCCCCAATATCCCCCAACCCGGGCACAATCATCCCCTTCTCATTGCATCCCTCATCCACAGCCCCAACCCAAACCTCCACGCCCTCAGGCCAAACATCCGCCACCCGATGCAATCCCTGCGCCGAGCCCAGCACGCTCAATAGCAGAACGCGCTGCACGCCCCAGTCGCGCAGCAACTGGATCGCTGCTTCGGCCGTTGCCCCCGTCGCGACGATGGGGTCCAGAAGGACGGCTAGCGTCGCGGCTGCCGTGTTGGCCGTCTGGTCGAGCGAGGCCGGCGACTGCGGGGAGAGTTCACTGCGATGGAAGGGCAGGTTGTTGTAGTATTCCACGGGTTGGAGGGTTACTTTCTCGCGGAAGAGGCCTAGGTGGTAGATTGGAACTGCTGTCGGGAGGAGGTCGTTGATTGCTGGCGTGGTGTGGGTGTTAGCTGCTTCTCTAGAGGAAGTGTCGATGTGGGTCTTGATTCCACTCTGGACCCAGTATAGTTGGTTCAAAGGATTGTAAATGATAAGAGATAGGAAAAGAAAGACTGGTTATTCTTACCATCAACCATGCCCAATCCCGAGCGCAGAATTGGCACGAGCGCCAGATCAGCAGGCTCGATGCCCTGCGTTTCATACTCGGCACCTAGCGGGGTTTTGTCCTGTTGCACTATCCGTCAGCCTGAATGGTGGGAGGTCCCGTGTGTTCCTGAGTCGAAGAGTGAAATGAGTAGATACCGTCCCTGTGCGCGCTGGCTTAAGGGCGCTTGCAAAAGCCTCGACGCCTAAGATCGAGGCGATCTCGTGAATTAGGGCCCGCGTCTCGCGCGGGGAAGTAGACTGCGAGCGTAGCTGGGAGAGCTTGGCAAGGAGGCAGGGGTGGGAGGAGACGTGGATGGTTGGGGGGAGAGACATTGCTGGATGGTAGTGATGGGATCAGATCAAGGTAGAGTAGAAGGGAAATAGATATTAGTCCAGAAGAGGGTGCGGCAGAGAGTGAGAGTGAGAGTGAGGTGAGAGCAGTAGACACTGGCTTATCTCCAACTAAGCTTTATCACTTATCACCTCGTCCCAAACTCTTCTTCCTCTTCGCACTTTCCTCCACTCAGCCATGCCACAATGCCACCCGGTCCCTCCGACCATGAGGATGCCATTCCCGCCAACGAAAAGTCCGAGCCCCCATTAAGCGAAACCGTCGCTCCACAGCCCGTCGCCTCCCTCCCTGCACAGCGACAACCATGGCCCGAGTCCGACGTCGCGATCCCGGAGACCCAGCTACCCTTACCAACACCACCCCCCCGAAAACGCGCCTCCAAACATGCAACAAACCTCTATGTCGTATCACACCTCATATTATTCTCGCTCCTAGGCACCCTCGGCCGCCTGGGTCTGCAAGCGCTAACCTTCTACACGGGCGCCCCCATCGTGACGGGTGTGTTATGGGCGAATGCGGCAGGCAGTCTGCTGATGGGGTTTCTAATGGAAGACAAGAATCTGTTCCGGGAGGAATGGGGCACGACACAGCACAATGATACCGCAGAGCCGAAGGACGCGCATGAGACACACGAGCACGCGAAGAGACACGCTGCGGTTAAAAAGACCATCCCCCTGTATATTGGTCTCACCACTGGGTTCTGCGGAAGCCTTACCTCCTTCTCATCATTTATACGCGACGTCTTTTTGGCTCTCGCTAACGAGCTGCCTGATCCCTCGCTGCCGGTCGGGGCCAGCATCGCGCCACGCAATGGCGGGTATAGCTTCATGGCGCTGGTGGCGGTGATTCTGATCACGGTGGCGCTGAGTCTTTCCGCTCTGATCGCCGGTGCGCATGGTGCCTTGGCATTGACGCGGATGACGCCCACGATGCCTTTCGCCCTCACCCGGCGCATCGTCGACCCGACCGTCGTCGTGCTGGCCTGGGGCTGCTGGCTCGGGGCTGTGTTTTTGGCAATCTGGCCGCCAGACCGACACGATCCGGGAAGGGAGGTGTGGCGCGGACGCGCAGTGATGGCGCTCGTCTTCGCGCCGCTGGGCTGTCTGCTCCGGTTCTTTGTCTCCCTGAGACTGAACAGTCGCATTCCCGCGTTCCCGCTGGGTACTTTTGTGGTGAATATCTTCGGGACGATCATCGAGGGTATGTGCTTTGACCTGCAGCGTGTACCTGGTCTTGGTGCCGGTGGGCCCTCGCATTGGATCGGTTGCCAGGTGTTGCAGGGTATTATGGATGGATTCTGCGGCACCTCGACTACTGTTAGCACGTGGGTTGCTGAGTTGAATGCTCTCTCCCGTCGCCGCCATGCGTATGTGTACGGCGTCACCAGCGTGGGCGTGGCGCTCGGATTTCTGGTGGTGATTATGGGGTCGTTGCTGTGGACGCGCGGATGGGCTGATCCGGTGTGTGGATGAACATATACCCAATAATGCTATAGACAAGTAATAGATACCCCCGGGATTTTGATATCACACAACATACAAAATATTACCCAAAACCCCAGCCCTGACCAACGCCTTCCATACAAGATAATCATCTACAAAAACTCCACCTCAGTCCCCTTCCCACCATGAGCACCCCCCAACTTTCCCCTCTGAAAAACTCCCTGCTCCTCCAAACGCAACTGCGCACGACTCCCCTCACTCCCCTGCAACATAACAGGCACCTCAACGTCAACTCCATCCCCTTGGCTATGAACCGGCAACTCGACCCGATCCGGCGGGAGTGGGAGCGGCGCATAGCGATCAACCATTTTCTCATGGACATTGCTGTTGGCCTTGCCACTGATGTTGCCATTGCTATTGATATTGTTCGGCGTGAAAGTAGAAGAAGTCTTCGCGCCCATGCGCACTCCTACTCCCGGCCCAAACGGCCCGTATGGATCTTTATCAAAGACCCCTGTCGCGCCACCGGCGGCGTCGTGGAGGCGCTGCGTGCCGCGTGTGTGGAAGGCTTTGCGACGGGCGAGGTCTTCGTCTTTGGCGCGGCGTTGGGCAGCTTTTGCGGGGGAGTGTTAGTCCTTTTAGTTCTTCTTTTGTCATACGCGCCAAACAGTCTATGTGTATAGAGTGGGTAGAGAGTGGGTAAGGGAAGAAAAGGAGTGGAGTAGTTAAGAAGGGAAAATAGGAACGTGACACAGCACAAGGCAACTCACCACGCCAGAACAGAGTATACGCCACCATCGTGAACGCACAGGCGCCCATGAAGCCGAACATGATGCCCAGCTCGTGGCCTAGCGAGGGCATCGGGGTGTAGGGGGTAGAGATGGTCATTTTTGCGATGGTTTTCTGATTGTGTCAGACTGTGGAGGTGTGTGGAGGGAGGTGTGAAGGTGGAGACGTTGATCTTGTCCAGGTGTTGCGGGTTGGGGGCCGAATTGATGGGCTCTGCGCCACCTCGTGGAGGCGTGCATGTTTCGGCCCCTAGGAAAGGCTTCACTCTGAGACTAACTCATAGTAGCAGGGGCAGCCATTCTAGAAAGGCTAGATGAAACACTATCTGAGAGTTAGACCCTAAGTTGCCATATATCCCGTTCCGGACAGATCGGATGATATGTGGAGGACATCTCGGCAACAGATCTGAGCACGAGAGGGGAAACAGATCAAGGATGAGCTTGTTTGTCCTTTACTAGTTGCTAGACACATCGGGTCAATGAAACCCTGGCGTCAGAAAATACCAGTTTCCATTTCGAGAACGGCCCCTTCTGAGAACGGGAGTTCGGAATCGCTGAACGGGGCATCTGGCCCGACGTAGCATTATTTGAACGTCAAGATGAAATAGCAAGAATTGATAGATACTATTGATGCTTTGCTTCACATCGACATGCGAAACGAGCACCAGGTTCCCCCGCTTTCTACTTTCTGCTTCTGCGGAGATCAACCGTGATGGATCATTCCCGCGTCCGGTCCGGAGCAGCGAGACTTAGACTGCTCGAATGGGTAAATTGATCGGCGGACAGACGATCACAAGCACATATTTCATGAAGAATACCGAAAGTAGCAGTGCTACCGTGTTGTGAAACACACTTGGAGATCAAGGTAATTCTGCAGTATCTGGTTTGCATGGAGTATAAAGACATGCCAGTTGCCCTTCGTTCTCGACATTTCTCATCGACCGCAACAAGGAAACAACTCCTTTCTCCAAGATTCAACAAGTGGTACTTTCTATTATCGGCTTCAATTGAATGAAGATGCACTTCCGCTTAACCTCCGCCGTTGTCCTCTTGCTGGAGCTTAGTGTGGCCGTCCATGGAATCCCCAGGATGAAAAGGTCATCCAATTCATTCGCGGGCTCAAACCTCTACTTCCTCCATGGCCTTTCTTCATCTGACCAAGCCTACTACATCGACAAACTCGCCAGCGACGGAGCAAAAGTGATCCGCATCTGGGTGAACGGTCTCTCGAAAGGCTGCGTGAAAGGCAGCAACGTTGTCGACGACATCTCCGAATTCGAGACCACGATCGGCGACTACAATTACGACACACTGGCGAAGCTTGATGCCGTTCTCGCGCAGACATCAGCCAAAGGGATCAAAGCCATCATCTCCCCACATGATGGCAATGATATCCACGATAGCAGCACCGCGGGTAACGGGTGTGACATCTACTGCTCGACGTATGGGACAAGCTTCTATTCCAACTCCCAAGCCAAGACCCAGTACGACGCGCGCATTGCGGCTATTCTGAACTACCAGTCTCCAAGCAGCGGCAAAAAATGGGGACAGTGGTCCGATGCCATTCTCGCGTTCGATCTTGAGAACGAGCCATTCCAGTTCACGGATGGTGGCGCGAATGATGATCCGTCGGACTGGTTGTGTGGGCGGGCTCAGAACTTCAAGTCTGTTCTTGGGAGCTCTTCGGTCAAGGTTGCTACAGGCGGCATTGGAGGGGATCATAGCCATGGCTATAACATGCTGCCAGCGGCACTTAACTGCAGTTCCATTGATCTGATGAGCATTCATAGCTATGTTGGCGATGCATCAACTTGGTCTGGCCTTCTTTCCGGTGATGAAAAGGTTGCAGCAGCTGCGAACAAATTGATCTATGTTGAGGAATGGGGCGTGGCAACTTCCTACAACAGTGATTTTGATGATCAGGCTGCTGCCATCAACGCGGCTGGATACCCTTGGGTAAGTCTGCGCACTCAATATATAGATTTCTATGGCTAATTATATTATCAGATTTACTGGCAATTCATTCCTGGGGACGATGGTACTGAAACGTGCAACAGTGGTTGTTGCACGGGATACGATGGATTCGAGATCGGTCTCAACAGCAGCAAGGGTGATATTACTACTGCGATCGGCAGTGCAAACAGCGCGACTACTGTCCAGAACTGGAACATTTTCTCTTGAAGGATAAACGATATTCTAGTTGACTTGCCATTCACAAAACGGCGATATGGTTCGCAGACTGGACTGTAAATGGTGCAGCAAGGCAAAGGAGGAAGAATATTACCAGATCAAGCAAGCTTTACGGTTTATTTGGAAATACATGCTACCAGTAGTTGTCCAAGCTCAATCATCCCCTTCTACATAAACACATCGGGCCCGACTGCCAGTTTAAGCCAATGAGAAGCAAAGAAGCATATTTGTGGGTCCAGCCATCGGAGCCGATGGCATGTAGAAGCAGCCGCTCTACAATATTTAGCATCTTCAGTTTTTCATCTCATTTCTTCGGTCTTCACCACTTTTCGAATATCTTCCGAAATTCGTCCCGAAAACATTAAAATGACAAAACCAGCCATCGTGATCATTCCAGGTGCTTGGCACCGGCCAAAGCACTACCAGCATCTCATCGACAACCTAGCCAAGGTTAACTATGAAGCCGTTGGCGTGACAATGCCCTCAGTCGACTCTAGCCCTCCACTCGCCAGTTGGGACCAAGATGCGCAAGAGGTCCGCCGGGTGATCCTGGAATACTTGGATGCCGGCAAGGACGTGATTGCCATTGCCCATTCATTTGGCGGAATCGCCATGTCTGAGGCTGCCAAGGGACTCGGCAAACAAGATCGAGAGAAGCAAGGCTTGAAGGGGGCAGTTTTGAGACTGGTTTATATGACCGCCATGGCGCTGCCAAAGGGTCAGACTCACGTCGGGCAAATCAAGCCGGTGACACCGGAAGAGGAGGAAATCGAACGGCAACGCCAGGAAATGCAGGCGAAGTACGGTGGAATGAAGTTTACCGAGGTATGTGTGGTGGCCATATCGATCCAGGACAGTTATGATAACTAACTAAATCTACGCACAAGGATGGAGCTATGGTACTCGATAAAGACATCATTGGCCAAGTGTTCTACAACGGATGCGATCCTAAAGATGTGCAAGAGGCAGTCGATATGCTGGGATCTTTCCCTACAGGCCCACTGAGTGTCCCGGTGACATACTCGGCCTTCAAGGAGATCCCGAGCACATACATCGTGTGCAAGAATGACCTGGCGTTGCCAGTATCCGTGCAAAGGAGAATGATTGCACAGGGTGAAGGCGCCTTTCATGTCGAAGAGTGTGACGAGGGCCACTCGCCTTTCATGAGCAACCCCGGCTTCATCGTGGACTGTCTTCGCCGGGGGGCAGGTGAAGATGTTTAGGCAACACCTGCTGTCTGATATTGGGGGGTTGACGCTTCGTATATTATTGCGTTTCATTTAATATCTCTCTCCTCAGACCATTGCTCATTGTTACATTAAGCATTAAGTTGCTGTACGACCAATCAGGCTTAGCGAGGTATCGGGGACTGGCCGAGAAACAAAGTGTGAGTGCCAAAGGGGTAAACTGTTTTCGAAATCTATTATACCAGTCTCCAGAAAATCTGTATTTGGCGAAAATGCTTGAGAAGCACCTCTAATAAACCTTAAAGCTTGAAATTTATGCGCTCAATTATCTTGACTTCAACGGAAAAAGGAGTCTTTCCCCCTAGACCTCGCGAAATTCCATCCAGATCAACCGGTCGAGGCCAGTAAATGTCCACAAGAAAGTTCGGAGCTTGCACCGCCATCAGGGGTTGCAAAAGCCAGACTAGACCGTCAATATCAGGGTCATCAATGCCAATCCAGGATTTGCTCTTAGTCAGAGTAACTCTGAGATTCTTAAGGCCTTGCATTCTTGAAATGGTCTCACACGCCTCTTTCCAGTACCAGATCACGCCTGCTGGCCACCTGGACTTGATGAAGACATGATTGAATAAATGAGAGACCGCTATGGTATCAAGATGTAAAGAAGAGATAGAATTGAGGCGGTGGGGCACTACCACCTTTTCCATAGCCAGGATAGCTTTTGTATGCCGGAAATTCAGAGTATTCCTTGTGTAAAGCAATTCTATAGATTCCGAATATCTAGATGATTGTCAGAAACGAGTGGAAACATTAGATTGCAACGTAGGCCTTACATCTGCCTGCAAGAGCATAAGAGGCCGAGAAATCTCCTGGGCCGGGACACAGGAAGTGGCTGATGATCAATGGGACCCCAACAGTTGTGCTCCCACCCTCGCCGACCAAACTCCGCTTCACCACACGGGATGCCGCATAAACGACGGCCAGCGATAGCCACGTGCAGATCTTGCCCATTGGGGAGCAGCATTACTTGTTTGTATATCATTTCTCGCAGGTCCCACGGCAGTCGGAGGAAAGACGACTTCGATTGGTCATATGTCCGCTGACGCCGAACTTTAGAGTACCAAGGTGCGGACGACCCGATTGTCAGAGCACGTTTCCGGAAACGGGGGTAGGGATCGCGTTCGCTGTTTTTGTTTTTCTTTCTGTTCCTGATAGAGAGCGCAAGGACGAGTTATGACGAGCAAGGTGCAGTATAGGGGGCCGAGAAATATCCAGACGGGTATCATTACCCATAGTGGTGTCCTCCGTGCCCTGGAAGTCATCTTGTTTCGAGGAGCGCTAGGTAATTAACTTGCTGTTCGATATAGGAGGAGAGTAGAACGGAACGGATTTGGCCGCTTGAAATATTCTCATGCGGCTGGTTGATGGGACGCAAGGCTGGCAGATTTATCAGGCTGCGGAGTTGTTAGCAAGGGCCAATGATAGCTCAAAATCTCATGTCTTGACATCTAGGGCCTCGTTCTCTTTTTTCCTGCTGTCAGCCTCACCCTCTCTCTCTCTCTCTCTGTGTGTGTTATGATTTGGTCTATTAATGTCTATTTCTAGCTCCCTTGCCGTCAAGCGAACGCCTTTGAAATACTGCTTCGTTTACCAAACGAATGTGCTGCAACCACGTAGCGGTTGGGGGGTCCCATTTGGGGGCGAGTACGTTCAATAGATGCCTCAGGAATCGTTTCAATATCTCAGGCAACAAGGCAGCGAGATATTCTCTACGAGAATACCCGAGCTATCTCCTGAGCACTCTGGGTTATGACACACTTCCTGGCTGTCACTAAATAGCCAAAATTCGACTGAACAAGGCCCATTCAACAAATATCGTGGCTCGGTAAGCCGGTATGTCCGGTGCTGAAGTGGTGTTGCCGTCTTCTACACGGGCGCAGCGTCGCCAGAACACCAGCTGCGACCCATGTCGACGCTCAAAACGGCGTTGTTTCTTCCAATCTCCTACAGAAGATGATGCCAATATCGTCTGCGCCCATTGCCGGCGCCTTGGACATGAATGCACCTTCCACTTTGCCACAGCACGCCTGAACTCTAGGCCAAAGAAGAGGCAACGCCGCTCCCAACCGAGGCGGGACCAGTCAGCGTATCCAGAGGAAAATGACTTTGAAAGTGCATCTATCGCATTACCTGAGATTTCCGCGTTTCAGGATGACCTGAATGACTTCCCCTCATGGCTCAACCTTGATATGGACCGTCACTTCGACGACAACGTGCCATACGTTTCCAACAATCTATCTGCATTTGCTTCATTCACAACCTCGCCATTGGAGTGTATGGCCCCTACAGAACTGGAAAATGATGACGGCACGCCCCAAAATTCACGAATCATGGACTCAGCCCTACCCCTGACAACAGGACATTTCGTTGGCAGCACGCTGCGCAGCCCCGTCTACCTGCTCAACTCCAAAATGAATTCGAATATCCTTGACGATCGACTATGCCGGATCTATGAGACGATTGTAACTGGATCCGCATCAAGGTTCCTGGGTTATGCCAGTAACCTATACGCAACAGGGCATCGGTATCAGATCGAAGATAGCAGTCCGGAGACCCCGCAGAAATGCTCGCCTTCGCCTCGTTCTGGTTCATTCTTCCAACTACAGCCCAGCAGAACCAGGCGTAGCTCTGTCCATGCAACAATGCCAGACGATAGTTTCAGCATGACGTTACTGGGTTGTTTTCGCTTTCTGGATCATTTCGGTGATCTGTACGGCAACAAAATGAGCCCGGCTTCTCGGAGACAATCAGATTCAGCATTGAAAGCAGCGCTCAGGGCATTCTCGCTGCAATGGTTGCCCAGTTCAGGCTCTGATCCTGAGAACAACTTGTCCGGGATCGCGAATGGACAACGACCATCATCCGACCCATCGCTAGACATTTATACTGATGCATGGTTCCGAGCTCGCAACCGCCTGAGAGACGCAAACTCCGTTCAATCGTTCCGAGTTGTTTTTGCGACTTTGATATTCGATGGGATTGCCATCCCAGCCAAAGCTCACAACGCCCTAAACGAACCTAGTATAGAGCACGAGTTTCTTGACACGGGCCTTCAAAAGCTTCGTGATTTGGATGAGCGTGTGAAGCAGTACTGTGATACTCTAGGCCCTTTTTCTCAATACAGCGCCCTGCTAGAAGCCAGCTTGAGTCTTGTTCGTTGGAGTAGCTACATTCGCGACACGGGAGCCGCTCTGACGGGAGATCACCAATGCAAATTGCCTGAACTATTTGTTCAGTCGGATGGTAAGTCATAGCCTGGGTTGTGATGATGATATAAAACTGACAGCGACCAGCGTTTCCCAACGGAATCACCATCCCAATTCATCTTCTTGAGGATTTGGATCACAGCATTCCAAACATTTGTCGGAAAGCAGCTGCAGAGGCAGTCTGTGTCTGGAGAAAAATCGCCAATGTCAAGAATTCTCTCCACAAGCTAGCTGATGGTGTTTCCAGCCTCTCGGCTGGGACATTCGAGACCATCAGCTCGACCATGAGAGCGATCGAGAAATTTGATGAATCATTCCGACCTTTCATGGCTCATTGCAGGGACATCTTTCAAGACCTGTCGATTTCTTCAAGAATAGCCTTCAGTGAGCAAACTCCTCTTCGTGATTGCCACAAGCTCTACTAAATGAGATTTCTAGTGTCCCTTGCGATACCGTGGGACCTCGGAGCCCTCGTGCTCGCCGAAATTATGCCCCCCTTCGCCGAGGAAATCAATCAATCCTACGACTCTAATCTGATTCCAAGAATCAGCGCATCTCAAAAGGAAGCAGCAACATCCGTTTCCCAAACCATCGACTGCATGCTCACGCTCCCCGCCGAAGAAACATTCAACCTCCAGAACGGCTTGAGTGCCGAAGTCCCCATCATGGCCTACCACGTTACCCCTAACATCATGACTGCCGCACTGGAAAAGGCGCTGGAATATGTGCTTGAATCACAAGTTTCTCACTCGGAGAGATCAAACGACAATGCGCCAGATCCCATTCCTGATGGTGTTTGGGAGCGTCAGGTTGATTGCCTTATGAAGGGTCTCCTCTCTCTTGATGTGACTGTGGGTGGATCGCAGACTGCTGGTGTTGTTAGGCAGTCTTTGATGCAGAGATATGGAGATGTTATCTCTGAGTGTTGGTCCTGCGATTTTAGTACGTAGTGGAGATAGCAAGGTACATATATGACGGGTCCAAGTGAGAAAGGGAGGCCATCATTCCGCGATAGGAGTTATGACTATTGAAATACAGACACTATTCACCTCCCCTATCAACACCACGTTCCAATAAGTGGCCGAGTATACCCACTACAGCAGAGTAGAAAAGGAATAGTATAACAATAACATTATCATTAGCCCGCAGGCTATATACATACACACGTTATCCTCACCATCTCTTCCAACCCAGATAACAAAAAAGTAGACACAACAGAAGAGGTATCATGTACAGCACAACATGGCCACATATGCAAGTCTATCGCGTTCCCCAGCCAGTCTAGTATCCTCTCTGACCGGGGAACGATGCAGAACAGAACAGAAAAAAAAAACATAAATAAACACCGTGCTCAGAATTCGAAAGTCGAAAGAAAACCAGATCCTCTATAGAAAGAATCGTGGATGCAGATGTGTGCGCGGGACATTTGTTCGTTTGCGCGACATTAAAAGCGGATAGGATAGGATAGGAGTCGAAGAGGGAGCAAGGTATGAACTCCATGGCGTAGCGGAGGGAGGAGAGCAGTATCTCCCACAGGGAAAAGGACGAGGTCGAGGTCGAAGTAGAAGGTGAGGAAAAGGTTAAGGTAAGGGATCACCCGAGCATCACAGCCGCCAACGCCGTAAAAGTCAACCCAATCGCCATACCAATCCACGGCGTCTGGCCAAGCGTGCCCTCACTGCGCGCCTGGAGCAAATGGCGCGACGCGCGCAGCTTGCCGGACAGCGACTCATCGGACAGGAAGGGTAGTGGCGGCGCGCGGCGCGGAGCGATCTCGGATAGATCGATGTCTGGTATTGAGGGTGCGTTGGCGTGGACGTCGGCAGAGACGGGGCCGTTGTGCGAGAGGTCCTGTGCGGAGGAGGGAGGTGGCGAGGCGGCGAGCGCGACGGTGGGTGTTAGAGCCGCGAGGGCCCAGAGGGTGGGTTTCATTATATGATTTGACTGATGTGATGTCGTGTGGGATAATCGTGGAATGTGCTTGGTGTCTGGGTTGTCGGGGGATAAGCAATCGCCAAGCAAGCGTGTTGCTTGGGTGTCTTGGGGTTGGTTGAGAGACGGAGAGAGAGTGTGTGTGTTGGCGAGGCAACCAAGATGGAGGAGAGAGCCGCACGAAGAGGAGAGAGAAGTCGCGAGGGCACTGGGGGAGGAGGAGAATTGTCTCAGTTGGCGAAGGCCAAGATTGAGGCGAAAAAGAAAAAAGATAAAGATGCGAAGAATGATAATAATAGGGGGCCAGAAACGGGGCGGGCGGGATTTGTCTTTTTTTAACTCAAAGCGTCCGTGCGAGGGCCGTCGGAACAGGGTATATACACAGCCCCCTACTGTCGGACGTAGTAGTAGTGAGAAGGATCAAGTCAGGAGAAAATATTGAAATTTGAAGATTCAGATCGAAAACAAGGAGCAGGAAACAGCCGTTGACACGGGCGCGACATTGGCCGAGCCAGGCGTGAGGCAGCTCCACAGCGGACCCTGAGAAGTGGAGCGAGTCAGGGGTTTTCTATTAATTAACTAGTGACGGCACTAGTTACTATGTATGTCTCCGGCATCATTGGTATACAGATTTCACAAAAGTGCATCCCACTCCGGAGTCACCGTGAACTTCCCCCCAGCTGGCCCATTGCCCAGACGCGACGCTCCGGGGTCTCATCCGCAACATCATCGTCACCCACAGACGAGACCACCAGTGCCTCTTGGACAAAATCCACCTCTGCGGCACGGTCCAGCTCGAAGCTGATCCCGCCCCAGTCCAGTGTGATACGACCCGAGCGGTGCACGTTGAACTTGCCCACTCGTCCCGCCGGCAGTGGTGTGTCTGCCGCTGCGGTGACAATCTTGCCCGGTGGGCGTGTGGTTGCCGCTTGGCCGCCCTCGACGATCTCCACCTCGTCACCTTCAGCCTTGACTTCGGGCTGCTCGGTCTGTCCCGGCGTAGTGGCTGGCGCCGCGGGCTCTGGCTGGTTTTCCACCGCGGTGCCGGGGATGGTCAAGTTGGGCGTCATCGGCGGGAATTGCATGAGGAAAAGCCTGCCCGCCAGATAACTCTTGGGCGACGTCTCTGCTTCGGCGTCTTGGTCTTCTTCTCCTCGTTCCTCCGCCGCTGTTTCGGCTTCTTCTCCTTCGGCGGGTTGGGCCTCCGTAGTCTCCGGTTTCTCGACCGGCTTCGAAAATAGATGCTGCACGACCTCTAGGTCATGCTGATGTCGCTCGTACTCTTCAATCTCCTCCCTAGTCCGCAAAAGCTGCCGGAGATCATGCGCAGGCTCTAGTTCCGGCTCTGGCTCGGGTAGACCCTCTTCTGTGGCTTTCTGGGCAGCCAGCTTCCGGCGCACACGGACTTTCTGCGCGGGCAAAAGCTCGTCATCATCAGCGTGGGGGATTTCGTCTGTCATGACCGCATCGTCGTCCTCCTGCTTCACGCGCGGCTCTTCTGCGGCGGCAGTTGTATCCGGGCCGTCATCGTCCACAGAAATCGCACTGTTCTCCGTAGCCTTCGCGCGAGCCTTTTCCCGCAGCCGGGCGGACTCGCTCACGCTTGACTCCATATTGACGCTGACGACCCGTTCCTCGTGCGGATGTCGCTCGACACGCACCGGCCGTAGACCTCTCTCGCGTCGCTCCCGAATAGGCATCTTGCCCTTGATGGTGCGCGACTGGGTGTACGCTTCCTCATCGCTGCTCTCCAGATTGATCTGGTCAATGCTAACCCGCAGGCCATCTTCGTCGTCCGAGAGATTACTCCCCCGGATGTTGCCTCCGCTAATATGAGAACGCGTGCGGCTCCGCGGTCCAACAGCCGAGGAATGTCGGGAGTCATAACCAGATCCTCCTCCTCCGACACCGCCGCCTCTGCCTCTCCGGCCCGACATCATAGCACCAGCGCCCATGCTCATGCCTATCGGGCCGCCGCGCCCGCGGAATCCACCGCGGATGTTCGTGGACGCGGCCCCACGCCGGCCTCGCTGGATGGCAGCCGCCTCCTTGAGTCGCTCATTGTATCGTTCCTGCTCGAGCTTCTCGATCGCCTCACGCTCTTCCTTGCTGCGGCGCCCGACGGCCCGTGGCTTGTATTTTAGAGTCGGCTTCGCTTGCTCGCCGCTGAGCGCGGAGGGCGGCCGGCCGCTGGGTGATATGCTTCCCGCGGGTGTGCGTTTTTTGAGTGATTGCAGTCGCTGCACTGGCGGTCGAGGTGTGGTGGCAGATGAGCCAGCATGTGCTGGAGTCTCGGATGCATTTTGGGGCGCTGTAGACTCTGCGCCGGTGGGTGTAGAGGCCGGGGTGGATTCTTCGGCGGTGCGCCTTGTGCGCCGAGTTGCAGATTTGGGAGGCATGGCTGTTTGCGACTCTGGCGAGGCGCTTGTCCGCGTCTCGCCGGGTAAAGAGAAGTTTAGACGAGGTCCACGCTGCGGCAGTCTCTGTGGCACATTGACTCGTATGGAGACCTTAAAAACGTAGAGTCGGTCTTCTATGTGTGGAATCGAGAAGGGCAAAGAGGTGAAAGGGTTTGAGCAAGATTGACTGTATGAATGAATCAAGTCTGCAGTGACGGAGGAAAAAAGTAGTGGGGCGGAAGATCACGTGATGATACGCCCAGAGTATAGGACAAGACCAATTACGGTAGTGATTGAAGAGGCAGAAATCAACTGATTGATTGGCAGACTAACGTGAAAATACACAGGAACAAAAAAACCATTTCTTGTACAGTCCATCCCCTTTCGGTCATTATCCGCCGTGCGCTACACCCACCCTGTTGCGGCCATCCCCACCGAGTCAACAAACGAGAGAGAACAAAGGACATTGATATAAGCAAGAAGCAAATAGAAAAAATAAAGCACACGTATAGCATTGAAATGAAAGAGCGAGTAGTGGGTGAAACACAGGAAAATTCACAGACGTTGCTACCGCACGAACAGAACGCCAGCAAGACTGAAACAAACAAGGACAGGATCTCATCAACCGCTTTGGGACTTTGTATAAATCAGATCGGGGATCCATGGCAACAAGCCAGGGAGTTGGTGGGGGTGGCGAGTAAACGACAAAAAAGGACAGAGTATAAAGTAAGGAGTGTCGGGATCGTCCAGCCATGGCCAAGGAAAAAAAACACAGAGAAGAAAAGAAAACACCAAGAGATCAGTGAAGGACGGAGCGGGACCTAGGGGAAATCCCCAGGCGGAGAGAGTATAAAGCAGGTCGGAGATCAATGGAGCGACAAGACAAGTCACTTCCTTTGAGGTGTGCGTAAGGTGGGGGGTTTCGTATAAAGAGCAGCTTGAAGAGTCGTGAATCGGACAAAAAGAAAGCATACTTAGCGCTTGCGTTTCTTATTCTTGTCTGCTATATCACTTGCAGAAGCAATGGGCGATGTGGTGGTCGGGTTCGGGAGGAACTCGTTGCCGCCCTCAATAATCGACCCATCGGTGGATTTCTTCACAGCGACGCCCATGTGACGACCATAACGGCCCTTGCGGCCATTGCCCTCGTCTTCACTGACGCATCCATCGATGCCAATGCCTGCATCCTTGCAGCGCCCGCACGGGCGTTGGCGATCGCAGCCCTTCTTGCTCTTGCGGCACCGTTGGCAACGAGGCTTGGTCGACAAGTCTTCTTCGTCGGCACCGAGCTGGTGCTGGAAATTGACCGACGATCCCGAGACCTTGCGGGCAGAGTTGGGGCTCAATGGCGGGAAAGAAGTCGTCGTCTTGTCCATACCCACGGGGCCGGGCATCTTGGGTTTGCGCGGAGCAGCGGAAGTGTTGGTCTTGGCTCCCTTGCTCAACTTCAGCGGGGCCATCTTCTGGCTGCGAGGCTTGGGCGGCATGTTGGCCGGGCGATTCTTGGGCTTCTTGGCCTTGGGAGCATAGTCGCGGTAGAGGTCGTAATCGGCCTCACTCTTGACCGGAGCACCCAGCCGGTCGTAGTGCCCAAATTCGTCAGCGCCATCAGAGCTCTGCTCGCTACTATCAGCACTGGGCAGAATGTCATCCAAACGCTTATGTTGGCGCTTAGTAGTACCCGGTGGAAGCATCGGGCTGGATTCCTGTCTCTGCCGACGGGGCAGATCGTCCTCATCCTCACTAAAATCTTCTCCATCGCTGGTAGCCGCCGACGAGGCCGCGTCGGCGGCGCCGCTAAAGGCATCATCCAGCGTCGAGGCTGACGTGCGACCATGAGAAAAGTTGGACGCATCGCCCAGACGGATCAGCTGCATGGCTACATCTTCATCGGAGATGCAGCTGGCAATGGTGGGGTCTGGCGTGGGTAATACGCCAGCGCCACTGACTTTACCTGCCGAATTGATAAAGGGGCCCGTAGCAGTACGGTCTCGCAGGCGATGTCCATGGTCCGGGACCACGGGAGTAGCATACATCGTATTGCGCCCTGAGTGAATACCATAGGCATGTTCACTATGGCCATAGCTCTGCGGCGACGGCAGCGGTTGCTGGTAGTTGTATGGACGGTGTGTAGGACGCGCAAAAGGCGAAGCGCCTTCCTGACCGACAGATCGACGCTGAGGGGAAATGGAGGAGGTCGACATGGTGAGCGGGACTTGGGGAGGTGCAAACAGTGGGAGTTCCTACAGAGAGAAAGGAATGTTAGGGCCAATTGCTTCGAGAGAAGAAGAGATAAAACTCACCGAGCTGTCAAACTTGGGACGTTTGCGACGACCATCCTGGAGTATATTCTCCATGCTGATCTCAGAGCTGGCGAATTGATCGCTGCGAGCCTTGCGAGCACCCGAGATAGAACCATAGTCACCATCGCTATCGCTGTAGCCATTCGCCTCATCACCAGGGAAGCCACCATGGACACTCGAACCGCGGCTTTTGAGGCCGCTACGAGAGCCTTGCTTGTGCTGCGAGGTGCTCCGGAGACTCCGGCTCGACGGAGAGTTGCTGCGCTTTCGTGCCAATCGCGAGCTCGGACGAGACGGCGACTGGTCATGGTCTAGCGCCTGCACTGCCGACATGGCCGGCGCCATCTGAAACGGCTCGCCCAGACTGGGTCGCTTCCGGGCCTCGACAGAGAAGCCACCGTAAAAGCTGTCCCCGTAGGCCTCCGGGTACGGTTGGGCGGGGATGACTCGCACGTAGACGGTCATGTTATTTCTCAGATTCTCGTACCTTGCGATGAGGGTGATCCCATGTTCATCCTCGAAGCTCACACCGCTGGCGGCGGCATCATAGATGCCATAGAAGTTTTTGACAGTCGTGACGATCGAGTCCGTGGTGTCATGCGGGTAGATCTGAACGCGCATGGGAATGCGGGCTCGTACTTTGGAGTTCTCATCCAGCAGAAGCTCAAAAGCGACGTTCTTGGGGACGGGACCCTTGTGCGATGGACCCCGAGCCGCCGAGGCGACAGCGCGGTCATCCACAAAAACCGGCTGCTCCCCGAGGACCATTTGGCCGTCCTGCTGGACCACTTGCATGGTGGTCAGGTTCAGGATGTGGGAGAGAGCCTCTCTGCTATAGTGATGACTGCATCAACCCATCTGCCTCTGTGTGCGGAAGAGCGGGAACGGGAGGAAGAGCCGGCCAGGGCAGAGGGAGGGAGACCATCGAACCTACCACAGTTTATAGGATCCGATCGAACTGGCCAGTGGATGGGCCACCGGGTTTGGGGGAGGTCGTTGAAGCAGGGTCGTCGATGGGGGGAGGTGGAGGGGGCAAGCCTGCAGTCGCTAGAATCGAGAAAGTAACAGCGTAGTCTAGAGTGAAAACACACAGTGGCTGTCAGCACAATGGAGATCTGGGGACCCAAGGCCACTGGCAGGATGACTAGGAAAGGGTTTGTCTGCGATGGGGATGGATGGATGTGCTCGCTAACCGAGTCCGGCCGACCTGGGAGCGGGCCTGTTGTTGGGGGGGGGGAAGAGAAAGAGCGAAAAGACTCGGAAGCAGAGGGAAAGGGAGATGGGACACACTTAAGTCGAGTCAAACCGATTCCTCCAGAGTCGTAGGTATCCGGGAGGGTTGTCGAAGATGGGATGAAAAGGACGCAGGATGTTGTCGGGGCGAGGGGATCGTTTGAGATCTACGAAGCGCTGGGCTATGTCAGCGGCCTGGTAGCCGAGAGCAGGACAGTGACGAGAAGGCCAGATTGGGGGCATATCAGGGATAGAAGAGCACAAAGACATACCCCAGTTTGGTGCTAAATGGATGAGCGACGGAATGGGCGAGGATGATGGGAGGAAGAAGAGGAGAGGAAAGAAGAAATGGTGCTGGTGGTGCTGGTGGGTGCCAGGTTTCAGAGCAAAACGAAAAGCGGTCCTGGAGTGGCCGATTTGCGCCCCGTACTGCCGGTTTTTAACATAATTTATGTTGCAATAAATTGTCCTTTCCTCTATGGTTCTTAAAATTCTACTGTCAAGGAGCGACCGGCCTCTCGCGGTGTTTTCGCAGTGCGCAACCGCTGTCGCAATCCGGATGCGTTGCGCCGGATGACAGCGGTCCTACAGGGCCCCCTCGAATGAACTACGATGAAACGACAAACCCCAAATCCATCATAGATCAAATCGCATAAATTCCCATGTCTTGATCGCATAGAAAATAGCAAGCAAAAATGCTGGCGGGAGGATGGTGAGCGCCGCTCGCTCGCACAAAGCAGGTACCTCGTGCGCCGACTGGCGAGCGCCCAAGACCGATAAAGAACGGGTCGCGCCAATGGTGTGGCTTGAATGCCAGCGCAACCATGTCGCGGGATGGCTCCTGGCCTCGCCTGGTCGTCGGCTGATGATGCGCGGCATTCACCTTGGGGGGAGGGGGGGCGATCAAATCATCCGCATCCACCCTTGTCGCATTGCGGATTGGCACTGCCGAAGGGCCAAAACGGGCCCGCGCGATCACCATTCTTGTCTCTCCGAAGTCGCAAGTGATGCGACAGGGTGATTGGGGCAGGCAGCGGTGTTGGCGCAACTGGTACTCCGCCAGATGGGGGCTCATCGTGGGCACAACGAGGGTGATGCGCTGATGATCTACTGGATGGAGTGGAATCCTCTTGTCTCTCTACGTCAGGGACCTTGGGCCTACTCTGTCTTATTTACTTGCTGCTCCCCGGGCGTGCGCAGGGAGGCCCGGTTCCGGCAGGGCTCGCAGGGACCAAAACTCGTCATCGGAATGAGTGGATGAGCAGCGCCTAGAACGGGGCCCACGAGTGATTTTAGTTTTCAGTTAGTTAACTAAACCGACTCCGGCCGCATCAGCCACGAACTGGCCAAACCCCGCACAGGCGCAATCCTTAAGAGGGCTTTTATTTGTATGTTGATTTGCTCGCGCAATGTGGTCGCGCAAGCCTGCGCAAGAGTGCCCCTTGGTCGTTGCCGCCTGGCGCATCAGGCCGAGTCCGTGGTAGCAGGAACGGCGCCATGCTGCTGGCCATTGCGCGGGCCTCCCGGGGATGAGGTGGACTGGTCTGGCTGCTTCAGCGGTGAGCGACGGGGTCACGTGCAGACGTGTTGAAGCGTGTCGGTCCGGTGTGTAGAGCGGGAGATGATGTGTGTCGCCATTGCCGCCATTGTGGGGGCTAATTGTAGTCGGAACATCATCTGGAGGTCAAGCGATATCTGCGACAGTAATTTTTTGGCTCTGATAATTTGTGTGTGGTGAAGGAGAAAGAAAAGATGCTCCGAACTGTTGACTCGGCGCGTGTGGGGAAAACGCGCCGCACGTGGTATGATGTCATTTAAAATCAGGTCAAGCAGCGGGCAGCCCTGGCGAGATCCATGGATGGTCTCTGAGGAGGTGAAGCATTTCGCTGCCATGGATCAAGGTGTCTGGCCTGGAGGTTGCACTGGATTATGACAGTGTTTAACTCGTGGGTAGATTTGTTGGGATGGTGATATATATCCTTTGCATATATATCTCCATGGCGACGCTGCAGAACCAGCTGGGTAGTTGATCGATGGATGTATATAGATGCCTATAATCTCGAACGGTACGCAGTATTGTTGCCAAGGTACTCCACACTGCTTCCACTTTCAGCTTCTGACTATCCCTTGAAGGAGTGGCGCGGTTCTTCTCTACGTGCGCTTGTTTACTGTGTGTGTTTACATCCATAGCAGGTTCATCTGGAGCTCATATTTGATCCCGACCAGGAAAGTTACCAGGTATAATATCATGTGGAGTGGTCATGGAGACCAGACTAAAAGAAGATGGAAGGACATTCACTGTCTCTATTGACCAAATTGCTCTGTTGTTGTATTGTTCGAGGGACTCCAGGCGGATTGTAGGCAGCTGCTGGTCCTCCCAATGCCCCAATAGCGCTAGCCCTGTTGGGAACTCCCATTCACTCCCATCCACGGATTCACTGCTCATTCACTGCCGGAGCTCTCGCTTAATGATTTGGCTCGTTCAGTCACTGTCGCCCCCTTGTCCCACATACTTGAGGTGTTGCACTCCACCGTGTTGCTGTGGAATCCGGCCCACAGTGTTTCACTCGGCCAATCACCACCCCGACCGCCTGGCCCTCTTTCCTTCGAGATAAACAAACCTTCCGACTTCCTCAACACACACGCGCACTTGTCTGTCCAGCTTCCCAGACAACCATGGATGCGAAGGTATGTCTTCCCTCTTCTTTCATGATCATTTCGGTGCCCGTTTGCTCCTCATAGCCCCGCGACCGGCGTGCTTGGCCTCGAGAAGTATTGTTTACAATCGTGATGATACGCTTGGCTGAGGCCCGGACCTCGTGCGGACCAATTCCCACCCACTGTGTTTCCATGCCCTGCGATACAATAAACTCCAGACTGACCCTCATGATCTTTCTCTAGCCCCAGCGTATCCGCGTCCGTGGGGATGAGAACGCGCCTCCCTTCGCCGCCCTGCCAGCCTCCAAGTCCCTGCATCAGCGCAATAAGTCCACTCCTGCGCTGGGCCTGATGATGCAGAATGCGGTCAACAACGGGGCTCGTCGCACTGCCTTTGGGGATTTGAGCAACACCAAGAATGCCCTTCGTTCCAGTCGCGATGATTCTGCGCTGGAGGGAAGGCCTGTGGGCAAGCTCCTGGAGAAGCCGGTCGCAGTGGACAAGAAGCCTGCGGTGCTGGCCCAACCGGCCCAGCGGCCCATGTCCATGTCGGGGCTCAAGAGCCTGCTGAACAACGTCGTCGACTCCAAGCCTGTCAACCCTGCCGGAAAAGCGCTGCCGGTCCTCAACAACATCACTACCAACAACACCCAGGCCAAGCGCAACAACCTGGTCTTTAGAGATGAACTGCAACCTCTTCATGAATTGAAGGAAACATCCAAGGAAACTACTGCCCGCTCCTCCACCGTGTCCTCCATCACCATCGCGCCCTCGCAGGCCTCGTCGACTACCGCCAACGACAATCTTGCTGTGAACAAGGCTTCCAAGCCCCAGGAAAGCTGGAAGAACGAGTACTCGGTGGTGCTTGCCAAGAAGCCTGCTGCGTCCAGGACATCCGAGCCCCTCAATGCTTATGACCAGTACAACTACGACTCCGTCGCGTATGACTATGAGACCGACGAGACCAAGGCCCAGGGTCTCGCTTCCAAGGACCCTGTCTCCGCGGTTTCGGAGCCCGAGGAATACTGGGACGATGAGGCCTACCATGAGGTGGACGGCCAGCTTACCGCGCCCTCCCAGCGCTCGCGTGGCGACATCACCACTGGTACCGCGACCACTGTGATCTACCCCAAGATGAGCGAGACCACCAAGGGCCAGATGTTCCAGGCCAAGGACATTGTCGAGTCTACCCGCACTGCGGAGGACATCGAGGAGGATTTCTGGGATACCAGCATGGTTGCCGAGTATGGCTCGGAGATTTTCCTTCACCTGCGGACCCGCGAGGTATGTTCGATGATACGATGGAGGAAAGCGTTACTAAGCTCTGTGATAGATCGAAATGCTGCCCGAGGCGGACTACATGGCCAACCAGGCCGAGATCCAGTGGTCGATGCGCTCCGTCCTGATGGACTGGCTGGTGCAGGTGCATCACCGCTTTACGCTGCTGCCCGAGACCCTGTATCTGTGCGTCAACTACATTGATCGCTTCCTGTCACGGAAGATTGTCTCCCTGGGCAAGCTGCAACTGGTGGGCGCAACGGCACTCTTCATCGCTGCCAAATACGAGGAGATCACGGCCCCCTCCGTCCAGGAGATTGTGTACATGGTTGACGGTGGCTACACCGTTGACGAGATTCTGAAGGCCGAGCGCTTCATGCTGAACATTCTCGACTTCGAGCTCGGCTGGCCTGGCCCGATGAGCTTCCTCCGCCGCATCAGTAAGGCGGACGACTACGATCTGGAGACCCGCACTGTCGCCAAGTACTTCCTGGAGATCACCATCATGGATGAGCGCTTCGTCTGCACTCCTCCTAGCTTTGCGGCCGCTGGCGCCCACTGCCTGGCGCGGCTGATCCTGTACAAGGGCTGCTGGACCCCCGCCCACGCATTCTACAGTGGATATCTCTACGCTCAGCTGATCCCGGTGATCACCACCATGCTGGACTGCTGCGTGAACCCTCGCCGCCATCACGGTGCCATCTTCGAGAAGTACTCGGACCGTCGCTTCAAGCGTGCTGCCCTCTACGTCGAGACCGAGATCATGCGTGGCTTCCTTCTTCCTCCCGTGGCTGACCTGTCGAACCCGGCTCGCCTGGACGGCTACGCGAACTACTAAGCGACTCGAGCCGCGACATCCCTCTAATTCACCAACATGACACGAACCCGCAAGCTGGATACCCTCTATGCTTGCGTGCATACATCATCATTCACGTACACATTTGCTCTTCCCACTTCACGCTCTTTACCTCCTTTTCATTGCAGTCTCGGAATTGGTGCTAGATCTCGGTGAACACGGCTTACTCGGATGGGAAACTGGGGTTTTTTCTTTTCTTTGCTAGGGATGCTCGGGGCTGGGCTCGGAAGTTGCTGGAGTGGCACGGAGTTAATATCCCTTTCCTTTCTTGTTGGATTACATTTTTCTTTTCTTCTCTTTTCTTTTGTCTCATCGGTTTCTCCTTCCCCTTACAGTTGATGACGACCTTTGATGCCCTTCGATTCTGAGTTCTGAGCTTTCGGGGAGTTTCTTTTTCTTAATGGCCGGAATGGCGTTTTCAATGGACAGATAGCAGGCATAACTGCAGTGCTTATTTTTTATCTTTCTACTTCCTCCCTATTTTTTCGGGGTTAGGCTGCTGTGCAGAGCTGCCACCGCGCAGGATAATAATGAAAGGATTTGATATTTTTCATTCCTGTGTGTAGAGCTGGTCGAGAGGTGCAGGTGTATTGTTGCCCTTTGTAAGGATCTATCATGGCCACAACTCTTTACGGGAGGATGGGCACACAGTCTCTTCTTTGACTTCGTGGCTCGAATTCTCTCCCTTCTATACTAGCCCTGGGGCTCTATTCGCCAGAATTAGAAGACAACTACCTACCCGCGCGGGAGGCGTGCGCTCGGCGCGGGCTTGTGGATTGCGTTAGGATTCAAAATCTGCCTTAGCAATCAACCTCGACGTCAACATCGATACTTGTGGACTATGATTGGAGAAATCGCCCCCATACTTTAGTATTTCCAACTCGAAGCGCCTATCAGAATCCTGGTTTTGAGTATTGCTTCCGGTCTCGTGTAGATCGGATACTACGCTGGGGCAGGAAAATATGAGACATGAGATTGTTTAGAGACAATATCACTACTCCAGCATCTCCTTTTTCCTTTCTCATCTGAACTGCCGTGATGCATATCTCCACTGCTTTCCTGACGACCGCTGCATTTGCCAATCTGGCATATTGCAGCACCCTCGTCTTCACTACCCCCTACAACGATGGCAAATGCTATATTGAAGTGAAAGATTTTGAAGGGTGCACCGGAAGAACAGATGTCGCCGTTGGAAGGGTCCATGCTAATGGCCAATGCAGCGCGCGTAAGTTACTGCTTCCACTACGTGACTGAACTGTCTATGTCTGACATGCACTTCTATAAAAGTCAAGAACGAAACCTTGACTGGAGTCCATGTAGACAGTGCCGGCATATGTGGCCGTGGCGTTTTGGACTACAATTGGGGCATTGATTCAATGTTCTTGATTTACTGGAAGAACAGGAACCAGTTGGATAGAAATGGGTACTTCATCGATGGAGTCTCAAAGTTTGCACCGAGCGCGACCAACACCATCTCGGTTACCTCTCTCCCGCCTTCAGTCAGCTACTCTAGTGTGCCTACTCCTACGCCTACAGGCTACCTCAGCTTCGTCCGCCACGACGGCATTAACAAATGCTTTGCCTCGTTCGAGAACTACCAAGGCTGCACAGGGGTCGCCATCAAACCCATAGGAGAATGGGATGAGAATGACAACTGCGTCATGCGTAAGCTCTTCCTATTCCCGGATTGTTGCACATCAAGACAGCTAATGTATTTTCCACGCATCAGCTAAAAACTGGACTGCTAGCCACTGGGGCATGGCTAACGTTTGTTACACAATGTGGCTGAATTGGAAATGGGACTCCAAAGACCGGGCTGAACTCGACTTCACGAATAAGTGGGGATACGGGGCCATGCTCGAGGGAATCTCGACTTGGAAGTCGGGCGTGCGGAACACTATTACCATGTCCATGACTAGCACTCCCTCATCTTATATAGCCACTACGTCTGCTACGCCAACACCATAGGTAGCTTCGGTATAAGGCCAGCAGTTTCAGGTTATCTATCTAATGGGTGCAATGGATTTCCTTCACTTTTCAATCCTTACTGTCTGTTTCGAAATCAGCTGATTATGATGCCGTTTCGATCTGCTTATTTGCACGGCGCAGAGTTGGATGCCCGCACACAACAAGCACAGACACCTCTGCATCACGCCTGTCGACGTGGCGCGGAGGATGCTGCAAAGTTGTTGCTTGAGAAAGGGGCGGGTGTGGAAGCTATGGATGATCGAGGGTGGAGGGCGGTGCATATTGCTGCTGCTCGAGGCCATTTTACGGTCATTCGGTTGCTGTTAGAGTACGGGGATAGTGGCAAAACGACGAGAGATGGGCTATCAATTCAGGGATGTGCTGCGCAGAGGAGTCATCATGGATTAGTGGAGTTGATTCGGAACTTGACGTATTCTTGGTTGACGCCTGAAGGGGATTATCGTCTTGCTCCCGATTACGGCGGTTTATAGCGGCCACTAGGACACCCGATAACGCTCTGGAATAGTTTTTTGCTTCGAGTCACTATTCAAGATTAAAATGCTCTTCTATGGGAAGTATGTATATATGTAGGGACTTGTATCCAATTCACTGGTCTAAACCATTAAACTCAATCAGCTTCTTCACTGCATCGATGACCTGATCACCAATGTCAGGAGCATTAGAAGAAGAAGTGGACCCCAAAGAAGGATTATCAAAGCGCGCGGCGAGGGCTTCGTCCAGCATCATGCGCAGGCGCGAGACCAGTACGCCGATACGGGCCCAGCCGCGCAGTCGGAGCCAGCCATCCACGACAAGGCCGCGGCCCATGGTATCTAGTGAGATAGAACCGCAGAAGAGGAGGAGGGCGTATGCGTTGAAAGCTGAAACAAAAACAAAAAGTTAGAAGCAGTCGGGGTGTGCGAAAGAAAAGTAGAAACTTACGGGTGAGGTCGCGGATGAACACCTTGCTGGTAGCCATCTTGGTGAAATAGCTCAGATACGCCGCGGCACCGGGATAGCTCTGTGCAGAGAACAGGATGGAGCTGGGGTGGATGAAGACACGACCGTTTTCCTGGTTGAAGTACCTGATGGTGCGAGCGTCGGGGTCAACCTCGACGGTGCCGGTGACGGAGCTGGCAAATTTCTTGTCCGGGAATGAGATCTGAGCGACTTGCGGCTGGAAGGAGCCTGCTACCAAAGCGCGGAGAAGGTTGCGGTTGGAGGCGTTGCGGCTCCAGCGGGGATCGGAGTCTGAGTAGTCGACAGGGAGCACGCCGGCATCTTTGAGCGAGGTGGTGAATTGAGCGCGGTTGGACGAGATGTCGCGGAGGGTTTGGTGGGATACGAAGTTGGCGGCACACCATGACTGTGTCTGCCAATATCCCTGGGCGCGGGATCGTTCAGACCACTGCTGGTAGGCAGAGAGGTCAGTGAGAAGGTCGCCGTCGCCGGGTCGTGAGAAGCTGGCTTTGGCGGCGTCGGCCTCGTCGCGCCTCTCGCGTGGTGAAACGAACGGGCTTTTGACGGTGAGGATGGCGGCCATGGTGAGACAGGGTTCAATGCAGCCGAAGATGGAGCCGTAGATCATGAGCTTGGCGCATCGCAAGTCCGCGGGAATCATGGACAGGTACCGGCCCAGTGCAGTCAGGCGGTTATGGTCCAGCGCTCCAACGCGATGCAGGAAGCCGAGCGCGCCTTCAACGGCCATGCTCTCAGGAGGAGTGATTGTGTTGGCGAGGAAGTTGGCGACGTCGTCAATTCCTTTCATGGATTTCACGGACAGACAAAGTTGTTCCAGAGGAACACGGCGAATTTCTGGATCTGGCCGGGGTGCCATGTTGGACTCGGCCTTGCGAGTATACAGCTTGTAGCAGATACCTGCGCGCACACGACCCGCTCGTCCACGGCGTTGCTTACATGCTGCCTGGGATGCCCAGACCTCTTGCAGACGGACCATATTATCCTTGGGATCATAGCTGGTTTCTTTGACTCGGCCGGTGTCGATGACGGCAACAACATCCGAAATGGTGATGGAGGTTTCCGCAACGTTAGTGGCAGCAATAATCTTTCTCTTCCCCATGGGCGGACTCTGGAAAACACGACGTTGCTCAGCTGGGAGCAACGATGCGTGAAGAGGCAGTGGATGTGCATTGGGTATCTTCCTGACGGCAGACAGACACCGCTCAATCTCGAGCGTGCCCGGTAAGAATATTAAGATTCCCCCCGGCTGGTCCCCAAGCTGAGCGTCGATATATCGAACGGTAGATGCAATCAACTCATAGTTGATGCCCATGCCAACACTGCGAAGAGCCTTGCCAATTGACTCGTCACCTCGTCCAACATCGTCCATATCGTCTTCCAGGCCGCGCTCGCTCAACTCTGGCGCAAATCCAGTGTCCCGGATGACATCGTCCAAGTAATAATCCTGAACAGGGAAGGTTCGTCCGGGAATATTCACCAAACCAACAGACGCTGAGCCACCAAAGTAATTCATAAAAATAGTAGCGTCTAGCGTAGCACTCATGAGAATCACCTTGAGGTCCTTGCGATGACGCAGAACATCCCTCAGCAGCGCCAAAAGGAAATCAGTATCGAGACTGCGTTCATGAACTTCGTCGACCACCACATGCGAGACATCCACCAGAGAGCTTGCGACATTACCGTCGGCATCGCCACCGGATTGGATTCGACGCAGCAAGACTCCAGTGGTCACGAATGTGATCTTTGTGGATCCCTGCTTCACCTTCGACTCGCCCCGGATCACGTATCCGACTTCGTCGCCAACCGATGAGCATCGCTCGTCGCTGACTCGATCGGCAAGTCCCAGGGCTGAAATCCTTCGGGGCTGCGTACAGATGATATTGGCTGCACCGCCTAGTCCGCGTTCGATCATGTCGTCTAGAACAAACTGCACCGACTGCGTACTCTTGCCGCTTCCGGTCTCACCGGAGATGATGGTCACTTGGTGCGTGTTGACAGCCTCAAGGATAGCATCTTGTGTGTTCCACGCGGGAAGGGCTTGTCGCTTCCGTGACATCTCCTTCTGTGCTGCGCTGGCTTGTTTGGCTTCCCAAGCCTCCCGCATAGCGAGACTTTGCGAGGATCCAGGCTTCCAGTCAATGCCTTTGCGCTGTCTGCGTGATGGACGCACAGAGACCTCGGTGGTCTGGCCACCCGCCGCGGGCGACGCCGTCACAGCTGAAATCTCACGCAGTCGGCCTGGATTTTCCATGATTTCGGGGAGATTCGCTTCTAGCCAATCCAGGATGTTGAATATCATGGGCTCGCCAGAAAAGTTCTCTTCAGCATACTGCACTGCACGGCGGATTGCGCTGAGACGTATGTACGCCGGGATGCCTTTTGCCAGGATTGAGATCACCGGCGCCGTAGTGGGATAATGAGATGATGGCTCTTGGAAGCGGAAAGAAGTATTCTCTGGGATATTCGGAGCCTCACTCTGAATTTCACAGACCTTCGCCGATGCACGGGTGTATCGCTCGCCAAAGATAGCCTCCAAGGTCGACTGCTCTTCGGTCCAGGTCTCTGTATCCCCATCCGGAGTGGAAGAGAACTGTAATCCATGCACCAAAGTGGCTTGCAAAAATTCTGCTGCCGCAAGCTCATCGCCCCTCTTGCTGTCTAGCACTTGCGAGCATAGACCAGCGGGATACCCAATCGAGGCGAGTCGCTTGATCTTGGCCTCGCGAGCGAGATCTCCTGTAGCGAGACTGACGCCAGCGGAATATCCCTCTGGCAGACTCCAGCGAGGCAAATCATCCTCAGGCACGTAAATCAGAAGCCACTCCAGCACTTCCTCGCGATCTTTGCACTCCATCACAGCTTCCTCGACGTGACTGCGACGGAATCCCAAACGCGCCAAGTCATCGACAATAGCTTTCTGTTCTTTCTCCGTGATCTTGATCCCATAGGGATTCCAAACCGCATGATCCCGCAAGAGCCCTTCGATTTCCTGGCGGATTTTATTTCCCATATCTACCTTGGGCGCCTGGGACCAAATCCGGCGTCCCTTATTCTCTCCATCACTAGTACCTACCCCCAGATCCAAAGCAGGGGAAGCTTTTGCCTTTGCCTGCATCTTTTCACGCTCCGCCCTCTTCTTCGACAGGTCGGCTGCGGCGCTTTCGCGCTCCTGTTTGGCCAGGAACGGATCCGCCTCGTACATCCAGCCCTTGCCCTCCTTGGTATCTGCGGTTTTGATATCGGTAAAATCTTCCTTCCATAGCTTCTTATATGTCGGCGGGAGCATCATATGGAGATTACGCATGTTGCACACGCGGAAGAGGGCATATGCCGCAGCGAAATGGCGCGCCTCGACGGCCGTTGTTTGCGCGGCGAGATGTTTATGCGACGGCGGCAGCTTCATCGGCGGGATGACGGTCATCTCCTTCGTCTTGGGATCGATTTTCTTCAGCGTCACGGCGGAGACGAAGCCATCGGAGGTTTTGATCTGTTCGTGTGTCTTAGCGCATATTCATTGGTCCTTTGCGAAAGCATACCATGCTGTACTCTGGCTTCTCCCATTTCTGCTTTTGACAATGCTCCGACAGCATGTTCACCGGCAGCTTGCCCGTCCATGAGGCGCCCCCAATGACCTCCTTCACCGAGGGCTTCTTGGGCTCCTCCGGCGGTGCGGCGGGCGTCTTCTTCGCCTCGCTCGCCTTGTCCTTGTCGGCCTTGGCCTGCTTCGTGCCAGGCTTGGGGCCTCCACGGCCATCGCCTTTCTTTTTCGGGCCCATTCCTTTCGATCACCGGACGTGAAATTGTTTGCGCGGGGAAGAATTGATCTGGGGGACTTTTTTGCGACTCCGGACGAACGATGTCCCGCAATCATCCATGCTTCGATAAGACAGCACCAGCGTCATTCATCTACTTCGCTGTTGCGAACAATGTGACTGCTCACTCGCTACACTCATGTCTTGGAGAATGCTCTGATCGACTAATGGGCGATCATGGTTCAGATGGAGCGCAAATCAACCACCGAGGAGGATGCAGGGGACGCGCCTCCAGCGGAGAAGAGAAACGCCTGTAATGCCAGCCACGACCTCCTACAAATGAACCAGACCAAGACTAACTGCGCAGTCACCGAACTCCTCTCCTCCCAAAAGAAGCTGTCCAAGCACGGAGCCAACGTTTCCAAAACCCAATCCCCTCGCAGCAACGCAGCTTTCAGCCGAGCCTCCTTCGGCGGCCGCGACGGACTGGGCGCATACATCTCCAAACCAGAGTCCTACCCATCGGACGTGGTCGTATACCACAACGAAGACTTCGTGGTGATCCACGATAAGTTCCCCAAGTCGAGCCTGCATCTGCTCCTGCTCCCACGCGACCCCACCAAGACACGCCTGCACCCATTCGACGCCTTCCAAGACCCCGAATTCCTCGCGAAAGTGCGAGCCGAGACGCACAAGCTGCGCAATCTAGCCGCGGGCGAACTACGCCGGAGATACGCCAAGGACTCAGCACAGGAGCAAGCACGACAGGCTGCGCTGGCTGCGGACCCCCCGCCGGACGAGCTGCCACCGGGACGAGACTGGGAGCAGGAGATTAGGTGTGGAATCCATGCGGTGCCTTCAATGAGCCATCTGCATGTGCATGTCATCTCCGTGGACCGGTATAGTGGTTCCCTCAAGCATCGGAAGCACTACAATAGCTTCTCGACGCCGTTCTTTGTGCCTATTGAGGACTTTCCACTGGACAAGGATGATGTCCGCTACCATCCCACGCGCGAGGGATATCTGCGCCGGGACTTTATCTGCTGGCGCTGTGGGAAGGAGTTTGGGAACCGGTTTGTAGAGCTGAAGCAGCACCTAGACCTGGAGTTTAAGGAGTGGAAGAAACTATAGCTACTATCCTCTACAAGGGAAGAGAAGAAGAAGGATCTTGCAACTAGTGATAGCTGACCCCGAGGGGATTCAGCTGGTGTTGCAATTGATGGGATGGATTGACCATGAGAATCTGTGAGGCTTTCCAAATGGTTCTCTCAACAGGCTGCACGAGTCCAACCCTGTGTTTTTCTTCTTTGTAAATATACATGCGCCGGGCACAGGTTCTTGTGAATGGTAGTGGAATGTGCATTCCAGCCCTATTCCACACCACTCCAAGCGCGCGGCACCCTGTTTGAACAGAATGAACCAGGCTAGGAGTCTAGCCTTGTTCGATCTATCACATTCATATCCCCAACGTCCCCTGAAGTATTCGCCTCTCATACAAGTTCATGCCACAGTTAGATCCAGCTTAGATCTAGGAGCGGACCTTGGTACGGCCACCCTTGACCTTCCGCGCCTCAGGGCGGTTGATGTGGTGCGTCGGAATCCAGTCAGCGTTGTAGGTGGTGGCGGACGAGACAGCAGGGCTGGTGGGCTCCTCCGTCGGGCCAGTGGACTCGCGCTTGGGGGTGCGCTTGGCGTGGTCGGCCTTGGTGCTCTTGCGCTTCTGGGGGAAGTAGGGAGCGATCCAAACAGTGTAGAAGAAGTACACGACACCAACAAAGCAGGCCAGGAGGAAGAAGTAGAGGAAGATGCTATAGTGCCCATTGTCAGTCAATTGAGTCATGCGGACGGACTGGGGGATCTTACATCTGCGGGTCGAAGATGCTAGTCTCCGGCTCGACGACGCTCACGGTGCCATTGTAGGCCGAGACAGTGAAGAAGTTGCCCTCGTGATCAGCCAGGATCGCGGCGATGCTCAGGCGGATATCCTGCGGGTGCATCTCGGTCGCGAAGTCGTAGCTCACGGTCTCCTTCTCCCCAGCGGGAATCTCAGCACTGTAGCGGGTGGCAGTCAGGTTGCGGACCACGGTGCTGGTCTCATCAAGAGACCACAGGCTGCCGCCCAGAAAGTTCAGGGTGACGGGGTTGGGCTCATCATTGCTGAAGGTGACCAGGGCCTGGGTCGGGCGACCATTGACCAGCTTAACGCCGAAGATCTCAGACGCAGGGAAGGAAGCCTGCGCGGTAACTGCGACATTGGCCGCCTCCGCAGTCGCTTCAACCTTTTCAGAATCCTAGAACGTGATCAATTAACCAATGCGTCCTAGTTGGGCAATTGTTGGGGCCACCGATGCAAGAATCCGGGGTGCACACAAACATACAGCGAACGCGGTGCCCACGAGGGCCTGGAGGGACAGAAGAGCCAGGGAGAGGAAGCCAAAGCGAGCCATTGTGGATGCAGGGCAGAACCGTAGACAACAAACAATTGGGGACAGGGAAAGAAGAAAGAGAGGGATAGGAGGAAGAAGGGGAGCGGAATGAATTTCTCCACGTATGCCGGTATGGCCGTCCGCACTGGTCGGGCTTATGTCAGCCAGTCTAGCATGGAACCGTTTGTGCAAGCGTGTTTTATTTTTTTCTATGTGGCAGTGATAGGTCCTGTAGGGTCTAGGAATAGCTCATACTTCAGACGTGTACAGGACCTCCAAAAGACCAATCGAGTGGAACGAACAAAGCGCCTACCCAGCGCCTAACGCTCTAACAGGTTTCAGTGGTTGATCCATCCATCACTTAAAAGACTGGGGCGCACCTTCCCTTTTTCATCTTTACATAATTCACTTTTCCTGAAGAAATCGCGATTTCTGTAAACCACACCTCCTTTCTTCCACTTTCTCTCTCTTCTCCAGTCAACTACCGGACTTGTGGTTCTACATGCTCCCTCCACCAATAACCATGGCTACTTCGCAGACCTTTTTAGAGCGCTATGCTCAGATAGGCGCCCTGGATCAGCAAAAAAATGAGCTCATCGAGGTAAGGGCTGGTCGCGCTTCGTGTCAATGGCACTCAACTCACGCACTGCTCGCTCGCAGGAACTCTTGCAAAGAGTCACCGATCTCGAAAATTCCTTTCGGCAGGAAAAACTCGACCGTGAACGAGAGACGCGCTTCAACCGCGACATCCAGCTGCACGAGATGGAGTTGATGGACCAGATATCGCGAATCAAGACTATTATGGTGAGCGCCGGTCGTGCAGGAGATATGGGACGGAGCTGATCAAAGTCGCGTGTCTGCGCAGGACCGAGAACCCTTCGTGGTCGTACTTTTGGACGGAGAAGGCATAATTTTCAGGGACGACTTCTTGCAGCTCGGCGAACAGGGCGGGCGCAGTGCGGCCAAGCAGCTATGGGCCACCCTCGAAGCCTACGTCGCCGAGACTTTCCCAAGCGTCATTTCGCCCAAGATAATGACCAAGATCTACCTCAATGTGAAAGGGTTCGGGGAGATGTGCGCTCGCAATGGCATCACCTCGGAGCCTACCACCATTAATGACTTTATTCGCGGCTTTAATGAGTCCCTGTCCTTCTTTGAGATCGTGGATATTGGCGCTGGCAAGAACAAAGCGCACGATAAAATTCGAGGTCGGTGTGGCGTGCTTGCTTCTGTCGAGAACCTGTTTTTGCTAATGATCTGCTCCGCTCTCTAGAGTCCCTCAAGCTTTATTTGTACAATTGCCACTGCCATCAGATCTTCCTTGGCTGTCCATCGACCAGCGAGTATGCTCGTTTCTTGGAAGACATCTTGACAGATGGGGATCTCACCGGCCGCATTTCGCTGGTGGAAGGTCTTCCGTTTGAGAAGGATATGGAAGTCGTGAGGGAATCTTACCGAGTCACCTCTTTCCCGGATATCTTCCGCATGGTCAAAATTGTTGCACCCTGGAATGCGCCTTGGAGGGGCACTCTGGCGACTGCATCCCGGTCTGTGCTCACCCCGTCGCCCACCCAGCAGTTCCAGCAGACTTCGGCTCCTCTGTCGCGAACCTCCACCAGCACCAACCTTTCGGGAGCCGGTGCGCCTTTGTCGGCCTCGACCGCAAATCAGGATCCTGCCGACTTCCAGCCGGTCGCCCGCTCCAAGGCGTCCAATTCCACACCTCCCAAAACTGTCGAACGGAACAAGTACGGCCAGCGCGTCGACCGGTTTGACTTCAAGGCTATTAATCGGGATGAGCTGAACCGCTTGAAGAAGCTCAAGCTCTGCAACTATTATTTCCTGCTCGGAGAGTGCCCTAATGAAGAAAACTGCTACCATGATCACGACCGCAAATTGACCCGCCAGGAACTTCACACCCTGTCGGCAATTGCTCGCATGACCCCCTGCCGTTTTGGATTGGATTGCTCTGACCCGGATTGCATCTACGGTCACCGCTGCCCTCAGAGCGAACCTGGCAAGAAGACATGCTTCCGGGGTGAGAGTTGTCGCTTCGAGCCTGTGGCGCACGGCATCGACACAAACATCGTGAAAGTGACCAAGGTTTGATTTGGTCATTCTGGAAAATAACGTGAATTTTTCTATCCTTGAACTGTCTTTTTTGCAATGGGGTCAAAAAACTGGGATTCGGCGCACAGGTTGCCAGGGATACTGCATCTTGCTTTGAGGACACTGGTTTCGGGTATTTGCCTTGCCCTTTACATCACCAACTTTCCCTGATTTTACATTGCACATATCTGTCCTATCCCTTTCCGTTTCCCTGCATCTATCATGACTTCTGCAACTGGAGTTTTTACCGGGTTGTGGTCATTTGTTTCTCTGGGTCGGTGGGCACGCGCTTTTTTATTACTGGAAGCACTCATGGCATATGGGCGGTTCGTGCTGGTTTGGGAGTTTTATCTGGCGAGGACACCGGTGCATCATTAATGGGGTTTGTTTTGTTTCTGGTTGACACGGAGAGAATCTCTGTCGACCCATCCGTGCTTTTGATTATTTCTTTTTTGTCTTGGGAGGTCTCAATGCGGCGTGACTCCTCCGTTCCAGAATGTATCTAGTTTTGAAGGAGATTTTGTACGAATAGGAAAGGTTCAAGTGGTTATCAATGGAGTTCCTCGGACATTAATTTTGTCTTAAGTATATGAGACGAAACGAAGCATAGTACAATCCGTCCCCAAAACGGCGGGACAATGGGTATATCTGCATGGGATGAATGAGTCCCGCCTGCGCCAATATTGCAGAAACGCCTTTCCTTCGCTCCCAAACTCTCAAACCCCAATCATGGATCATGACCGAATCGTCGTCCCAAACATAGCAAACCGTCGCTCCCACCCAAAACAATCCGGCTGGCTGCATACCTCCCCGTCCACGGCCACAGCATCTGGATCTGTCTGATGAGAGCAGCGAACACCGTACTCTTTAATACAGCAGATGAAAGGAAGCGAAACACTGGGAAACGGTGCCCAAGCCTGATTGTTTGTGGAGGCAGCGGCAGCTTGTTGCTTTTTCTCCAGGAGATCGCCCCACAGAATAAAGAGCCTTTCTTTAAGTTCCGCGAGACCTTTCTTATTGCGGCGTAGACTGAAAAAGGCCCTCAAGTTAGCATGTCTTTCTGATATATTTTCGAAGGCGGGGGACGTACTCTGTAGGATCCAGACAGAGGAGATGGACTCCGTCGGCGCCACTCACGAAAATCTTCATATATTCTCGCGGCTGGTTTTTCGAGGTGTTCGACTCGCCTGCTTCTACTAGGAGGCAGAAGCGCCAGTCCCAGGTCATGTGTGGGCGACCATTATAGGTCGAATTGCTGTGTGCACCGCTTGTTTCTTCGAGAATGGAGTTGTTCGGGACGGCGACGGCGAAGTCTTCGATGTTCGGAGGGAAGAAGTCTACTACACGGACGAGGGGCCGGTAGCAGACGTTTTGGAATGGAAGTTTATAGGTGAGGTCGCCGGGGAGAGCATTGCGGTGGGATTCGCGGGACAGAATGTACTCCAATGACTTGGCAGGGATCTGATAACCAGATGCTGCAACTATTGTTTCTGAGTCAGTGAGACATTCCGTTAACTGCGGCAGGGCATCGACTTACCGTGTGGGTTAGGTGTTGGCCGTGCCGTTGGCTGCAGAACCGTCTGCCCTTCCTTTACCTGGGCCTCTTTTTCTTTCCTCTTCTTTTGCTGCTGTTGCTGCTTCTGCTCTTCTTTGGCCTTCCGTTTGTTGGCCTTTTCCGGCTTCTTACTCGGTTGGCCATGGACTTCCCAGTATTCTTTTCGGCGGCGCATCAATTCCTGAGTGCGCTCATCGTGTCCATCTTGGTACAACCGAACATGAATCTTCTCGTTATATCGCTTGTCCTCGTGGACGACAGCCTCCAGGATGTCGCTGGCGCGGCGCATCTTGATATGGACGTAAGTCAAAAGCACGATGTCGCCAACTTTGACATTCTCGCGTGCGTAGCCGGCGTGGGGCTCCCACAGAGTGACCTGCATCACCATCTGGCCCCAGGGGCCTGGCCACTTGTTCCTGTTCAGGGACAAATGGTTGTATAAATCCCCCCTCGGGACCTTCGTCATTATTGTTCTTGTAGTCAATGAGGAGGGCATTGCTGGTGTAGTCGGTGATCTGCAGGATAGTTTTTTCGCTGTCGTAGGTGTTCATTGTCACCACTTGACCCAGTAATTGAGTGATAGTGTTGCGCTGAGCATCCTTGATGAGTGTGAAAGGACGTACTCCCGTGCTGCGAGCTGCGATATGACCGTCGGGCGTTGCGGTAACAGGCGTTTTTGAAGCTTGAACCACAAAAGTCTTGGATTTCTGGGGCGGCGGCACCGAGTTGCTCTGTTCAGAGACACAATCCAGCAATTTCAGAGCTGCTCTCGTTTCAGTCGCAGTCGGTTTGAACGGTTCGGGTCCGCTGTTGATCGTCTGGCTGGAGCTTGGGTCTGCCTCGGGGCGAAAGACTGCCCAAGGAACTGTATCGTACTGAGAAGCCACACCAGTCGGTTTACCCTGGTACATCCGAACCCGGATCTTGCGCAGCAGGACTACATCGTTGAGGCGCACCTGGGGCAGGAAGCTCTCCTTGTCGTTGAAGTACTTAACCTTGAGACCGCCCTGCCAGGTGGGGGCGTCGAATTCGGAGTCCTTGATAGTGAAGGTCACGCATGATGATGATCCTCGCGTGCGAAACACATCCAGGGCATCCACCACGACGCCGACGACGGTGACCAGGCCGTGGGACGAGCAGGCGGTGGGGATGTCGACCAGCGAGGTGGCCATGGAGAGGTGGTCAGGGAAGTAAGTAGCTGGCCACGCCCATAATAATCAGTACGCGTTCCCGCAACAACCCACGGGCCAATCAAAACACCTGACCGGGCCCCCTCCTTCCCACATATCCCACTCTCACTTGTGTTCTTGCCTCCTTCCCTCCGCCAACCATCCCGCCCATCCCTTTTTTCTTTTCTTCTCGTTGCAACTCCTACTCATTTCATTCTCACCATGGCGGAACGATATATCCCTGAGCATCGCCGCACTCAGTTCAAGGCCAGGAACCAGTTTCGCCCCGATGAGCTCCGTCGCCGCCGTGAGGAACAGCAGGTCGAGATTCGGAAGCAGAAGCGCGAGGAGAACCTAGCCAAGCGACGAGGCATCCAGACTCGTGATGGTGGAATCGGTGTGGGTGGTGGCATGGCTGCCGCCACTGAGAGCGACGATGAGGCTTCGGCCATCGAGAGCGAGGTACGTTTTTTCTTGTTTTTTCCTTCCTGTTTTTGTTGTTATCTGGGCTACTCCCGACGGCCCTGGGCTGCGCTGGGCAAACTCTACGAGCCTTTCCGTGGCACCCCGAATCCCGTCTGGCCCGCCCCTCCCTTTGTTATTGTGATGCCATCATCAACATGGATTTTTTTTTCACCGCCCAGTTGCCCCAGCTGCGCCCCTCACAAAAACACACGATGTTGCGGGGACGGAAAATTTGGACACATAAGCCCAACGCTAACATGATGGATTTTCTAGCTCAATGTCGAACTCCCCCAGATGGTGAAGGGTGTTTTCTCCGACCAGGTTGAGGAGCAGATCCAGGCCACCACCAAGTTCCGGAAACTGCTGTCCAAGGAGCGCAACCCTCCCATCGAGCGGGTCATCGAGACCGGTGTTGTGAGCCGTTTCGTGGAATTCCTTCGCTCCCCCCATACCTTGGTGCAGTTTGAGTCTGCCTGGGCCTTGACCAACATTGCCTCCGGATCCGCCCAGCAGACCCAAGTCGTCATCGAAGCCGGCGCCGTCCCCATCTTCGTCGAGCTGCTCAGCAGCCCCGAGCCCGATGTTCGGGAACAGGCCGTGTGGGCGCTTGGAAACATTGCTGGTGACAGCCCTCACTGCCGTGACTTCGTTCTGGGTGCTGGTGCCCTGCGCCCGCTGCTCAACCTCATCAACGATGGCCGCAAGCTGAGCATGCTCCGCAACGCTACCTGGACGCTCAGCAACTTCTGCCGCGGCAAGACCCCGCAGCCCGACTGGAACACGGTACGTCTACATTGAAATTCGAAGATTCGAATGCCGACTAACTTCCTTCTCTTCAGATCGCCCCTGCCCTCCCCGTCCTCGCCAAGCTTATTTACATGCTGGACGACGAGGTCCTGATTGACGCCTGCTGGGCCATCTCTTATCTGTCTGATGGCGCCAACGACAAGATCCAGGCCGTGATCGAGGCCGGTATCCCCCGCCGCCTTGTCGAACTCCTCATGCACGCTTCTACTTCCGTGCAGACCCCTGCGCTCCGCTCTGTCGGCAACATTGTCACCGGTGATGATGTCCAGACCCAGGTGATCATCAACTGCGGTTCGCTCCCCGCACTGCTTTCGCTTCTGAGCTCCACCAAGGATGGCATTCGGAAGGAGGCTTGCTGGACAATCTCCAACGTCACGGCTGGTAACTCGAGCCAGATCCAGGCCGTCATTGATGCTGGCATCATTGCCCCGCTGATCAACCTGCTCGCCAACGGCGACTTCAAGACTCGCAAGGAGGCCTGCTGGGCTATCTCCAACGCGACCTCGGGTGGTCTTCAGAAGCCTGATCAGATCCGCTACCTGGTTTCCCAAGGGTGCATCAAGCCCCTCTGTGATCTCTTGGCCTGCCCCGACAACAAGATCATCCAGGTTGCATTGGACGGCCTGGAGAACATCCTGAAGGTCGGTGACATGGACAAGGAGTCTGGTCAGGGCGAGGCTCGCGTCAACCGCTATGCTCTGTTCATCGAGGAGGCTGGTGGCATGGAGAAGATCCACGATTGCCAGAACAACGCCAACGAGGAGATCTATATGAAGGCCTACAACATCATCGAGAAGTACTTCTCGGATGAGGACGAGGCCGCCGGTGACATTGATGAGCTGGCTCCCCAGCAAACCCAGACCGGTTTCGCTCTTGGCACCGGCCAGCAGCAGCCCGGCGGATTCAACTTCGCCAACGGCGGCGGTGACTCCATGGACATGTAAAGGGCACGAATGCCTTTTTTTGCCCTGTCATAGTCTTGAGAGTCCCCCCTTCACTTGATATACGCTGAGCTGCCTCCAACGTCACTTCGCTGCCTCTTCTGTGCTTCGGGACGCTCAACCATCCACCCAACCGGCCTCGCTTCCAAGCAGAGCCCAAATTTGCTCTGCTCCCCCCACTTCCCCCGTTCTTCAGCTCCGGCTCTAGTCACGATTCTCTTTCCAGCCCCCCTTCTATTTTTTTTTGCTCCTGTTTGTTTCTCACTCACGATAAACAAGATTCACCGTCATGTAACCCCCCACCCCTTTAGCATTCTCATACACAGGCGTATTTGTTTGCGGGATCGGTTCTTTCCTCTCCTATGTTAATGCACCCCTCTTCCCCCCAACCCCGCCCCATCTGGTGTTCCTCGCGTGGGTTTGGCCCCCCCGAAGAACTCCTTACCCCTTCGTCGACCACTGGCAATGGCGGCCCATTCGTTGGCGACGTTTGCACAGATGTTGCTCTTCTACATCGCCGATGGTCTGGTCCAATGGCGCCCCCCTGAAAAGCTTTTTGTCATCTCGCAGTTAGCCAGGAAAAATGCCAAGTCCTACAAAGCAAACTTGTATTTCGAGTAGCACGTTTTCAGTAGAATGATGGTAAATGTCACTGTGTATCTGTATTATTCGAACAGCAAGACGTGCCGCAAATCTGTAGACACGGCTTTACAGCGGCATTTCGTCGTAACAGCGTTGAGCCTGAGTCTATGTCTACATAAAAAGAGGAAAATAAATACATCCAATCCCAGCGCAAGCCATATGACCTATGCCAGTACGAGAGAAAGAGATACAGCAACAAAAGGGGAATAGATTTGCATCAGAATAAGGTAATAAATAATAAGCATGAAGAGCAAAAAGATATCGGAAAGAGAAAAACAACCGTAAAAGAGATCGATGTCATAGCATACACACAGGTCGCGGGTTCCATATCCGCAAATAAGGTAAATGGGAAAAGGTCTTTTAGGGACAAAGGAGAATAGATATGACCGGGAGAACGGGGGAAGCATCAGTCACCCATGACCTCGTCCTCATCCTCGTCAGGCTCAGCGACTAGAGCATTCAAGTCTTCGATGTCCTCGTCCGCGCGGTCGATATCATCCTCAACGAGTCCGCGAGCGCGCAGATCATCCTCATCATCTTCTTCCATGGGATCCGGCCCTCCACCCTCTTCTTCCTCCTCCTCATCATCATCGACGACACGTTCGGCTGAGATAGCAGACGTCTTGCTAGTCGGCTGGCCCGCGGCGGCACCAGGTTTGGCGGGCTGCTGCTTCGCTCTGCTTTTCGGCGCGCTCCGTGGTTTCCGCTCTTCTAGGTACGACAATACCTCGCGGTAGTTCTGGCCTAGCGCAGTCTTGTTGCGCAGCAGGCGCTTCTTCAGGGAGCCGCGCTTGGCGCCAGAGGCGTCGACGATGCGGGCGATGATTGCGAGGACGAGCTTACCAGTTAGCTCGCACAGACGCTGCTCGGCCACGATGTTGCTGCGGAGGCGCTCGTTGGCCACTGCCTCATCGTTGTCATCGTCACTGGCCTCGTCTTCATCCTCAGGGTCGTCTTCCGGAGCTTCTTCGTCAGCGGGGTCGATGTTGCGGCCGGATTTCTTGGCGAAGGTGCGTTCAGCGATGCCGTGGATTTTGGTGACGAGGGCCTGAGCATCATGTCCGATTTCGTGGACGAGGCTTTGAGTCTGGAAGACAACGTCTTCGTCATTGCCATTGCCCTGTCCGACGTTACGGAGTGTGCTGAATAACGTCTGCAGGTCCAGGAAGGTGGTCGTAGCTGTGAACCGTAGTTCATCGAGACCAGAACGCTTCTCCATAATTCTGGTGAGGGTGGACGCGAACATTTCGCGACTTTTGGTGAGGGCTTCGAAATAGGATGTCGTGAAGGATGCTTTGCCGTCATTCAGCGCAGCAGCCAGCCCTTGCACTTTCCACATGAAGTAGAAGAGTAAGGTTCGGAGGCTGCTCGTCACGAGCTCTGCCTCTGCCTGGGCCGTCTCCTCATCCTCGTCTTCCTTGAGGACGCCACGCCCCGCGAGATGTATGAGCGTGTTGAAGGGGGCTTCCGGGTGGTCCTTCTTGGACCTTGAGCGGGTGCTAGGTACCGTTTCAAGAATGCTGGTGCAGTCTGTGATGCCCGCAAGGTTCGAAATGCGCGTGACGGTGTTGGCCAAGTCCGTGAGGGTCGGGTCGGAGATGGATCCTCCTTCCTGGACATCCTTTTTCCGGGACAATGCACCAAGTGCCTCCACCATATCATCCCATAGCTCCTGGATTTTGCTCTCCAGCGCCTCGCGCATCTCATCGGAGCTCTTGGCATGGAGGAAAGCCACGCTTGCCTCCGCCAGCACGTCTTGGTCCGAATGGGTGAGGAATTGCTTGTTGATATCATTAAGCAAAGACGAGTAGGCCGTGGCATCCTTCTGGAGGTCTTGAATCGCGTCCAGGTCGACAAAATGCTCCAATCGCAAGACCGCGGAAGCTGCTTCTGGGGTAGACCCGAACTTGTTGAGAAGCTGCGGAATAATCTGTGCCAAGCTGTGGGAGATTTCTTCCTGGAGCTCGGGGATCTTCTCCGTCAGGGCTTTCACCTTGCGTCCTCGCTTGTCAATATCGGACTTGGCAACATCGAGAACACGGAGCTTCACGGCAGCGCAGAGAACCTCAAGCAGAATTGCTTCCTGGCCCTCCTGCATCTTGTACAGGTTTCTCACAACTCCGGTCGTGTCATCTTCAGACGGGTTGTCGGCAATCTGGGAGTGGTCGTAGAGCAGGTAACCGGCCAATGCTTGCCATTGAGAAAGTTCTTCCATATGGGGATAAATTGCCTCCGTTGCCAGAACGAACCGTGAGTCCAACGGCACGCCTGAGAGCGAGTCACGCGCCGAGGTCCGTTCTTGCTGCTGTTCGGATTCCTGCTGGTCATACGCCTGAAACATGTCGACCAGGCACTTGAATTTGATCCATGCCCGTTTTGGTGATTCGTAGTCATCCTCGTCGTCGTCGGGAAACATCTCGGTGACCTCATCTCCCACTTCCTCAGTGATTGATTCAAATGCATCCTGCACATTGGACACGAAGAAGCGACCGGCTGTCTTCCGGATGCGAGGATCCATATCGAATACCAGCCGACCAGCGGCATCAATATCGTCTGGTTCAAGGAATCCGGCTTCGCGGAGATGATTCAACAGCTCAACGGCCACCCCACGCACATTGATGTCCGCATCCTGGACAGCGATCTCAACGATGCGTGAGCGGAAGCGCTCGGTAAAGGAGTGAAGGCCGCCGATGTTATCTCTATTCTCATACAGGGGCAGCAACTGTGTCAGGGCAACAAGCCGGACTTGCGAAACCATATCCGCAAGAGTCCAGCCTAGATACCTCAAGTATTGCCCTTCAAAGAAGACCTCGCGGTATGTGCGAATCCATCGGCCCAGAGCCGCCAGGCACTCCGCACGGATCGTCCCATCAACATCCCGATAGCGGTGGACGAAAACCGTGTCGAAGAAATCCTGCAGGAGCTCGTCGAGTCGCTCAGTCTTCTCCTCACCCTCGGAAACAGCCTTCTGGATGGCGTCCACGCGACCCTTGTTTACGGACTTTTTCTTTTTTTCGCTCTCGAGTTGCTTGCGAGAGGTTGACACGGTCGTCATTACCTCCCGGGCAATATCACACAAGGCATTCATGATTGCCAGACCAATGATGGTCGCGGTATGCCGAAACGGCCGACAACCAGCGGTAGACATGGAGGATACCCAGACGTGAATATTCTCGAGCAGGGCGTCATCCGTGTAGAGGACCGATGAGTGATGGAAAGTCTGGATGAGCGCGACCGTATACTCCTCAAGAAGAGGCTGAAAAGCTCGGTATTTCTTTGCCTTGGATATGAGGGGGTATTCGGTGATACCCTGAGCCTGGTATAAATTCTGCAAATCCTTGATGCGGTCCGGAGCATTGTCTGCATCTGCCGCCTCCTCCTCACTGATCTCGAGATCCGCTCCGGCGCACCGTAGAATGAAGTTGATCAAGTCGCGCAGGCCCTGCCCGTTGTGGCGTTGGTATCGAGTCAGCCACTGGGCGGCAGCGGTGTCGGCATTGTTGCTCTTCCCAAAAACCTCCGCTAAACCAACACTGTCAGCCAGATTGTATGTACGGAGTTGCAAATAAAAAATCACATACCAAACAGCCCACGCTCACCAGCCGCGAGACTGGGTCGAGGCCTCACTTTCTTTGGGCGTGAGCCCGGGAGTCGGCCATTGGCCGGTCGAAAGGCTAGCTGGCGTGCCAGTCCGTTGGCTGTGACCTTGGGTTTCTTTGCCGCATGGGATTTCTTGGGTTTGGATAGTTTCTTGGTGGTGGCTTTGCGTGCCGCACGGCGCTTTTCTCTCAACTCCTCCTCGTCCGCGTCTTCGTCGGCGGCTTCGTCACTGTCCGACTCTGACGTGTCGTCGCTCTCCGAATCATCGTCGCCACGGGGCTCGCCTCGCTTGCGTTTGGCAGAATGCGAACTCTGGGAAAAGATATCAGGGCGGCGCGTCGCGCGTCCGGATTTGCGTCTGTCTTCGGCGGGGGTTGTTGATCCCGCGTCGACCTCCATGGTGCAGGATAAGTCGTGTAGTGACGATAAAAAGGTGAAGGTCGGCACTAGCAAATGGAATATGCCAAGCAGGCCAGTGTGTTCACGGCGGAGATGTGTTGCAGAAATCAAGAGTGATCCGCGCTGCGGGCGGGACGCGTGGGAGGCTTTGCGAGGATTTGAGGGATCACTGACCAGCGCGTGTCAGGACCAGGGGGAAGTGGTGTAATCGAGATGCTGCAAGTTCAAGGAGATTCTGCATTCGCGAAATGCAGAACCAGAGTATTGGACCAGAAGCGAGAAAACAAAGCACTACGAGGAAGAGGGGGAAGCAATCATAACGAATGGGGGATGTGAGTCCGGGACGCGATCGTGTCGGAGGTGCCTGACTGCCTTGTGGCCTGAGTGCCTAGCTGTGATGGCCTGTATTCCACGGCAGCAATACCCGTATGCATCCCGTCACGCCGTGGGTCGACGTGGATCACGAGGCCGCCAAGTCAGGACGGAATGCCGTAATAGAAACTGCTTCATCGGCTCCATTCCAACGGTGGACACTGGAGCCAAGGACGCTCGCTACATAAGCTGCCCCGCTTGAAACGGAGTCTGTCCACTCGGCGCCCTAGACGCCATGGGCATCAAGGGCCCATTGACTCCAGCCCGCATATACCTACGCCATTCGTGGCCGCTTGTGACTAATGAATGATACCATATTTTGGTATATACACCGGGTCTGCCAGCCCCGACTCTGGGGTAATCCTGAATATTCTGCACAGCATCATGCTGCACTGCTCTGCTGCTGACCGCCACATGACCTGACGAGTTGCCATTTGCGCCATTCTTGGCTGATTCTCACTGTCGCTTCATAAACCCTCGGATTTCCTCCCTCGGTCCAGAATACCCCGTTTTCCAAACCATGCGACAACCGGCCATGCCTATCATCTCGCCCTTTGAGTCTTCCATTGCGAAGCCCGGCCAGGGTACCGTGGTCCTGTCCCTCCTCCCGCCCGCCAACCCAACCCTCACCACCCTCACCTACAAATACCCGTTGAAATTAGTCCCGCGGGCACCGGGATTCGTGGGCAGCAATGGCCATGGACCGGCCTCAGAGGAGTCGAAGAGTCCCAGCCGGCCGGTGCATCTTTATCTTCTCACCTACGGCGGCGGGCTCCTGCCAGGTGACCACATCGAGGTGTCGATCACACTCGAGCCGAAGACGAGGATGGTCGTGACCACGCCGCAAGGGAGCACGAAGATCTTCAAAACGGACCCCAACAACCGCGGCAACATGCCCAATGTTATCAAGGGCCACCGCAAACAAATGCCCGCCAACGAGCACCTCTCCGACATGAGCCAGCAGAGCCTGGACGTCCGGATCGGCCGCCAAGCGGCCCTGTGCTACTTGCCGGACCCCTCTGTGCCCTTCCAGAACAGCCGCTACGCCCAGATACAGACCTTTACCGTGGATGCCATCGCCAAGGGCGATCAGCGGAGTAGCCTGTGCGTGCTCGACTGGGTGACACAGGGCCGCACGTCTCGCGGCGAGGACTGGAACTTTCGTTCCTGGCGGGGCCGGAACGAGGTCTGGGCCAAGGACGAGAAGACGGGCAAAACCCGACTGTTGCTGCGGGATTCGGTCATCCTGGACGATGAGGACGAAGACCTCAACAGCGACGAAGATGAAGACGAAGACGACGACGAGGAGGAGGGCACCGCCACCGATCTCGGTGGGGACAGCCACTCCGGCCGCGTTGACACTCCGCCGCCGCAGGCCGGCCTGGCGCCCATGAACATCATCCAGGAACGGACACGGCCGCACGGCGTTGTCGGCACGTTGATCCTGTCCGGGCCTGTATTCGACGATCTCGGTTCCTTCCTCATGCACCAATTCACCTCGCAGCCGCGCATCGGCAGCCGGAATTGGTCGGCAACTGCCCCGGCCTCCGCACAGGAGCCCTCGCTCAGCACAAAGGGCAACGTCACCTGGACCGCGGCGCGCGTGCGTGCCGGGTTCGTGCTTGTCAAATTCGGCGCTAAGGACTTCGAGACCGCCAGGCTCTGGCTGGGCGGACTGCTCCGCGAGGAGGGCACTGTGGCGCGCGAGTTTGGCGAGGAAGCCCTATTTAGCTTATGAGTTCTTCTCTGTTGTTTCTTCTCTCTCTCTCTCTCTCTCTCTCTCTCTCTCTTCTTGCGGGCGCTGTGCTGAGAACAAAAAGTGTTCAAGGCTCAATCCGATGATACCCACGATGCGTGGTCCAATTCTAAGCGGCATTGGCTCTCATTTTCTCCACTAACCATGCTTTGTGAACCTATGCATTTCTGTTTTGTTTTGTCTAGCATTTAATTGTTTTGATTTCGGAGCATTGTCAACAAGATTGCTCTCTGCAAGCCACATAACGTCCTTCGGGACTAGCTTGCTGGAGAGGGAGTTCGTGGAGTCTAATATAATCCCTGAGTGCCAAGTGCTGGCCGACGACGGTGATTGGGATGGGTAACGAGGACATGTGTGCATGTATTGCAGCAATTTCACTTTCAATTTCATCACACCATCGCATCATGGATGCCTTTGGGCATAAGAAGATCATTCTATTCAATTTCGTAGTCTATCGTAAAATAAACCCAAGGTATCACGGGTATCAAAGAGAAAAAAAAAAGACGCAGATCAAGGACGCCAAAACCAAATAACGGCAAGAAACAAAGGAGATCATTCCCGAGCAGTAAGATCATTCATCATCCATTGAAAAAGACCGGGACACAAACCCCTAGATCAATCAAAGCCACCAGTCAAAAACGCGAATCTTCCAATCCCCCTTAGTGGCCGCGACCAAATCATCAACGTTCAACATATCAACCCCCTCCTGCACGAGAATGCGCCAGATATGATTACGCAGACTCCGCGGCCAACTGGGCAGCGACCAATACCGCACCTTCAAGCCATGCGCATGCGCGACCCGTATCTGCGTCCGGAGACGGGCCATTTGGCTCTGCGTGAAATGGAATGGCCAGGGGAAGCCGATGGCGCTCTTGAACGAGACGGAGGCGTAGTAGCTGTTCGTGGTGTTGAATGTGTTGGCTGTTATCACGGCCGGCATGCCGGACATGCCCTGGCCGTTGTCTGGAGAGCGGCGTGTCATGAAGGTATCTGAGGGGCTTTGTGCAGACGAGGTAGAATTGCTATTGCCATTGTCGTCGACTAGCTTGTCGAGCGGGGCGTCGAAGAAAATATCCCTGTAGCTCGAGTTGGCCATGACGAGATCAAAAGGCGTATTTCCCGTTCCGACGACGGTGATGGGACCACTGACGACCTCGTGGCCATTGAAATGGGTTAGATAGCCGCGCTCGCGCAGCGGAGCGAGCTCCTTTACGACAGCCCGCCAGGTCGCTGCGCCGTCAGTTTTGAAGTCAACCAGCAGGATCAACGTTTGGGACGGATCTGTATCGAAGACGCCGTTCAGCGGACGGCGGCCGACTCGCGACTGGAACCTGTTGACGGGGTTCTGGTGCTCGAGAATCGTGACCAGCGGGTCGATGTACATCGACCGCAGGGTGCGGCGCGAGGTCAGCGAGGACCGCGTGTGGCCGACGTATAGCTCGTCGTCGTCGAAGGACCACACGTCTGCCTCGACGCCGATGCAGCCCGCTTGCAGGGCGGAGTACAGAGGGACTCGCCGCCAGTAGTCGTTGTGCGAGTGGCACGCCACGGGAATGACGTCCCGCGAGATATCGGTCGGCCAGTGCGAGATATCCTCCACGATATGGCCGTCGTCGAGATACTTCCAGTTCTGCGCGGCGCGGTCGTATTCGTCTGGGAAGAAGCTGAGGACAATGCCGCAGACGAGAGAGATGAACTGGATGATGCCTCTGATCATTGCACTGTTAGCTATGTAGCATTTTTATTTTCTCTCCTGCGAGGAGGTGCAGGAAGGGAAGTAGTTAGGTACTCACAGCAAAACGAAGAAGACGCGGCATGCGCGGCCCAGATACCGCCTCCATCGAGACCACCGCGAGGGAACCTCCCCCAATGGCGGCTCATCCTTGTATCCAAACTCGAGGGAGGGAGTCCCAGCCTCCCGCCATCGAGTGGCAGGTTGCCCCTCCTCCTCCTCTCGTTCTGGGGTATGTTCCTCGACGACGTCTGTATAAGTGTCAAAGGGAAACTCTAGCAGACAAGTCGTCGACGACGAGCCCTGCGGCGGTAACTGCTGCACGGTCGGCGCCATGGTGATGCTGAGGAAAAGAATACAGCGCCATTTTTATGATGTTTTCCCGTCCGTCTTCTTTCTTGGGTTTATCCATGGTCTACGATCTACCCGGCGAAGCATGCTTCGACGCTGTTGGTCCTGATAGGCTAGGGCCCATGGAACGTGACCGGCCAAACCCTCAGGGACAAACCAAGTCTGCGTGTGATGGACTGCGGTGGTCGGATAGGGTCAGCGATCATTTGTATTTTTAACTACTGCAGGAGGAAACGGGGAAGATAACGAAAGAAGAAGAAAATATATGCTAAGGGACTATGTACATGCAACGGCCAGAAACACCCACGTTTTTTTTGGTATGGTCGGATAGTAGCAACCCAAGAGCCACTCACTCATCCTCCTCCTTCTGCAGAGATTTGACATAGGCCGCAGCGCGCGCCTTGATCTCCTCGACCATCTTCTCATCTCCCTCCCCGGCAGCAGCCCGCTTCTCCTCAAAGGCCAGCCACTTCTTGAACAGGAATCGAGCCTGCTTGGGCTTGAGCTTCTTGCTTTCGTCTACGCTAACGGCGCCACCCTTCTTGCCGCTCTGTAGGCCAAGGACCCGCTCAAACAGCCGGCGTACCTGCTCCGCATCGCCGGCCTTGATCTCTAGGTCTAGAAGCACGTTCCACAGGTCAATGCGCTTGGGGAACGAGGATAGCAGGCCCTCGAACACCGTGCGGCCGCGCTCCACGTCGCCGTTCGGGGAGCGGAACTCCAGTTGTCCGAACTTGGTGGTCGTCTCGACGTGAGTGTGCTTTGGCAGGGACTGGATGGCGCGCGGCAGAAGAGCCCGGCCACGCTGCGGTGCGGCCATGGTGTCGAAGAGGAAGGTGGCGAAGTTGAGGAAGACCTTGGGGGATTGGGTGCAGATCTTCTTCTTGAGAGCTGCTCCGAAGAGCTCATCTGCTTTCTGTAGAGAATGGTTGTTAGCAATGAATTCCGTAGCGAACTGGGTTGCGGGGAGAAGCAGGTCGGTGCATACCTCGTTCTTGCCGGACTGGATGTAGATGCTGATCATCCGCTCGTAAATCTCCTGCGGTTCGTTGTATTGGCACGCGCGCTTGAAGACGTCCTCGAGGCTGTCGTCATTGCCATAGGTGTTCTCCAAGTTCAGCAGGGCAACCCACACATTGAGCTTCTCGGCATCCTGGCCCATAGTGATGGTGCGCAGCGCACGCTCGGCAATGGCCCGGGCCTTTTCGACTTCGCCCAGTTCCAGCTGGAAGGCCATGTACTGCAGCCACAGAAGAGACGAGTCAGGCTCACCCAGAAGAAGACGCTCGTAATCCGCGACAGACTGTGGGCCGTTGGCATCAAGATCGCCGGTGCGGTCGACTTGAATCTCGGGCTTGCGGTTCTTCTTCTTTTTCTTCGTCTGCTCCTCGTCACTGTCTGAGGCGGCGGCCTGAGCCTCGTCATTTTGGACGTTGCCGCTCCAGTCAAAGCCAGCCGCACCGAGTCCTCCAGTTTTGGTGGGCTTGCTGTCTTTCATCGGCACATCTTCGTCGCTGTCCGAGCCTTCCTCGTCACTGTCGTCTTCCAAATCGAGTCCTCCCATAGACACATCGTCATCATCATCCTCGTCTTCGTCGTCGCTGTCTCCGACCTCGACATTGCCAAGGCCGTCAATGCGCACACCATCTTCTTCGTCCTCGCTGTCAATCTCCTCATCATCCTCATCTTGGAAGTGGGAGGCCTTGAGCGAGAACGAGATCTTGTTCTGCTCGCGATCAATCTTAATGATCTTGGCTTTCACGGCGTCGCCTTCGTCATACAAGGTCCGGGCATCTTCAACGCGCTTCTCAGCCATTTCGCTGCGGTGGCAGAGACCGCTGATATTAGCGGAGCGGTCAATGACAATGAATGCACCGAATTCCTCGACCTTGCGGATTTTGCCCGTCACCACCTGGCCCACCTTGAGGTCTTCAAGCCGGACCGGAGTCTTGTAGTTGGGGTCCAGCACAGACTCCTTCAGGCTGATCTGCAGCTTGCCCTGCTCTGGGTTAACCAGAGTGACCCGGCCCTTGACCAGCTGGTCCACCTGGAAGGAATCCTTCCATTCCTTGAGATATGAATCCGAAAGCTCGGACACGCGAACGTAGGCAGTCACGTCGTTGCCCACGGTAACAAAGAGACCAGAGTCTGCAATCTTCTTCACGAAGCCTCTGACGACATCGTTGGCTTTCAGATCCTTTATGGATGTGATTTCGCGGTCCTGGATTGGCATCGACGAGCTGAGAACCTTGGAAGGCCGGAGCGACAAAGCAATCTTCTTGCTTGAGTTATCAACGGCAACCACACAAGCGCGAAGCACCTCGTTCTTGTGGTAGACCGTCGGATTAGCCTTGGAGTAGTCGTCGGCCAGGTCAATCATATTGACGGCACCGACAAGCCCCTCACCGAGCTGCAAGAGCACCTGGCGCTCGGTGACCTTGGTAACTCTTCCAGGCAAGATCATGCCGACGGAGATATCTCCAAAGGCGAGCTTGTCGAAGCCTTGGCGGGCGGAAAGATCAAGGTGGCCCTTTTCAGGGTTAACAGCAGTAACCTGGACCTTGAGTGCAGATCCAATGGGGAAGTTCTTCTCCACATCCGTCAACAGAGAGAGGTCATCAGATGCATCCATGAAACGAAGTCTGCCTCGCACGTTGGGGGTTAGGTTGATCCAGAGACAGTCATCGGCAACATTATTGACGAAGCCCATCCAGGACGAGCCGACTTGAACCTGCTCCAGGTTCAGCGGAGCTGGGTTGGCTGCTTTCAAGAAGCTCGGCTTGAGCGTGAGCTCGAACACTGGGTATTTCCCGGTGCGATGGCTGACAGGCAAGAACTTGTGGTTGCGAGCATCGTGAATGCCCAGGATCCGGGCAGAGAGTTCCTGCTTGGGACGGAAGAATCGAAGAGGCTGTTTCCGATCCTTGAGATCCTCCCAGTTGTCGAAGACCTCGGAAACGTCAATCCGACCTTGGATGTTGTCTGCCAATTGGACGTTGACTTGAGTGGCCTTGATGGAAGCAATCTTGCACTTGACGATCCGCCCGAAGGTGAAGTCAGACATGGCCTTGATATTGTCGTCAACGGGGTTTGCGACGACATCGTCGGCAGGGGCAGCCTTTTGCTTAGGGCCTGCATGAGAGGCCTCAACAGGCTTCATGCTCAAAATGAAACGCTGCAAGTCAGGTTCCACGGAGTGGACTGTCACAGAGACAGTTTGTCCCTTCGACAGGCCGAACTGGGGTTGCGAGAGGTTGGCATCTTCGATGAGACGCTTCGGGACCAGACCATTGAGTTCACCGAGGAACTCAACAAACACACCAGCGGGAGTGATATTCCGGACAAAACCCGTGACTGCGGAACCCTCCTGTAGTTGATCAAACTGGCTGGGCATGGTCTTGCCCTTGGAGGCCTTCTTCAGGCTGGCTCTGCCAGACACTCTGATGAGACGGCGGGAACGCTGGATATCGAGAACCAGAAGATCGTTCAGCTTTTGTCCGACTCGAATTTTGGAGAGAGTAGAGCTCTGCTTGGACGGAGACCCATCGATGATATGCTGAGCGTCCAGACGAGCGACCAGTCCTGAGTCGTCGAGCTTAAGCAGGACGTCGTCGGTGGACTTTTCAAACACTGTTCCGGTAACTAGGAGACCGGGGTGGATATCTTCAAAGGCCTTGCGGTACTTCTCAGTGAATGTCGAGGGATCCTTACACGACACAGTAAGTCTGCCCGTTGATGCGTCCACACTGAGTGCATGAACATTGACCACTTGACCCAGTTTGAAATGCTGGGCTGGATCTTTGATGTAAGCCTCGCTCATCTCCGACACGGGCAGGAAGCCGCGAATAGAGCCATAGAATTGGACAACAGCACCGTGTGCCTGAAGGTTGACGATGGTTCCAGGGGATTGAGACCCAGCAACAATGCCTTCGTAGTCCTTCCAGATGGCAGACTCGCTGTTGAGCAAGCTCTTCTTCAGGGTCAAGCGAATCTGGCGCTTCTCCAAGTTGACTGACAAAATTCGGGCCGAGATTTTCATGCCGTCGCGGAACTTCTTCTCTGGGAACTGAAGCTGGGTATCTGCAAAGTGCATAGAAGGCACAAGTCCGCTAATCCCATCTGCCAGACCAACAATCAATCCATCCATTCCGGTAGGACCAATCAAAATCTTCTCTACCTTTCCTTTCACAGTCGCGCCAACGGTGACATCCTCAATGCGAAGGAAGGGCTGTTCGATGACAGTCTTTTCGAATGACAGGAGGTAGAGGTTATCGAGCATGTTGTACCCGACGATTCTGGCCTCGTGGGAAGACCCAACGCTGTACGGGCCTGAATCAGCGGAGATAGAGTCGACCTTGCCGTCTGATAGCCTAGAAATGTGGACAAAACCAAGGTGACCCGTTCCATTGAGCTGAACATAGACACCAAGTCCAGAGTCGACCTTCACGACCTTGGCCTCGGAAACGATTGCCGAGATAGCTGGTGCATCATCGGACGAACCAGGGCCATGAGCATCCGGCGACAGCTTGAGAACGTGGTCGAGCATCGAAAACCCAACCTTGAATGGCTCCGCGGATGGGAAAGTGGAAACGATACGGGCCTTCAGCTTGGCACCAATCTTGAACTTCTTCTCCAAATCATCCTTGCCAGCGTTGGCGCCAGAGTGAACCAAGTCAACCGTGGTGTCCAGCATGCCCATGATCTTTCCAGCCATTCCATGTGAAGAAACCTCAGTCAAAAGAATCTCAGCAGCAACACCCGGAAGGAAAGAAGCGATGGTAGGGGCGGAGGCGAGATAGTGAGATTTCTTGATCGAGGCGGAAGATTGGAGATTGGCAGACAGTTTGACAACATTGCCACTGGTGTTCTGGCCTGTGATCATACACAGGAACACGGATCCTTCCTTGATGCTCGAATACTCAATTCGAGGGTCGCCTTCTTTGGAGGACATGAAGCCCTTCAAGTCGGAGCCTTCGATGCCAAGGTCCATGACCAGACCGTGATCCTCCACACTGACGACGGATGCTTGGACCGCCGAGTTCGCAACCAGGTCGGATTTAGAGAGACCCGTGTTGGCTTGTCTGGGATCAACCGACAGTTCAATGCGTTTCTTGCTTTTGCCGCTAGTCTCATTGGTGTTGCTACCGGCGGACACCACGAATGCTCGCAAATATTGACCCAGGTAGAAATAGTCTTTCAGTTCCAAGGAATCCTCATCTGAGCTTTCTTCCTCGTCATCGCCCTCCTCGTCGTTAAGCATCTTCTCAATCTTTTGTTCGATGCCCTTCGAGACCGCGGTGAGAGGGACGTAGCCAGTGAGATTGTTGGGAAGGGACAGGGCGATATCGTGGGCATTGATACTCGACACTTGACCAAGAATCATAGATCCGGGCACAATGCGCTGCGAAAAAATAGTAAGCATGGCTAGTCCAGGCTGCCATTGGAACAAAATTCTCATACCTTAAAGGTCAGACCCTCAATGCGAACATCCTCCTTCTCAGCGGGCTCCTGGTCAGCATCCTTCTTTCCCTTTGTCTTCTTCTTCCGCGACTTTTTCGTAGTAGGCGCAGTATCCTCTGCGTCTTCCATTTCGACGTCGTCCTCGTCGGCATCTTCGACTCCACCGGCCGGTTTCTTCGGTCCTTTCGGTCCCTTCTGTTCAAACAGGACATCCTTGGTCGCCTGAATCTGGATTTGCTTGCGCTCCAATGGCGTCAGGACGCTGCCACCACCACGGGGAAATGATGGTTCATCCTCCCGCAGCACAGACAGTTCCGAAGCTTTCGGGGCCAGGGCATCTTTCTCTTTCTTCTGATCTTTTTTGCGCTCATCGGCACCCACTTTAGCGCGCTTCTGGGGCTGTCGAGTAGCCGTTTCCTCGGGGGCATTCCCCTTCCGCTTGATCGGCGCCATAATGAGCAGGCGAGGCCGATGCGTGGATTGTCTTGCGGACCAAAGTAAAAAAAAAAAAATGAAAATCAAAAATCTGCCGGTCCGATGGGCGGGTAGGCGGTGAACCAAGCGGTGGGTAAATATTTGCATGATGGCCGATCCGCGCCTTAATGGGCCCTTCCCGCGTCAAGACACGAACACGCCCTGGACTCGCGACGTGCTGCAACTCCGCCCTCCTGGCCGGGTCCCTTTTTTTCACACTCTCATTCCCATGCATCCCACCTCCAGTCACTCTTTGTTGCTTTGAGGCTCACCATGGACCTGGTCTCCGGTCTCCCCGAAGTACCACGCTCTGAACCTATCCCCCCTCCGGCCCAGGAGCTCCCATCGTCCCCGCCCTCAGTAGTGTCCGATGCTGGTACTCGACGGAAGCTCAGGAAACCACCCCCGGTCACCCCCCGGTCCTTTAGGAAGTTTTTTACTCCTCGGTCTCTGCTGAATAGTGGCAATAATGCGAGCAGCGTTAAGACCAATCGCCAAGCCTTGAGGACTCTGAATTCCCCCGCAGTCAACCGGTTGGGTCCAGCATTTACTAGAACGTCCAAGGCCAGCAGCACTAGGAGTCCCCAGAATGGCGTGCCAGATTTGCCGCGAACTCCTAACAGGAAAAGAAAGCATTCGTTCTCCTCAACGGCCTCTCCTTTGCAGTCGTCGCCTTTGAAGAAAGTTCGTTTGATGTCCCCAACCGGAGATGAAAATGAACATAAGGCTTTAATTCCAGACTTCGGTGTGGCTTCGCGGGGTCGTCAACTGGCTCAAACCCCTCCAAGCCCTCCAAAGCTTCCTCGGCCGGTTTCACCTGTTAGCCGATCACGAGCACTGCAGACATCCGGTGCCCTGTATATGCGAAGCGTGCTAGGCACACGCGCAAACCGGGTGACCATACGATCCAACTCGGGAGCTGGTTGGTGTCCAATTCGATCCGTACTACATCTCAATCTCACATTCTTCCAGGCTGGCAAGACTTAACATCGAATTTTTACTCGCGACCGGAGGATCGTCACTCGTGCGCGAGCTATGCTAACGAAGGATCATTGGCCCTCCCATTCTGCAATGCTTCATGCAACAGTAAGTTCTTGTCAGCCCTGTTATGTACGACTGACTGCTGACACTGATGACAGCCAATTCGCTGGTTGCAGTGGGTGATGAGGAAGGCGGCATTCGGTTGTTAGATTCGTCCAAAGATGACGAGCGCGGCTTTTCTGAGGCGTACCTGGGTTTTCGTCCTCACATGAATTCAGTCATGGACCTTGAATTCTCGTCGGATGATATGCTGTTGGCGACCGCCTCTGGAGACCAAACATCTTTGGTCATTGATATGACCACGCAACAACCTATCTACTGCTTATCGAACCATGTCTCATCTGTGAAACGGGTCCAGTTCCAGCCAGCTGCAAACAACAAGGTTCTTGCGACATGCAGTCGGGACGGTAATGTCAACATCTGGGACCTTCGTTGCAAAGGGGTTGAGCGACCTTCGTTGCAAGTCCAGTGCTCCCTGGAATCCGAGGGTGATCATTCTGCCATGGCTACAGCTCCAAAGGTGACCTATCCTCATGTCCTGAATACGATCCATGGAGCCCACTCCTATTCCACTCCCCAGAATCAGACCTTGGACAAAAATGACCCGCCTCCATTTGGCCGCTCTGATATCACGGTCACCTCTCTGGCCTTTCTGCCTTCTGGCCGTGAAAACCTCTTTGTTACTGCGTCAGAGGCCAGTGCGAGTGTGAGGCTGTGGGATTTGCGTACGGCGCATAACAACCGGCGCGGTCGACCCGTCCTTCCTCTGTCTACCACTCGGGAGCCGGACAGCCATGTCAAATATCGTCGGTTTGGTCTTACTTCGATGGCGTTCGGTGGCGATGGGGCGAGACTGTACACGCTTTGTCGTGATGGCACAGTTTATGCATACGCGACTTCGCATCTGGTGCTGGGACATGCGCCTGAGCTCTCATTAAACAACAACCGTCCGCGGCGTACAGGAGGCGCTGATAAAGATGGCCTCGGACCTCTGTATGGCTTCCGCCACCCACGTCTCCAAGTTTCTTCCTTCTACGTCAAGCTCGCTATGCGCAAGGCGGCCAATGACCGTCCGGAGATGCTGGCTGTCGGCAGTAGCGATCATTGCGCTATGCTCTTCCCCACCGATGAGCGGTACCTGGATTCGCCTGTTCAAAAGCCAGCGGACGACCCTCCGCGCCAGCCTTCTCTTTTCTCAACTCGGTCTGGCCTTCGCCGCACCAATTCTCGAGTTGGCCTCTCCGGACGACTAGAGGACACCATCCCAATCTATCAGTCTGGCACTTCGCTGGTCGAAGGCCACCAGAAAGAAGTCACTGGGACCTCGTGGACGGCTGACGGAGAGCTTATCACCGTGAGCGATGATTACAGTGCGCGATGCTGGCGTGAAGGCCCCGAGGCTCGCGAGCTTCGGACTAATGGCGAAGGAGAGGGTCGACGCTGGCAGTGTGGCTGGGCGGCTACGGTAGATCCCTACGACGACGAGGACGAATAGTTTCCGCCATGTTTCTGTCTGTTTTTTCTAGCACTTTTCGAGGTATTTCTGTTTGATTTCCTGTGAGCATTGTCTGGCGCTTCGGAGGGTACTGTGTCTTGTTAGCGTGGCATACCTGTTTTGTTGCTGCATTTTGTCTGCTTCGGCTTGTATGGATTGCATTTGCGTGTTTTCGAATCCAGCGAGGTGTTACTAGGGCCAGGAGTTTGGATTGAATAGATGTTTTTGAGTCGAATTGTTTATCGAGGTCTTGACTGGTAGAATATAGTGTTGTTGCCCATGGTTGGCTGGCTGATAAGATACCGCTCGCCCCAAGAAAAAAAAGTTGCGCAACTCAAACCTCCGACCTCCATCCCCCAACCACACCCACCATGCCTCACAAGCACAAGCGCCGCCAGAATGATGAGACGTGAGTCAAAGGCGATTGATAGTCTCCAAGTTAATACTAATAATCCAAATCAATCTGCAGAACCTTCAACCTCCCACCATCGGAGCTCGCCAAACCTCTTCCCGTGCGCGACCCGAAATTGAAGAAAGGCGGGCCAGGAAAGAATAAGCAGACGCAGCAGAAGAAGCAGCCAGAGGAAACCTCGGAGAACACCAAAAAATCAAAAAATCAAAGAGCCAGCGCCAAAATGACTTGGCAGATGATACCCCAAAAGCCTTCCGTCGACTCATGCAATTCCAAACGACCGGTCAGCGCACGCCGTCCGGGCTAGATACAGGGAAGAAACAGCAACGACAACAACAAAAGAAAGACAATACCGACGGCTCCGAAGGAAACAACAAGAAGCGAAAGCGAGAGGATACCAAATTTGAAGCCGACAACAACAAAAAGACAAAAGACACCGAGTCGGCGCAGGAAATGCCCAAGATCCTACCCGGTGAAAAGCTCTCCGATTTCGCGGCGCGGGTAGACCGCACGCTCCCGCTGTCTGCTATGAAAAAATCAACCGCCCCTGGAGTTGGCAAGATGCGCGAGGACCGACAGACGAGACACGAGAAACATTTACGGCGGCTCCAGCAGGGGTGGCGCGAGGAGGACGCGCGGATCCGGGAGCGCGAGCAGGCCGAGAGAGAAGAACGCGAGACGGAGATGGAGGATGAGTTGCGGTTATGGAAGGAGTGGGAGACTGAGGCTGGGGCGGGGAAGGCGAAGAAGAAGGCTGCTGCTGCTGCTGGGAAAAAGAAAAAGAAGGGCAGGAATGATGAGATGGGGGGCCATGTCAGCGACGATGATGACCCGGATCCATGGGCGAAGCTGAAGAAACGGGACCGCGAGCGCAAGGCCAATCCGTTTGATGTTGTGCAGGCGCCGCCGCAGCTGACGAAGCCGAGGGAGATATTCAAGGTGCGCGGCGGGGCAAAGGTCGATGTTGCGAATGTGCCTGCTGCGGTGGGGAGTTTGAGGCGTCGGGAGGAATTGGCTGGGGAGAGAAGGACTATTGTCGAGGAGTATCGGCGACTGATGGCGGAGAAGCGAGGGTGATTTGATTGGCATTGTGTGGATATATTCTTGTATAGAGGAGCCAGCTCACGGCCTACTGAAGTTCTATGAGGTGCAAAATGCAGTCTGTACGTACAGATGCAGTGGAAAACCACCGCCCAGGTCCATTTCTATGAAACATCGAATTATCATTTTTTTTCTAGCTGGGGAATTCACAAAGCACAGTAGCCCTAATGGCCATGGCCATCATCCTGCTTCTGCTCCGGGTCCAGCTTGATCATCGTGTCAATGCGCATGATGGCAATGCAGGCCTCGACGGCACTCTTGAGCTGCTTGATCTTGCTCATGCTGGGCTCAAGGACACCGGCCTTCAAGGTGTCGTGGACGCGGCCCTTCATTAGGTCCAAGCCGTAGTTGCGGTAGGTCTTCTTCTTGGCGATGGCCTTTTCTTCCTCGTTGACATCGCCCTCCTGCGCACGCTGTGATAGGGCGTGGCGAACACGGAGCTGGGCAACTAGCTCGGACGAGTCCTTGGCTGCGTTGACAGCGAGGGTCTTGGGGATGATGAGGAGAGACTGGGCGAATTCGCCGATGGCGAGCTGCTCGCGAGAGCCCTGTAGAGGAACAAGTTAGAAATGAGACATCAGAGAAGAATTGGGAGAGAAACTTACTACTGTGACTGCGAATTCCTCCAGATAGATGTGAAGAGCTGTTTCCACGGCACCACCTCCAGGCACGATGCTTCCGCTCTCCAGGGTCCGCTTAATAGCGCACAGAGAGTCGTGGACAGAGCGTTCCATCTCGTCCAAGCTGAACTCATTAGCGCCCCGAAGGATGATCGAGGCCGAAGTGTGGACCTTGGTTCCCTTGACAAGAATACACTCGTCATCAGAGATCCGTTCTTGCACGACTTCCTCGGCGTGGCCCAAGTATGACGACTCGAATTTCTCATCTCCGTTGAGGTCGGACAGAGTGCTGACCAGAGTGGCACCTGTGGCCTTGGCGATGCGTCGCAGGTCCTCCTTCTTGCAGCGGCGGACAGCCATCGCGCCCCGCTCAACGAACAACTTGAGAACCATGTCATCGATACCCTTGGTCGTGAACACGACGTTGGCACCGGACTTGAGGATCATCTCCACCCGCTCCAAGACAATACCGGCCTCCCGCTCGCGAATCTTCTCCAGCTGATCAGGGTCTTCAACGGTGATCTGAACGCCAAGCTTCATCCGCTCCTTTTGCAGGTTTATGTCCAGACAGGCGATCTTGGCATCGGGAATACGGGTCTTCATGGCCTGGGAGGCAACCGTGCAGTTCAGGGCATAGCCATTGACCAGAACCGACTCAGTTCCACTCTTACCGTGAGCCTTGAGCAGGTTCACAGCCTTGACCGGGTACTTGGTCTCATTCCTCTGGTTGGTCGTCTTCACCAGTAGCATCGCGTCCACACAAAGGTTCGCGAAGAAATCGGGATCGGAACCAATGATCTTACTCGACATGGACGTCTTCGCAATGTTAATCAAGCTGTCCTTGCCCAAGTTCTCCACCTTGGTCGCGACGTTCTCGTTCATATATTTCACAGCCTCCCGCAGAGCCAGCCTGTACCCGTTGATGATCGTGGTGGGGTGTATCCGGTTCTTCATCAGCTCATTCCCCCTTCGCAGAAGCTCGGCAGCAATGAGGACGACGGAGGTGGTACCATCTCCGACCTACTAAAGATTAGCAACTCGACTCTCTAGACAGGCGTAGATTGTCCCTCGTACCTCCTTATCCTGCTGCTGCGCCAAGTCCACCAGAATCTTGCCCGCAGGGTGCTCAATATCCAGTAAAGACAGAATCGTAGCGCCATCGTTCGTCACAGTCACATCCTAGCAATAGTCAGATACCGATTCGAAGCTCTGCGGGGTGTTGTGGTGTTCATACACCAATGTCATCCACCATCATCTTGTCCAGACCCGAGGGACCGAAGGAGCTCTTGATGACATTGGAAATGGCCTGGGTCGCGAGGACTGCAAAGAGATTAGCATTCAAACCCACCACAGAAGCTCGACACTCATCCCACATACCATTTTGCTCGCGAACATCGGCGCCAGTGATTTTCTGTCCACCCAAGACTGTGTGCGAGAGATGTTAGTCCAATGCTGCAAGGGTTTAAGGGGAAAGAGGAACTCACAGAGAGTATCCGCATTCCGCGGAGCCTCAAAGATGCCAGCCATGACGGAAGTGTAGCGAGAGTGTGTGATGGCCGAGCTGTGCTTTCGGTTTGGGGGGGAAATAATGGGGGGTGATTTTTGCCCGGGCGGTGAGGCCCATTTGTTTTATCCCACATTTATTTCTCAAACGGGGAGTCACCCTGTTTGTTCACCTGCTTCGCACCACACCTCGCCCTCACCATGGCTAGCCAGACTACCGACGCCTCTGTCCCTGCCGACGCTGCGCCCATCTCCCTGCCGGACCGCTCGGAGAACCCTGCCGAGCCTCAGGGCGAGTCCAAGAACGCTGCCAAAAAGGCTGCAAAGGCCGCGAAGCTGGCTGCTGATAAGGCGGGCAAGGCGGCCAAGAAGGAAAAGGGCATTGGCAAGGATGAGTCCAAGAAGGCCACCACCAAGCCTGCCAAGAAGAAGATTGAAAATGCTGCCTTGATCGGTATTGATGCCTCCAAGAGCGAGGATTTCCCTAGCTGGTACCAACAGGTAATCTCATGTCGCTAGCTTGACAGGCGCATAAACTGATCTCCATATGAAGGTACTCACGAAAGGCGACATGCTGGATTATTATGACGTCTCGGGCTGCTTCATCCTGAAGGTGTGTTATCGTTCTTGGCCAGAGAGAGAACCATTCGGCTAATTTGCTCCAGCCCGCTTCCTACTTCATCTGGGAGGAGATTCAGTCATGGTTTAATTTGAGGATCAAAAAGATGGGGGTCAAGAATTGTTCTTTTCCTCTGTTCGTGTCGGAGGATGTGCTGCAGAAGGAGAAGGATCACATTGAGGGTTTCGCTGCTGAGGTTGCATGGGTCACGCATGCGTATGGATCTCTTTTTTCATCCGTGTGAGGGTCATTATACTGACAACAAACTGATGCAGTGGTTCGACCCCTCTTGAGAAGAAGATTGCCATCCGTCCCACCTCGGAGACGGTCATGTACCCCTACTATGCCAAATGGATTAGAAGTCACAGAGACCTGCCATTGAAGCTGAACCAGTGGAACTCGGTGGTGCGCTGGGAGTTCAAGCACCCCCAGCCCTTCCTGCGAACCCGCGAGTTCCTGTGGCAGGAAGGTCACACGGCCCATCTGACTGAGCAAGCTGCTCGGCAGGAGGTTCAGCAGATCCTCGACTACTACGCGCTGATCTATGAGGAGCTCCTCGCTGTTCCCGTCGTCAAGGGCCAGAAGACCGACAAAGAGAAATTTGCAGGAGGGCTTTACACGACAACAGTTGAAGGAAATTATTTACCCTTGAACAGAATAAGAGGCGTCGAACTAACTTGTCTATAGGCTACATCCCCGCCACTGGTCGTGGTATCCAAGGCGGCACCTCCCACGGCTTAGGAACTAACTTCTCACGCATGTTCGGCATCACTGTTGAAGACCCCTCTGCTAAGCCCGGCGAGCAGAAGCCCCCTCTGCACGTCTGGCAGAACTCCTGGGGTCTGTCGACCCGTACGATTGGTGTCATGGTCATGATACACAGCGACAATCACGGCTTGGTCCTGCCTCCTCGCGTGGCGGAGGTCCAGACCATGATCATCCCCGTCGGCATCACGGCAAAGACGACCGAGGAGGAACGCCAGAAGCTTTATGCCGAGGTGGATGGCCTCGTTGCCGTTCTCGAGGCGGCCGGTGTCCGTGTCCTCAGCGACAAGAGCAGCAACTCCCCCGGCTGGAAGTTCAACCAGTACGAGCTGCGCGGTGTGCCCCTGCGCCTGGAGTTCGGCCCCGGCGAGTCGGCTGGCCACTTCGTCACCGCTGCGCGCCGTGATATCCTCGGAAAGGAGGGCAAGAGCACGATCCCTATCCCCGAACTGGCGACCGCGGTCCCTGCTCTGCTGGAAACTATCCAGTCCGATCTGTACAAGCGCGCTGATGCAGAGTTCCGCGCTCACCGCAAGCAGATCACCGACTGGGAGATGTTCACCCCTGCGCTGAATGAGAAGAACCTCCTTCTGATTCCCTTCTGCGGAACTGAGAAGTGCGAGGATCAGATCAAGGATATGAGTGCCCGTAAGGCAGAGGAAGACTCTGGCGAGGCCGAGGACTCCAAGGCCCCCAGCATGGGTGCCAAGTCGCTTTGCATCCCCTTCGAGCAACCTGAAGGGATCGAACCCGGCGTTACCAAATGCCTCAACCCCCAGTGTGGTCGACTGGCCGAAAAATGGTGCATGTTTGGCCGTACGTCAATCTTTTATCTCATTCTTACTGCAGCAACGCTAACATATTGTTACCATCAGGCTCCTACTAAGCTATTTCGTCGACTGTCGGAACCTGCGTGCGATTCTCACTTGATTTTCCATCAGGTGCAATGACATATTGGGACTAGACAGAGTCCTTCCGCGTAATAGAGGGTTGTGTCGAACCCTGCATCCATTGTCCGTCTTGCGATTGAGAGAGTCCCATCCAAGATACCTCGTAATTGTTTTTTCATGGCCGTGGAGTTAGGAATCGGGGAATTGGGTCGGGGGAAGGGATGTGGAAATGTGATTATGAGATGATTCATGCCTTTTATTATCAATTTCTCACTGCTTCTGTAAATGAGTCCAACGTAGTTTAGCTGTCTCATTCAAATCGTCAGACAACTACCGACAAGCTAGGGTTAGGAACACATGCTAGAAATGAAGAGAACCACACAGGGCTGGCTAGTGGATTGTTGAGTCAGGAACTAGAGGGAGACGAGAAACAAGGTGTCTGACAGTCAGATAAAGACCCCCAAGGAAATACACATATACAAGAGAGGGTGTACATGATCGAATTGAAAGGAAATAGTAGAAAAGAAGTAAATGAGAAAAGACGTTATAAAAAAAAGCTGTACAAGCACCAAAAACAAGGTAATTTGTTTTTGCAGAAAACTCCGTCCCTGGACAATGCGCAACCCCGATAGATAAGATATGAAGACAGTCAAGAAATTGGTGACGACACGAACACAAGGAAAACGACTTTTTGGCCCTGGGTCGGCACAGAGACAGGCAGAGAGCATGTGTGTATGGTATATGTAATAATTAGACAGTAGGTTGAAAAGAGGGACGGATGACATGAAGATAATGATTGTAAACGAGTCAGGCTTGTAAAGTAATCAAGGAACGAGAGTGCTAAAGAGCAGGCAAGAGGGAAAAGGACACTGAGAGCAGCGAACACAGATAGAGCAGATCGGCTTTTGTTCTTCTCTCTGGTATCATGAAAGCATCATTATCATGTGGCAGGGGTTTCTCAATCCAGCTCAGAGACATGGATTGAGACTGATTATATGCAGGAATCAAAGCAAAGCAAACCACCGACTAATAAGTGTCGACGGAGCGAGAACCACGAAGCTGCATCCGGGCGCGAGACAGAGGCGACAGACCAGTTTGGTAGGATGTGTTCGAGGACTTAGTAGGTTTGCTATCCCTGCGAGCACGCTGCGGCCAGTTCATGAGCTTCTGTGCGTCAACAGGTGAAGCCGAGTCGATCACATAGCGGACATTGTTCTCGTCGACGCCCTCGATCTGCACGCGCGGTGGCGGAGGGCCAGCCACGCTGGGGAGGTGGATGATATCGTCGTCCGTGTCTTCGCTAGTCTGGCTGTCCTTTGAGGGAGTGGAGTGCGCCTGCAGGCAGTAGACTGTGCCCGGGGTGTGGGGCATGATGTCGGGTGTGGTGCGCACCATGGAGGAGAGGTTGACATCTGCGGATTCGGAGCGGCGGCGTCTGCGAAATGTGGAGGTGGGTTTGGGGCCAGAGGAGGTAGGTGGCTTGTCGTTGCTCGCGCGGAGGAGGACGTCCATGTACGTCAGCTGGTCTCCCGTTGCCGGGCGAGGGGCAATGGGTTCTGCCGAAGTCTGATTCTTGATGTCCGCTAGGAGGCCTGGTGATGGGGGTGGTGCGTCGGTGTGTCTCCGGCGTGCTGGTACTGGGGAGGCAGAGACCTTGCGCAGGACCTTGGAGGGGACGATGGTAGAGATACTCCGGCGGGACTCGGAGTTTCGCCTATGTTTCATGAACGAATTCTTGCTCATCAGCTTGGGGCGCTGATTTTCCTTGGCAAACGAGTCCTGTTCTGACGACGGCGTGAATGGTGGGCCAGCGGCAGGAACGGGGACGCGCTGGAAGGCTTCGTGGGAATTGATTTCGCGCACAATGGCATCCTGGAGTGTTTCGTAGGTTGGATGAGGGCTGACGGCCTGACTGGACGTGTAGGCTTTATTGAACAGATCCATCATCTCCGAGACCTTGAAGCGCGGAGACTTAGACGAGGGACTAGGCTCTGGAAGCGGACTGCCCATGACCTCTGCAATGCTGGGGGCCCGTTTCATCTCATAATTGGAAGGCGTCGGGGGCTGGATGGCCTTGTGTGCGATCTTTGCCCGGCCGTTTGCCGCCAATTGCGTGTTGATCGAGAGGTCTCGCACGTTCTTTTTGGAGCTCACTCCCGGGGACGAAGGTGGAGGAAGAGGTCTCGATTTCAGGGACGAGCTTCGCGCTGTGGGAGCAGGTGGTCGGCCTGGGATGACGGGGCTTTCACAGGCGCCATCACCATTGCTCACTGGCACGGGTAGCGTGGGACTATCTGGTAATGGGGTATTGCTCCATCGTTTCCCTTGCTTATAAGCAGCAGGAACGCCCAGGCGCTGCACGGGGTCCGGGGCAGCATCCTCTTCAGCAGAGCTCTCTCCTGTGGACAGACTGGGAGCAGATTTCTGGACCCGAAGATGACCCGAGGATAACGTGGTAGCCGCCTCAGCCCGAGCACGGGATCTCGACCGTAGATCCTCCTCCGATGTCCATGTAGATTTCTTCTCTCCAGTGCGCTTCTTACGTTTGGAGCCCTCTGGGCTACGAACCCATCCAGGCGCCGCGGGAGAAGACCGACAACTCAAGCTCGACAGCGAGCGTACGGGGTCACCATATTTTGCAATATTCCGGTCCGCCACATCCTCTTGGTAGAGTGCCGACTGTATTCGGGAGCTGGCGTATCCTTTTCGATGTTGGATTCGGAGGAATCTGGTCATGTTCCGCTCGGCGACATCTTCGTTGTACGGACTGGATGGCGGCGAGAAGGGTTGTGCGGTAGAGTCCTGAAGCTGCTGAGATCTAGCAAGCGCATCCAGTAGGTCGACATGCCGGCCATTGGAAAGCGGTTGGGAGAGGTGAGCCTGCGTAAACGGCCCGGACAGAGAGGTGTGCGGCCGGGTTTCTAGCTGGTCGTGCAAATCCTCGAATTGCTTCTCGATCTGTTCAAAATGATGGTCCACATCAAACGACTGTTCAGGTCTAAACCCCGGAGAGGGACAACCAGGCGATGGAAGCCCGGCCATGAGCTTGGGCTCCGCTGCATACAGGTACTGTTCCTCAGCCTCCGCGCCTGTGTTTCCGAGGCTCGTTGCTGGCCGAGCAGGAGCCTTTTCTGAATGAAAAAGCTTCTTCAGAACCATGTTGCAATCCAGGAACAAGACGCCCATTTGTTAGGAATTGGGCGCACTGTGGACGGGGGACGGACCCTTTTCCACGCCTGCTGTGGAGGGGCGAGAACACAAAGAAAGTAGAAAAAAGAGGGAAAGAACGGTCCGAAGGTAAGAATAGGGACGAGACCAATGGCCGTCATACAAGAAATGAATGAACTATTGCGGTCATGGCAGCATTGAAAGCTCCGATGGCGGTTCTCACACGATCACATCCCTAGCTCCATGGTGGAAGTGGAAGGAGAGAAAGCGTACACACAAAACTCGAGGAAACACGGTGGATACGGGAAAACAAAGAAAGCAAACCAGGCTTGCCCTGTCAGTGCCCAGCGTGCAGATCGAGGCCTGGATCAGGGGCAAGCGTGGCCCGGTCGACTCCATGATCCGGCGTCATGGGTTCCTCCATATGGGGCCAGGCCGATGGGCGCGGCGACGGTTCGAACGCTAAGAAATTAAAGATGCTCCATCTGCCGGAGGACTGTCACGAACCGGCTTCGCACAATTCGCTCCGGAGGAGAAAAAGTCAAATGCTCTAGCGTGTCTCCATGCCCCATAGGGAGAAAGTAAAATGTGTTGGTGCTGGTGCTGGTGGCCGTGATAGACTGAATATCTTCCTATCTTCCGGTCCAAGCTTCCAAGATAAAACGTCCAGGCTGCATTAATTTCGCAGTAGGTCGATAGCTAAGAGCTCCTGCGGCCCTTAACGGCCCTGCCCAGGACAGCAATTGGGGGGAGAGACCAGAAAAAGAGGGCGATGGAGTCCCCAATTTCCGATCGAGCTGTCATTGGTGTGACGGAAGTAGTGATCGTCAAGCGCCAGCCCGTTCTAGCGGGTCTAAACGTGCGACCCGGTCCCTTTTATGGGGTTGATGCTAGCCCGGGCGGGAAACACACTTTTTCTGGTCCATCATTTGGAAGCCCCTCGTCGTAATGAATCCGGATTTCTTGGTCGATCCTCCGGGCAGTGCCGGAAGCGAACCAGATGTATATCTAGGGAGCAGGTGTTAGCGACTGAGGTCAGTCCATAAGTAAATAAATAATGCTCCGCCCGATTCACATCAACCTTGGAACCAAAGCCAAGCTAATAAAGCAGGGGCGAAGAGAACCCCGTGTCATGTCAGTTCATCACACAGTCACATACAGTAGTCAACTTTATCCTCCGTTGTCTGTCAGTACAGTGCGTGTGGTGGTGTGCTCCTTTCTGTTCCTGCGAACACCTGCTCCTCCGATCCGCAGCAAAAATCGATCGATCGATTTTCGGTTCGATTTTGATTTTCGAGATTGGCGATGGGCGATGGGCGATCCACACTACTAAAATAGGTTAGTGTAGTTAGTCCAGTCCAAATAAGAAGGTCGAGTCAGGGAAATAACAACAGTTGAACTTTATAAAATAGTTGATCGTGTGCTGCCTGGAAATGATCGAAAATGCCTTGCTGTTGCCTGAAACTGCCTTTCTAAGAAACCAACCAAACCGCAAGATCAATAAGAGGGAATTAGCACGGTGTGCTTTTGGTCTGGACATGCAAGGTTGCGATGTCCCGTTCGATTGCGTCGCGAGAGGTGTTGCGCCGTGAAATAGTTAGCCGAGTAAGACATGTCAATGGCTATTGGAGAGGATGAAGACTTTGACAACGGGTCACGGCTCCAGTTGTTGCCAATACATGATCGACCCAGGGCTCCAAAACAGATTCAGGTAGTGGATTCTGTTACCATGAGCGAGGAAGCTCCGGACGAAATGAGCAGCTGGCTATATCTAATGCAAGCTATATCAGGCAAATGTGTGAATGGTTGCTTGATTTCAATCGATTCAACTAACTAACCCAGATTGCACTCCTTAAGCACCGAGACACCCGAAATTCACACCGTATTCACCATATTCAGAAAAAAAAAAGCAAATCACCCCGCCAAATGGGCAGTACAAACTCCCCTAAACCTGATCGAAGTGAGGTCGGATTTACTCCTCCTGCATGACCTCCCGCATGATATCCTCAAAGGTAGGGCTGGTGCTGCCATCAGCATCAGTCTGGCCCTCGCCCTCGGTGGCGGCCACGCCGTCATCCTCAGGCACAGTCTTGGGCATGCCCTCAAGGCGGGCCTTCAGACGAGTGAAGCGCATGCGGCAGGTAGGGATCTTGATGCCGTAGACATCAGCGACAGCCTTGTAGTTGACCTGATTGTAAGAGAGTATGTCAGCAGATGTGCAGGGCAGTACAGGAAAAGATATAAAGAAACCTTTTCAGGAAGGGGTGAGAAAGACTTACGCTGCCGTTAGGTCCGGTGTTCTGAATGCAAGTCCAGAGGAACTGCAGGTCCTTGTCCTCAGACTTGGGAGTCTTCGGGACCTTAGGAGCCTTGGGAGCCTTGGGGGTGCCAGACACGTCCTTCTTGGGCGTGGCCGGGTCACCCTTCTCCTTGGACGAAGCAGCCTTGGGAACCATGTTGGAAGTTCAGAAGTTGGAGTAGAGTGAAGTCTAGGGTGGTGTTGGGGATGTGTCAGTGTGCGGGTCGGTGAAGGAGCTGCTGGTGGAAGTGATGGATGAAGACGAAAGAAGTGACAGGTGGGTAACGGCAAGTCGAGCGTTCAGACTCGATATGCGGAGAGAGCAGAGAAGTAATACAGATGTTCTTGAAGGGTAGACGGTGGGTTATATACTTACAAAGTTGGATGAAGCGTTGGGAGAGTGCGAGTGGGAAGCGGTGCGGAAGGTGAAGAGAAGATGGAGTGGAAGAGGAAGAAGGAGAAGGATGGACAATCATGGAACTTCATTATCATTCACGCGTAGGCAGACACAACCGCACACCAGCCACCCTATTTGCCTACCGATCAAACAGTTTGCCCAATGGCCCTTTCCAGCGATTCCTTCACTGCCTCCCCAAGAACCATATGAGCTCCCCGAGCAGCATCCACAGCACCATCTACTAGTGCTTCATGTCCCGACCGTCCATCCTGTTCATCCAATGCTACCTTTGAAGTGCCCCCTTTGAGCCACAGCGCAGTGATTTCATCTCGCGCGGGCATATAACCCACCACACAAGCTGAGACGATTGACCGGTGCTCAGCCGGGTCAGTATCCATCATGAGTTGTGGAGCACCACCATCATGGTCAGTGACCAAAGCAGCAACACCACCAGCCACAAGATCCAGACAGTCGATATGGGCATCTGCAATGGCCGCCGAAGCAGCGTTGATACATCCCGCCAGCACATTCATCATGCCCCACGAGGCATCGTGTGAGTCTGGCGCATCGCCCCACCAGCGATCATCCTCCGCCTCAATAATGGTGATGGTGATATCCAGTCCACTCTTGGGCCAGCGCTCTGCAATAATTGCGCCCCGAAGGGCTGTTTCCAGGTGCACGCCGAGATCGCGCTCGCTGGCGTCGCGGATATGGCCCTTGCGTTTGCGGGCCGCGAACGGCGCATACTTGACATGCGTGGTCAGGACAATGTTTGGTGAAAATGCAACAGAGCGAGGGAGCGGTTTTGGTCCATGGACGGTGCAGGCCAGCTTCAGGGCCGAGGAAGGCGGGATCAGAGATTTGGGGTTGGCGCGCGCGGCGGCCAAAGAGGCCGATGGCTCGAATTCAAGGTATGAGGAGCCCGAGGCCGATGGGATTAGGCCCGTCTTGAGGACTGACAGTACAGCAGGTTAGTTGGTGTATAGCAAAAAGGTGTGGGTGCTTAGTCCTACAGATTTTCCTGAGCTCGGAAGGTTGGCGCTGACGGCGCGCACGGTCTGCGTCCTTGATCGAGGGCAGTGAGGTGGCATATATGGCCGGCCTGGTGCCACCAGGAGGTCCATTGATGCGTCTTCGGTCAGCCATCACACATGTTGCGAAAGCAAACGTCGTTGGAGAATTGAAGATGTTCGGAATGGACCTGCCAGTGTTTGCACTGTTTGCATCGGTGGCCGCTGACGCTAGTCTCGCTTCTTTTTTTCCCTTCCGCCCTTTCCTTTTTCCTCTGCTCTTGTTCTTTCTCTCCCACACACTCGACCATCTGCCTTCAAAATGTCGAAGGCGTTGGTTTTTACTTTAGCAGCTCCCATCCCGACACTAACATAGCTTACTGTGAGTCTCTTCCCCCATCATCTCCCCCGGTTCCCCCCCCGTCCACATGACGAAAGCCTACCAAAAATTCTGTTCCGGCGACAACCCATGAGCCATGAACAAACATGCATCACCATCTGATCGACAACTCCATATCTCATTCTTTACATATTTGGATCTTGTCTATCAGAGACTGACAATGTCCAAGTTATCCAGGTTTCTGATCCCCGGCACTTGCACAGCGTTGATGAGCTCTGTCAGCCAAGGTATGAGAACAATCTCTTCTTCTATTCTGCCTTCCCTCCCATATGATGAGAAAAATTCATTCAGTTCTGCTTCTGCAAACTTCTTGAAGATAACCAAATACCATTACCAAAACTTTCTGATCCCTGTCCCAAGCCATTCTGTTCATCTTTCCCGTTCGATGACAAGAGAAAGTACTGACAGACCCAAGACATCTTCTAGGCCTTGTAACTCTTCTCTGCCCCTGGCTCCCTTGACAAAAGGTATGGATAAACTCTCTTTTTGCTGCTACACAACACCTCCCTCCCCAATTCTACATGATGACAACAAGTCAATCCATTCAACGATCTCCTCGGAGAACCGCCCCTCGAGTACGCCCCCGGACATCCGGCGTGAAGCGGTAAGCCAAGAAATGCCTATGGGCAAAAATCGCACGCACACTCTCCATCTCCCTAATACTGGACCTTACCTCCACCTGGAGGAAAGGGAGGATGGTTGTGGAGCTCGTGGAGGTGTGATTCCCGTCCTTTTTTGTCCTAGTTTCTGGCTGTATGCTGCGGATCCCGGTGTTGGGATAGGTTATGCTTGGCTTTGTGTCGACTTAGCTCGTGCTGGGCTGCTCGTCCGTCTTGGATGACTGTTCGGTGCGAGCGGCCGGCAGGGGATGGGATGAGTTAACCGGCTTGGCTGATTTTTTTTCCTTTTACGTACTTGCATTCTGCTTCTGGGTGAAGCTGTTTGCAGTGCCGTGTTTACACGCACACTCCTGGATATGGGATTTGGACTTGTGCTGACCATGTCTACAGTTCAAATCGTAAAATACTGCCTTAAGATATAGATATGTTTAGTACCTAGTGCAAATTTAATGATTGACATTTGGTCTATATTCTGGTCTATACCACCTCTCGAGAAAAGTGAAACTATCCCTGAAGCTATGTACGATGAGAAGAGTGAAGAAGGGCGACGAAAGTAAGAAGAGAAAAAAGAGATGTCCTGCTCTTCTCAAGGTCCTCAGATAGACAAACCATTTCCTTGACCGCCGGCACAACTCGTCCAGTCCGGTCAGCAGTTATCTTCTTTTTGCTTCTATCTCGATCTATGAGAATCAAACACATCGATCAAGTAAAGAAAACATCCCGGCGGGGATTTTCAGGCAGAACCACCCTGTAAGTCGTCATTGTTGACATCCCGCCACTCGTCATTCCATGCCCGGATCATGAGAGAAACATGGAGTCTCGGGAGTTCTGAGTGTGATTTTGGTTCATTCTTTCCCCTCGGTGGGTGTCGTCGTCCCGTTGGATCTGGACATACTGTAGGGAGCCTGGGATATCGTTAGCACATGAGTATTGGCGCATAGATAGAGCAAAGACATACGAGAACTTTCTTGGCGTTGCATATCCTCCACGCCAGGTTTCGGACGTTCCCATCTGCCTTGACGACTTCAGGAGCTAACTCGATACCGAACCTATGCGACCATTAATAAGCAAATACTAGTTCAGAACCGAAGAGAAACTCACATCTGATGAACGGCAAAGACGACCCGTTTGGCAAACTTGCCTTCCCGCTCGACGAGTCCGCCAAACTGTTCGTCCACGGTCTCCGGAGCGACCTCAGGATCACGGTCGAAGCAGTTGCGGACGACAGGAAGCAAAGCGTTCTCGACGGCCGTCTCGACAATGCCATTGGCATCGGCGACGGTGTCATCCTCGTCAAAGCGGCAAATGCGGATCTCAAACGGTCTTGAGATTGCCATGACATTATGCATGCCGTTGTGGTGATACCGGAACTCGAATACGCCCTGTGTCCAGAAGAGCTTGTCGCCCGAGAACACGATCTCGCCCGACGCAAAGTCACGGCTGTCGTTGTCCTTACGGTCAGACGACGGAATTACCACGTCGCTGGTGACGATGCCTTTCTCGCAGGTCAGATTGTCATAGACGCCCTCGTTGGTGGCGACCCAGCGGCCCTGTGACGAGACTCGGGAGACTTCACGCGACGTGTTATCGGTGACACGATAAAGGCCGATCCAGTCTTTCTTGCTGTGGTTGAGCGGGGCGGCCCATTTGACCTTGATGGGAGCGCCGTATTCGAAAGAGAGGTTCTTCAGGTCGCCTCGTCGGTCCAGGGGCATGCGTGCGTTGGCTCCCTCACGGCCCTTGCCCTGATCGGTGTCACCGACATTTACGGCATCGGTGCCTTCCACAGATAGCGAGTAATCACGGAGATCAAAGCCCGCCAGATCGGGGTCGATCCGGGAGATAGTGACGCGCGCAGGGTATTTCTGGAAGAGCGCCGTGGTATCCTTGACGAAGGTGTTAACACCGGCAGCTAGCTTCGGGCGGGCATTGTCGAGAATCTCCTCGATGAACTCGAAGGACTCATCGAACATCTTGTCGACACTGCCGTGCAGTTGCTGGAGAGAAGGCGGCAGAGACTTCTTCAGATTCTTGACGACGCCGCCATCCTGGCGCAGGCTACGACCATACAGCTTCTGCATGTGAGGACGTTCCACAAACTGAATAAAGGCCAGGCTCAGGATGTGACTGAGGAGAGCCAGGAAGGTAATGGCTCCACTGCTTGTAATCAGCACCGCGCCCCAGACACCAGCCAGACCCAAGACGCGTTCTGGGTTGTTCAAGAAGCGATAGATGCCATCATAGCTCAGCTTCAGCGATTCATCGAAGAAGAAATCACCATAAAACCAGCCGAATTCGCCCAGAGTGTCGTAGATGCTGACCGAAGTCCAAATCTGCAGGCAGATTAATCCTGCTCCCAGGACATGCCGGAACAGCACCAGTCCATAGCCCCAGTCGGCAGGGACGGTATACATCTTCCAGACAGCAGCGATGAAGCTGGCGTAGCACATGATCATGCTGAGATGGTAAGTACCCTTCCACTGGTTCCAGGCTTCCACCGGAGTCTCGCCGTACTTGACAAAATGTCTCGTCCATGCCTTGGTATTAGACTGGTTGGTGAGTAAATACCCAATGCCTACAGAGTACCACACTCTCCATGCCATAGCATTAACCACGAAAAGCAGTTGGTACCACGGAGTGGAGGGCGTCAATGCGGTGACTGCAAATACGAGCAACTGGATGAGCATAATCGATGAATCCGTGGTCCTATACAGATCCAGGTTGTGCAACCCGAGAAGATTGTGGACCGATGGCGGCGGCTTAGCCGAATACGATGAAGACGCATTGGGCGACAGGTCATCAGACACCGATGGTGCAGTCGGCGTGTCTGGCCCGATGTTGAGATCCGAGGTGGAGTCGGTTGGTCGCTTTCGGGGCGGAGGCGGATTGTAGGTCTTCTCGATGTGGGGATTCTCGACTAGAACCAGGAAGGCAAATTGGGCTGCATGGGCAAGAATCGAGATGAATAGCACTTTGTAGCTCGCCGCCATCAGCGAGATACCGTAATATCCCGCGTAGCCGACCGAGTACATGGGGTGAGGGGCCATCTCGAAGACACCGTCGAAGGTCAGCTCCTGGTCGATGAGGTAGAAGAAATCTCCCCAGTACCAGGCATAGTCCTTGACTACGCGATGGGCATCTAGTTTGACCCAGAGATTGAACAGCACTAGCACGATGCCCGCAGTCCACCGCAGGATGGTCATGATGCTGCTCTCGTCCTCGGGCTGGTGGCCGCAGGCAATGGCAAACAAGCAGTAGGTCGTGAAGTCACACATCAAGATCACATCGACCAGACGCCGAAAGACAAGCCAGGTATTGTATTCAATTGGTGCTTTTTCGAACGAGTAATCGTGCGGGATCTTGGTCTCCAGTTCCCGCTTGATCAAACGGTACAGACTCGGGTGTGGATTATCGCCGGTGGCTGGGTTGACAAAGATCTTGGTCTTCTTGGCCCATCGGATCAGCGTCTTGTGGTGCGACTGGTTGTGTAGCAACCATCCAATCCCTGCGTTGTAGGCCGCGCGCCAGAAGAGATACATGACGGCTGTGGCGGGGATCTTGAGACCCGTGGGGAGCAGCCAGACCAGCAAGATATGGCCTGTCAACAAGGCCAGCACCGCGAGATCGGACAGGTTCTTTGGCTCGGAAGGCGAGAGCAGCTGGGAGACCATGTCGTGGGTCTGCGGCACGGTGAACACTGTGTCGGGCGCATTCAGGTTAGCATGACTTCCAGAGAACACAAGACCTCGACAAATGCAATTGCGACCGAAAGAAACGCGCCATACCTGTCCCATCGGGGGTTCTGCCAAAGGTCTTCAGCTCTTGGCCGAACTTGTCAGTGAACTCCACTTCGCCAGAGGACACGAGAGCATCGCGCCCTGTTGAATCGGGACGTGATACCCGCTCCCGCAGCCCGTCATGGGTCTGCTGGGTACCTGTTGAGAGGCCGTGGTCCATGATGTGGTGAGGCGAAGAAGGAACGGGAAAAAGAGGAAGACGCGGAAGTGGCAGTTGGCATGTGACGGGGGACCATGTGACTTGGGAAATCTATTGTGTTAGTTGAGGGTGTCTTCTGTCAACCTGTGGTTGTTAGAGAGAAGTCTCCAGTATTTATGACATATGGGGACATGAATGGGCCTTGGTTCGAGTGGAGTCCATCCGAAGGGAGCAGAACTGCACCGAAAAGTCAACAGACACACTTGTCCTGTCCCTATTATCCTGGCGGGGCTACTCGCTGATCCACACACCCCGACACGGAGAATCCGCACTTGCCGCTGGTCCCCGTCAAAAACTTCACTAACGTGCAGATGCGCGCGCATTGAGATCGTGTCTGCATGAAGCAGGGATCCATGATTGGGTCGAGTGTTGACATCATCCCTGCTGGACTGGGGGATGGCGAACCAGAGCTCGGCGTTGCGGGTGGGAACAATCACCGTGGATGCCAGGGCATCCCGAGATTCATAATGAATACTGCTAATGCAACGCCTAGTTAGTCGGCTAAAGCATTGCTGGTCGCGCAGCCAGTGAGATGGGTGAGATCCTGCATGGACCTCTCTGGCATCGCCGGAAAATCAAGATTCGGCACGGTGTCTGTCTGCCCAGAGGCACAGTTCCGGCGGTCCATTGGGCTGGAGGCCTTTGCCTGCACGTCATGCTTCACTGGACATTATTTCCTGTCGCTCCAATGCTCTCACTAAAGATCCATATTCCCCCACTTGATATGCTTAGATTGGTCAGCCCGGGCCTTTCCGCAAGAGAAGGTGTACTTTGCTATTGTTCACGTATAGATCATGCTTGTAAACAATCATATTATTCCTACTGTAGGTCTGCGAATAACACTCCTTAGTTTAGGTAAATTATTGTCTCCTCGAGCCGAATCGGTGATCAGCGCCACAAAAGTCATGCCCTGACGAAGATCGGCGGAGTACACGTCCATAAATATATACTCCCGTAGTATAACGCAGAATTGTAGTACTAGACAGTAGCGAGACCGAATCCTGTCGTTAACACCTTCATCTATAAATTCTCAAGTAGTTCTCCATATACTTCATTGTTCCTGTATACACGGAACCCCCACCCAATCGCCACCCGCGGGTTAGTCATGGTCACCTGATTATCAATCACTTCTCCGCCACTGACTCTTTTTCTTCTTCACTCACTCACCATGGCACCCTATGTGGAAGAGCCCCCGGCGGTATCGCTGGATGTGCCATCCAAGATGGCACCGAACCTTGTCGCCCCCGAGCCTGGTAAATGCACCTCCCAACTCACCGATCCAACCCCGCTAACAAATCCCCCAGAACACTGTCCCGGCCCCGAATCCGAACAAGCCGGTCAAGGCGATGCCTGCGCAGGCTGCCCTAACCAGCAAATCTGTGCATCTGCACCAAAAGGCCCCGACCCCGACATTCCAATCATCACGGAACGGCTCTCTTCGATCCGACATAAGATCCTGGTCCTCTCCGGCAAAGGCGGGGTGGGCAAATCCACCTTTTCCACGCTGCTATCACACGCATTTGCCGCCAACCCGGAGTCAACGGTGGGAATCATGGATACCGACATTTGCGGACCCTCGATTCCGAAGATGATGGGCGTGGAGTCCGAAACCATTCACGTGAGCAACGCAGGATGGAGTCCCGTCTGGGTAACAGACAACCTGGGTGCAATGAGTGTGCAGTTCATGCTACCCAACCGCGATGACGCGGTTATCTGGCGCGGGCCCAAGAAAAACGGCCTGATCAAGCAGTTCCTTAAGGACGTCGATTGGGGCGAGCTTGACTATCTGATTGTTGATACCCCGCCCGGCACCTCGGACGAACACCTGTCAGTCAACTCGCTGCTCAAGGAGTCTGGCGTCGATGGCGCGGTGGTTGTTACTACCCCGCAAGAAGTGTCGTTGCTCGACGTCCGCAAGGAGGTAGATTTCTGTCGCAAGGCGGGCATCCGCGTCCTGGGTCTCGTGGAGAACATGTCCGGGTTTGTCTGCCCGAACTGCACACACGAGTCACAGATCTTCCGCGCGACAACTGGCGGTGGTAGACGTCTTGCCAAGAAGATGGGCATCCCTTTCCTTGGTGCTGTCCCGCTTGATCCGCGCGTCGGCATGTCCTGTGACTTCGGAGAGAGTTTCATTGATAACTTTCCAGATAGCCCTGCCTCCAAGGCGATTAAGCGGGTTGTGCGCGCTGTTGGTGAAGCTGTTGGCGAGAAGGCTGATGATGTTTTGCCGGAGGATATGATTGCCTGATTCACGGGGTTTCAACTGTTGTCTTTTCAGCGTGGGATATTCTTTTTTTGGAAGTGGCTACCATTCCCTTCCTATCGGCGCTTTGTTTTGAGGGCATAGATTTCAACTGGGATACCATGGTTTGATTGAGATGGCTTACGACTTTCAACGTTACATAGCTTAGATACATTTGAATGAAATTTGTCTATACCTACCAGTTTTCCTCTGGCTGTTTCTTTCTGATCTGCGGCCGCTTGTATGCGAGCGCTCGGCTAGAGTATCACGGGCCCTGTCTAATAATAGGTCGAAGTATCAGTCTGTAGATGACTACACACGGGCTGTATGCAGGGTCTATACCCTTGTTAATTTAAGCGCCGAAGTGTGCTGGCAGCGCAGAAGCAGTGGGACTAGGGCTTTTTATACACGCGGGGATTGGATCACAATTGACGCCGCCAATCTAAACCCTGTCAGTCCAACGGCGGCTAAGAAACGAAGGATCTATCAACTCTACAAGGCCAAGATCATTTCCCTTGATGGTAAAGCTCGGCTCAAATCCCTACACTTTCAAGCCTCATCGGACAACCGCTGTTTCATCAACATGCTAGATCAAATGGTTGCCGCCGCGGCGGCTGTAAGGCAGACAAAAGGGTCTTGCGCCAATTCATAGTCCAGAAATAATAAATTGAGCCTCCCACAAGACAGAGTCAAATCGAAATTTTTTAATGAGTAGCAGCTTCTGCTCCATGTTGCCAAAAAAAAGCTTATCTCGCACCCTCTCTCGACTCGTCATACTCTTCCTTCGTTTCTGGAAGCAGATTTCCGCCGCGCAGCATGAACCTCAAACTGAATCGGGTGTACGGTACACTTTCATTCCGGTCACCAGAAAATAAAGCACCTGAAATATCTGGCTGGCGACCTTCATACCTCCGAAAGAGGGTACTGGTTGCATTTGCGATTTGTTTTGTTGGAATGATAGCGGCCCTAGAAGCACTCTACCAAGTATCCTCAGCCAATTCCGGAATCACGTCTTCCATTCAAAGCCGCCGCTACAGCTGGACGTACGGGCCCACTGCTATTCTAACGGTCGTGGCCGCTTTCTGGTCGCGAGTTGAGTTTCAGGCCAAGCAAATCGCTCCATGGCAGTCAATGCTCAAAGGGCCCGAAAAGCCCCAGAAAAGCGTTCTCTTGGACTACATCTCCGAAATGCAGCCCGTTTCCTTGTTCAAAGCCGCCAGGAATAAACACTTTGGCGTAGCTGCTGGTGTCGCATGCTCGATGCTTCTGCGTACACTCATCGTCTTCTCAACCGGCCTGTTCAGCCTGCAGCAGGTTCAGATTTTGAAGAAAGATTTTCCAATCCAGGTGCAGGGCTCTATTAACTCGTTAAATTCTTCCATGCTTGCTGCTGCCACGATTCAGCCATTCGATATCATCAATGGCATTGTCTTTGAAAATGTCTCCTACCCCGTCGGTACCACGGCGAACTTTACATTTCCGACCTTCTCTGTCTCTAACTTTTCTGCCGACGCCACTATCACTGCAAATATTAGGGGACTAGCGGCAGATCTGGATTGTGAACCTGCCGATTTTGACGTTAAGCGTTGGGTGGAGAACATACCCAAATCTGAACCTAACCCACTGAAACTCAGTCCATCTAGCTTTGCTTACACCCTGCCATCGATTTATGACAACCAGTTGTACACGCCATCTTGCAGGATATCCAATGTGACTATCAATATACCAACAATTGGAGGCAGTCTCATCAGTGATCCAACAGTTAAAGACAGTATCCATCCCCGCTATGTGGGAAAATTAGCATTTGGACGGTGCGATGGCATGAACAGCTCATATGGAAACCGCATTATCATGATCCTAGCTGAAGCTCATCTCAGCTTGTCTGCAAATTCTGCGGATATGTCTGATTTTGGGAATCATATCACCTCGAACATTATTCTGAAACGCTCGGTTCAGATGATCTGCAAACCCACACTCTCCATCCTTACTCTTCAAGCCAGAGCCAGCACAAGCAACAAATTTTCAACTGTGGATCTTACAGAGATAGAAAGGAAGGATTTCAACACCTTACCTAGTCTGACAGCTTGGGACATTGCGAGAAATATACTGGCAGTCACAGCACCCCACGACAATCTTGAACCTATTGAATACCATGATCCCTTTTTTGACGACTCCAGAGAAACAATGAATGTCGACTGGCCATTGAGGATTGCTGTTTGGTTAGCGGGTGCAGCTGGAAACATTAACAACATCTTCAAAGCCGGTGTGCTGCACGATGGAGTTTCATCGTATTATCGCACAATGGCTGCCCAGCTTGTTCATATAGGACTAGAGCAGCAAAACGAATTGACGATGAACGGCTCTGCTGTTACCAATGAGAATCGAGTCATGATGAACCAGCTGCCACTTCGCGTGATTCAGGCTTTCTTAGCAATTGGTATCCTCCTGGCGGGTGTGATAATTACGCTGGTTTCACGAGACACGCTGATTCCTTGGAATCCGAATCATATTTCAGCAATTGCAGCAATCATGGCCAAAAGCAAAGCATTTCGTGAGTCCCTTTACGGGAGTAGCACAGCATCACTCGAAGTTCTTGCTGAACGCCTGGGAGGACGGCGCTATTACTCAGAGCATGCGGCAGAATATCTCTCTATAGCCGCAGTGGACGATACGTCTAATGACCGAACCAAAAAGGGCGGTCGCTTCTTTGAACCTACGGACAGTGTCCAAGAGTGGAAGCCATTTCCCAACCTTATCGTTCGCATCGTTGCCTTTATCACAGTGGCAATGATCATTGCCGCTCTAGAGATTGGATTACATCTCTCAGAGAGAAACAGAGGATTAGGAGGTGCCTCTCCTACTGAAACGGTGCATTACCTGTGGACTATGTTACCTGCCTTAATAATGGTAATCATCGGCCTTTTCTTCACAAGCATGGACTTCAACACTCGCTGCCTGGCCCCATACGCACGCCTCAAACATCGCACTGGTGCAGCATTCAAGCAGTTCATGGCAGTCACCTTCCTCGACTCGCTTGCTACAATCAACATTTTAAATTCAATTCACCTCAGATATTTCGCTGTTCTAGCTACCACGCTAGCTACTATCATAAGCTCGTTCTTGACGATTGTTACTAGCGGCCTATATTCCACCGTCAACGTGCCTCTACACATTAGCACGAATCTCACGCAAGGAACGACCTTTTTCGGAACATACAAGGTCAGCCATATTAACTGGCCTTATAAAAATTACTGGCCTTACATATCTGAGTTTTCCCCTTACTCATCGAAAAATGGTTCTGATACCTATGATGGGATTGTGGTTGCCAAATACATCGTTCGAGACAATCTTCCCTTCCCGCATTGGACCTACGATGACCTTGCCTTCCCCGAGCTCTTGATAAATATAACATCGAATGACAAGTTATTCGATGGACAATTTGTGGATATCCGAGTTCCGGCCATGAGAGCTACCTTGATATGCCGTCTACAAACAGGCGCTGAGCTTGAGGGCTCGTACGCATATCATGAACTGTCCCTTACACCGCCTAGTGCGCTCTGTGATCTCAATGGAACCGGCTTGGGCTTGTCAGCAGCTTCCGGTTATTTTGAAATTTCGGGGATCAACAAGAACACCACAGTCTTTGGCAAAGTATTCAGCAACCCTTGTCAGAGTGACAGTACCGAGACTTCGACCTCCACCGGCTCTGCTACAGTCAAGATCAGTGACCGCTCAATACACTATGTCTGGGGTTCACTTGCCAACAACGCAATTGAACATATCGCCTCCTTGACGTGCGGTGAATCTGCGGAGATGGTGGACACCCAGACACGCTTTCAATTGCCTGAGTTCAATGTTGTCGACGATCACCCCCCAGTCCCAGATGAAAGCTCAGCCAGGCCAGCCGAGAAATTCACCGAACCGCCTGATTGGGCCGGCCTGGACTATAATAATGTACCGCTGGACAGCTTCTTCCAGACGCTTTTGGACGGTAAATTCGCGATTTCCGAAGAGGATCTTGGCCTTGCGGACAGGAATGAGAAAGTCATACAGGCAATCAAGAAACAGCACAAGATCTATAAAGCACAACTTTTCAACCGTTGCAATCGCATCTCGACGAATGGTACGTTGGATAATTCTCCACTGCTTGGAAATATCACTACGGCCGGTCGCCTGAGACTAGTCCAAGATGCAGTCTCCACGCGGGTCTTAGAGGCCTTTCTCGCCACCATGCTGGCCTTAGGGATCCTTGGTTCCGTGTTGATGAACACAGATCACATTCTGCCGAAGAATCCGTGCAGCATCGCGGCAGTGGCAAGTCTCTTAGCAGACTCCAATTTCCTGTATCAGTATGAGCAGTATGTGGGAAACCCGAATGATAAATCAGTAGGTGAGGCTTTGTTTGAGCATTGCCGGTTTTTCCTTGGTTGGGGCGATGATGAGTCCTTGAATAAGTCAAACAGTGACAAGTTTACGATAAATCGTATTGAATACGTCGGTGAGAAGGATATACCGGAAGGGTGGATTTGAAAAGGATGAAAAAGATGTGCATATGATTGGTCTGGTTTGAAGAGCGAAGTAGTTAATGATTAAATGACTTATTAAAAAAGGTTTACGAACTGGAGGTATTGGTGGCTGTTGGGTAGTTCCGCCTACTGGATTGTGATGCCACACGATAGGGCAAGGCTAACACCAATCGGCATAGATATTAAGAGTTTAGCCGGGTGTCCGGCTCATTCACCTTGAAAAGGTTAATTAGGGCTAGCCAGGACCAGGAAGGAATCAAGCTAGTGGATGCTTGGTATGCTTGATTTTTTTCCCTACAGGTGCCAGCTGTCTTTACCTGGAACTGGAAGTGTCTTAGCCAGTGTTTCCTGTTGCTGACTGCAGTTTCAGGAGCGAGTAGAGCATTGGCCGCGTACCCGCCCATCATGAAACGCCGAACCCCTAATATTGGCGATACACAGAGCTCCGTTACCATTGCTCCACCTACCCCGGCATTCGCTCCACATACAAAGGAAATGGCCAATAATAGGCTGCAACTTTGCACAGAGCAAAGTCAGCGAGGTAGATCAGAATCACCCGTCCCCTGAAGTGGAGGAATGACGAAGGCAGAGTGGGGGTCCGTCTCCGCTATTCAGGGGGCTTGAAGAAAGTATAGATCTACGTAGGCCGTGTTATTGTTGCGACGTGATTTCGCTTTGTGTATATTATAAATGGAAAATCAATGCCCCTGACTTTCATTCGAACGCGACAGTCTTTCATTCTTTGACTCGGGGTTGGATTCTACACGTTCTTTGTGATCTTACATCGTCATTCATTGAAACATCAACACATCTTTTGACCTCTTCGAAAAATAAAAGCTAGGCTCTGGAAGCTGGCTTTACATTTTTGCTTTTTCTGACCCCCAGAACTGGCCCTATAAGTTTTTTTTTTTTTTACCACCGAAGTCGAGACATCGAACTGAAAATGTATTCTCTCATTATATTTCTATTCCTTTGCCTGAGCTACAGCACTCTCTCGGCACCCATTTCCAAGCAGCAAGGCAGGTCCTTCCAGATTGAACGATTCAGGCGCAGCGACTATGTCGCGCATGGCCCGACAGCACTGCGGAAAGCATACAGGAAATATGGCATGCCGATGAACTCCAATACGCCCAATCCGTCCTACCAGGCGAGCTCAAAGTCGGAGACGGAGACGGATGAAATGGGAGAAATCAGAGCGACCCTCGTGCAGGGCGGTAGTGAGTATGTATCGCCGGTTGTTATTGGAGGACAGACTTTCAATATGGATTTCGATACTGGGTCTTCAACCATGTAGGTTTCTACTTCCAGTTTAGGGAAATCAAATCGCTGAATTGCTTGCAGGTGGGTGATGAACAAGAACACCACACAAATTCAATCCGGTCGGAAGGTATACGCCCCAGATCAGTCCGAAAACTTCGAGCTACTCCCAAACTGCTCTTTCACGGACGTTTACGGAGACGATTCCAGTAACTATGGGGCTGTCGGCAAAGACACAGTCTCAATTGGGGGCCTTAGCGTGACAGACCAAGTCTTCGGACTACCGACAGAAGTCTCTCCTCAGTTCAAGGACGACCCCAGTTCCGACGGACTCGTTGGCCTGGCCTTTGAATCTATCAACACTATCCAGCCAGGCCGCCACAAGACATTCTTCGACAACGTGGAGCCTCAGCTCGAGGAGCCCGTCCTGACCGCACTGCTGCGCGAGGACGGCGTGAGCGAGTACGAGTTCGGCAAGATTGATCACTCCAAATACACCGGCACACTGGCGAACATCAGCGTTGACTCGTCGAGGGGATATTGGGAGTTCAACGTAGGCACATTTAAAGCCGGAGATGTTGAGCTAAGCAACAGCGCGACAACCAAGGCAATCGCTGATACGGGCACTTCTCTTCTGCTGGCTAGTCCTGACATTGTCAGCGCGTACTATCAGCAGGTTCGGGGGTCGTGGTTCACGAACTCTGGTTACGGATATGTCTTTCCTTGCACAGCGGATCTGCCCGATCTGCATGTCACCTTGGGAGATAATTTCCCAGTAACTGTTCCGGGGGCAATGTTCAACTACAGTCCCGCTCCATTTACTACGTCTGCCGGTGAACCAGGTAAGTCCTTCTTATAACCCTACCTACTTTCTTTTGGCAAGGCCGGGACTGATGGCAATTCCAGTATGCGTTGGCGGCCTCCAGGTAAGCACCGCTGGGTTTCAGATCTTTGGCGACCTGTTTCTCAGAAACTTTTACGTGGTCTTTGATAAACGGGGCCCGTCTCTTGGGTTTGCGTCGCCGAAATGAGCAGGGCTTGTATACGTCTGTCTCATATGAAATATGTGGGACATTGTTTATAAACAGCATAGGAAGTTCTTTCAACGTACGGCCAATTATACGAAACACTTTCTTGTGACTAGCGTTTTAGATTTTCATATTCTCATGGGTATGCGCTAAGACCAATTTTTGATTACCGCACTGTGGCATTCTTCAGACTCTTCACAGTACAGATAACTCCAGAGGCGGTAACCAGCTTTCCGAGGGCGGGCTTGCCCTCTTGGCCCTGCACAGAGGGAACAGCAGTGCTGTCGAAAGCAACCTCGAGGGTGTCGGTCGTAGTGAAACCAGGCTGGAAAGTCTCCCAAACCTTCTTCTTTGGGTTCAGCACCTTCTCGGGCTCGCCCTCGCTCCAGCCCTGGAAGGTCACGCGCTCACCAGCCGGGGCATCGGTAGGCGGGTTGACAAGCTCGACGGGACCGCCGTGGGAGTCCTCGCCTTCTGCAACGCGCGGAGATGCGGCCAGCACCATGGCGGCGGACTTGATGCCGCGCATGGTCACGGGTTTCAAATTGCAGACGGCCACGATCTTGCGGCCCTGCATCTCCTCCAGCGGGATGAGGCCATTCAGACCGGAGCACACGGTCCGCACCGTCTTGCCGGTCTCTTCGTCCAGGGACGTGTTATCGGTTCCCGGGGCGTCGCCGCAGTCAATGGTAGAGACGTACAGGGAGTCGGCGTTGGGGTGGTTGATAGCACGGAGAATGTGGCCGACACGTAGGTCGATCATCGAAGGAGACGGCGGGGCCGCAGGTGCTGGTGGAGGCTTGGGCTGCTTCTCTTTCTTTTCCTTCTTCTCCTTCTTGTTGGTCTTGGGCGGAGCTCCCGCAGCATCCGCGGGCTGCTCCGGCTGCTCGGGCTTGCCCTGGCCGACAACGAGCGGCTTGGTGCCTTGGGCGGCAGAGTCTGGGTTCTGAGCATTGGCCTTCTCGCGCTTCTTGCGCTCCTTCTCTTCCTTGGGATCGACTGGCTTCGGCACGAACTTGACATCGTTCACGTCGATTTTGATTTTCTCTTCGTCGGGGATCTGCAGAGCGAACAGCCGCGAGTTCTGCACGAAATCGACATGTCGCACAATGTGATGGTATCCATGTTCGCCGGTGCGCTGCTCAGGCGACCATTTCTCCACCATGGGCGCCACGAGAGCATACACGGCAATGTCGGCGACCGAGGGCTTCGAGCCGAGCAAGGTGGTGCGGGTGGCCAGGTGATTGTTGAACTGGGCCAAGATGGTCTCGATGAGGGACTTCTCACCCTTGACCACGGCAGAATTCAGGCCCGAGACGGCGTTCAGCCACTGCTTGATGTCGGCGCCCTCGGTCTCGCCGAAGTTGACCTTCGGGAAGATCTTGGGCGAGGCATGCAGGTAGTCGGGCTCGGTGGCATCGGGGGAGATGGCGGCCGGGTACGAGCGGTACAGGAGGGAGAGGAGAGAGGACTGGGGGGCTGCGGCCGTCGCCATGTTGCGTGCGTGGAGGGGGAAGCGGAAGGATGAAGAAGAAAAAAATGGAGGGGCGCGCGATAAAAGGACCCGCGGGGTAGCCCGTACGGAAGGCCGCAGCAGCTGGGGGAGCGACAACTTGGCTGGGATCCCAGACGCTGGGATGGGACGGTAGGAAGGTAAGGAGGGAGGGAGTTTTCAATTGATCGAGGCAGTCATAAACCAGGGTGACTCTTGCTGTCCTCTACCTAGGGCTTTTCTTGCGATCTGCAGGCTGACTCAGCGTGGCTGGTTTGCCCTAAGAGGAACTATAACTACAGACAGTAAACAGCACAATTAGATGAGGACTAAAATGGTTGAACGGATATCTATAGACGGTGACGATGCGACCCTTTCTAGGTATTGTTGATGGGGATTCATTCTGACTGGGTTTTTCAAATCAAGATGCATTTTCAGACGACATCAATCCACGACTTCTCGTCCTCGCTCCACCTCCCATTGCCCATTGGTGACAACAATTGTCCTGGTTGTTCATCCTTCCTTCGCGCTCAGATCAGACCCCTTTTAGAGGGAGTTTCACCTGAATAAGTGGTCGAATAAGCACCCGTCGTGCTGTAATTCCCGTTCTATCAGCTAGATCCGGGTTGGCCCCGGCGCGGAGCAGCATTTTGGTCATGAGCACATGGCCATTCTTGGCGGCTTGCAGCAAAGCGGTCATCCCCGTCTCAGTCTGCTGGTTCGGGTTGACCAGGCCGGATTCCAGGAGTAGCTTCACAGTGTCAAAGTCGTAGCGTCGCACAGCCAGGAGTAAAGGAAGCTTGTCTCGCGCGCCGGCATTGGGGTTCACTTTCTCGGACTGGAGAAGCCGGCGAGCCACGCTGAAGTTCTTCGACTCGACGGCGCAATACAGTGCTGTCCTTCCGCTGGAGTCACAGGCATTGGCTTCAATGAGTGGGCTTTCCAACAACTTCTCCACGAAGCCTTGGGCATACGGTTCACACCGAGCCCGTGCCGCGAAGTGCAATGCCGTCTGGCCAAAGTTGTCTATCGCGTTGATCTTGATGGCGGGGGCCGAGAGAAGTGCATCGATCAAGTCTTCGTCACCACATGTCCAGGCTGCGGTGTGAAGAGGAGTGTGGTTCCGGGAATTTCTCGCATTGGGGTTGGCACCGGCCTTTAATAAAAGCTTGACGACGTCGGGCTCACAGAGGGCGCATGCCAGATGAAGAGCAGTGATTTTGCCTTCTGATCTACCGTTGGGGTCAGCCCCATACTTCAGCAATGTCCCAACGTTCTTGGTGGCAACCTCCGATTGACCAATAGGTTTTTTCTGCATCTCCCAAAACTCAGTCGTCACTGGTGCGGCGCGTCCGATTTCAAAAAGCTTGTCGACAGTGACATCGCATTTGCCCCGGATCGCGAACCAGAGCATTGTCCAACGATTGTTGTAGAGTTTGTTGGAATCGGCTCCCATCCGGAGGAGTGCTTCGACAGAAGGCGGTTTGATGAAATGAAGTGGATACTGCGGAACAGACTGGAGTCGAGTGACAAAGGTTTCGACGATGTTGGTGTTGAGGTAATGTGCGGCTGCGCCGCCCTTGGACACGAGATGGTTGATCACATTGATGCTTTCCTTCTGGATGGCCAAGTAGAGCGGGCAGATTTCTCCTGGGACTTGTTCCAAAGGATCTGTGCCCGTGTCGAACACATGCTGCACCGTCGCAATCATGTCATGTTTGAACCCCCAGTGCAGGGCATGGTTGGAGGCGACGGTCTTGCTGCTGACGTAGAGTTCCCCGTTCAGCTGGCTGTGCAAGCGGCGGGTGGTTCGAATGAGGGCATTGAAGTCTCTCAGAGACAAACCTTGGACGATAACGAGAATCACCTCAATGGGCAGATCCGGGAGAGACCTAAGTTTCGGTTTCCATGTGATGAAGGTGTCGCTCTGGGAAAGACACTTGGTACCTGCGAGGAATCGTTGGATCGCCTTTCGGACGTTTTCATTGTCCGTCTTCCACTCAGGAGGAAACCAACACCGGCTCTTCCCGCGCGAAGCCCCGATGGCCGTATATTTGGATGTGAGAAAATTGACTATGTGTCTCGCCTCACCCAAGGATACGGGGCTTTCGAGAGTTGGATGTCCATCATAAGCTCGGAGCCAAAATGCCATCTTCCGCACCCTCAGGGGAAGGTCAGATACGCTAGGCCCAATTGGAGTCGCCATGTTGTGAGAGAGAAGGGTGGGAGTAGAGAGACAAGAGAAGGAAAGAGGAGAAGGGGAAGAGAAGAGGAAAAGGAAGAAGAGCCACTGGCCAGAGGAAGGTGACAGTGAGTAGGTTGGAAGGAAGGTGCAAGACGAAAGGAGCAGAGAAAAGAGCGAGAGCGACTCGGGGAGAAGAGAGGAAACGAGAGTCACTGGGAGGGAAACACTCACTGACAAGGACAATGGCAGTGTTCTGTCGAGTGCCAAACATTGCCATGAAACAAGCATGCTCGAGAAATAAGCTTATTAGTAGCCACACGCACGTTAACCACCAGATACTTATCCTTACTGGAAATCCGCATCGCTCGGTTCTTGATTTACATCTTACACGCACTGGAAACGGATATGAATAGCACTGGGAATTTGATTTTCAAGTCATCATCTAAGCCTGCTCACGAGCAACCCTAGCGCTTCTGAGAGCTAAGAAGCCCTCTCAGCGCATCCGTCTCACCCTCCAGCTTCGACACCCGCAGCTTTAACTCGTCCCGTTCCCGTCGCACGCTCGCCAACTCATCTTCAAGAGTCTTCATCCGGTCAACACGCCTCTGCCGACATCGCCGGGCAGCGAGGGTGTTCAACCGACGTTTCTCGACACGAGAAGAATCCACGCGGTTCAATGCCTCGTCACTCTGCGAGGCAGGGCTGGACAAAGAGGGAGTGGCTGATGTTGGAAGTTGAGAAACAGGAGATGGGTGCGAGTTGGTATCTTGGAGGGCATTAGACACGGTGTGGTTCAATTGCCACTAGCAGACCAAACATACCTTGCGAGTGCGTCGAACTGGGATGGTAGGAAGACGACATCAAGCTCTGACTCTCGGGATCCGAGACCGACGGAAGATCAGGCATGAAGGCGTCGTCGGGATTAAGCACGGGCCAGTCGACCGGATAAGGCGTTGGATGAGGGTTGAAAGAAAAAACGTTCCAGTCGCCATCATTAAAAGAAGCAAGTTCCGACTCCGTCCAGGGTTCCGACTCTGGTAAAACGGTATCATCAAACCCAGCCGAAGAAACAGCAGCATATTCAAACTCCAATTGCGCCAGCGAAGAAACAGAAGAAGAACCAGACGACGCAGAAGGAGCCATAAAGTAGTGATTAACGTCATGATGCCAGGGAGATAAGGGAGACCGCTCCGTGAGATCATGGTGGGTTGTTTGGTGACTCGAGCTGAGCAGGCTGGAAGAAGACGGTCGACTGGCGAACCGCCGCGGCGCTGTGGCAAGTGCTGGCGTCCATGACTGGATTTCTTGAGACGGGCCTTGGCAGACCCGTGGATGACTTTCTGATTTAGAACAGGATAGGAGCAAACCGGGACGGCAATTGGCAGTGTCGACTCTGTCACAACGACGAGTCGTGTCCTGAGGAAAAGAAGAAAAGGAGGGCAGCCTCGGTGTGCTTTAAGTAGACACCTGAGACACCTGAGGATGGCACTAGGTTCCCTGCGCCCCCGGAGATCCGGCTTGATTGGTAGTGGCCCCGTTCGGCGGCCCACTCGAATCGCAATCGCTGCAACGTGAGAGGCCGAAGAGCGGAAAGCACTCAGAGTGACTCATTTTAGCGTGCTCCACCATCTCATTCCCCCACCATTGGTTTCGACCGGACTCCGGCGAGCTAGGGGCCCAACCCGATAAGACAGCGGTGCTCGGTGTTGCGCGGGGGCCGGCCATTTCTGCTGGTAGTCTGTCTGCTACTGGAATCAAGTACTACAGCTATCTATGGTCCCTATTCTTATGCGAAGAGCAATCTATTCTCTCTTCAGATCGGACGCCGTGCTCGTCTAACCATCGTGGTAGTCTCTTGGCCAGGGGTACTACAATCAACGAACCCAAACTTTGCGTACAAGCGAATGCCATCCTTACTGGCACTCACATACATGTCCGCTCCTTCGACGTCGGCCAGATCACACCCCCATTGAACAAGCCTAGAAGCAGCCCCTCGACGTTGATAATCCGGATGTGTAGCAACCAGATCCAAAACTGCACCCCCGGAACAATTAGTACAACTACCCAACGCAGAGATAGCGCAGGCTAACATACAGATGTGTCTTTGGTCACCCATAACACGCTTCCTATTGCTCTCACCTCTACTCACAAAAGCCTGGCAATCCTCCTTGGGCATATCATCATGCCACGGCGGATAGCGTAGTCCACGTTCTTCGGGCGTAGACAAGTCCAATTTTGCATAGGCGGCTATGCGCGGTTGGCCGTTGGCGTCTGTGGATCCGGGGTCAACCATTTGTATATAGCGCTGCAACGGCCGCTGAAGTAAATCATAGCGGATCGCATCTTCCAGCCACTTCCGCACACCGGGGGTATTAGGAAACAGGCGTCGGGAATGAGGGTCTGAAAATGCCGCGAACCAAAGGTCCATGAGCGCAGAACTACCCTCGGGGGTGACGGGTTCTAGTTTCAGCGGACTTGAAGCTGCCATTCAGGGAACTATGAAAATCCTCCAGGACGAAGTTTGCCAGACCGTTAGTCCCTATAATCAGTTTTGCCTATGGTCCTCACATGACACAGGCGCGGGTGGATGGTTTGGGACTAGTGACGGTCAATTATAGTAATCCAGTAGCCTTACACTCACTGTTCCCTTGTTAAGTGGAGTAGTAGTATATCGTACCACTACAATAAAAGATTGATTATAATAAGTTTTCTCTTGAGAGAAATAGTGGAGTTGCGCACGCAAAGAGTTCCATTCTGGATTGGCAGGGTTGAAATTTTAAATCGATCTACTCTAGTCAGGGACGAAATCTAAATATGTGGCCAGGTAGTGTGAATCTACTGTGGTCCATGTTTTGTACCAATAAATACATGCAGTGCGGGGGGAAGAATAGACACGCCAAGAGACGGCTTGTTTCCGCAGCTTAGCTGGATTCCGGCAATTCGACTAATGCCACTTTTTGCAACCAACCGCGGCTTACCCCGAGATGGAGCTGCGGGGAGACAGGTTTCTCTCGGGTCTGAATCTCAATGTAGGACAACTGCTTCACAGACTGGCCTGAGACCAGTTTCTCTTCACCCCTACCGTTGACTGTACTTATATTCATCTCTCTCCGACCCCGAGTAAAACCCAAAGTGACGGAAATTAATCCTTAGCCACCATGCGAGCGGTTAGATTCCACGGACGAGAGGATATCCGCGTCGATGAGATTGAGGAGCCGGTGTGCGGCAGCGGTCAGGTCAAGGTATGCCATATCGTAATTTCCTCAAGTCCTCATGCCAAGCGTGAGATTCATCACTGACATTGACGATTAACAAGATCCGGCCTGCCTTTGTAGGAATTTGCGGCAGCGGTTGGTCATCCCTCAACGTGGAAGTAAGCATCTCTAATCCAAGACAGATCTCCACGAGTATCTCGCCGGACCAATGGCCGTGCCTGTTCATCCGCACCCCGTCACCGGGGCAAAGCTCCCCACCACTCTAGGCCATGAATTCAGCGGAACCATTGAAGAAGTTGGTTCCGGAGTGGCTGGGCTGAAGGTCGGTGACAAAGTCGCTGTTAAGCCAAACCTGAGCGATGGGACGTGTCCAAGATGCCAGATTGGCAGAATCAACTGCTGCGATAGTTTAGGTTTCATTGGGTATAGCAGTAGGTTTCCTGCGACTGTCATCTCTAGGAACTCTTAATGTTAACTATATGCAGGTGATGCTGGTGGTCTCTCAGACCATGTAGTAGTGGACAAGAAACATGCGGTTCTCTTACCAGAGTCTATCCCTCTGGATATCGGAGGTAACACCACTTCATAAATTTATAAAGCAATATCCTAATCCAACTATTATAGCTTTGGTCGAACCTCTCGCTGTCGCCTGGCATGCGGTCAGTCGCAGCCCCATTCAGGTTACAGATGCCGTGCTAGTAATCGGAGCAGGGCCTATCGGCTTGGCTGTTGTCCAGGTGCTAAAGGCACGCGGTGTCAAGAACATCATCGTCGCAGAAGTATCCGAGCGACGACGTCTATTTGCCCAAACCCTTGGCGCCACAACGATCCTGAACCCCACTGAAGTGGACGTGTTTGCGCAGGTTCGTGCCCTAACTGGCGATGCAGGTGGGACAGACATTGCCTTTGAATGTTCTGGCGTGCAAGCAGGGCTGGACACAGCCATGGCTAGTATTCGAGTCCGTGGGACTACGGTTATCGTGTCACTGTGGGAAAAGAAGCCTGTCATCGATGCATTCGCTATTGTCCTGTTTGAGAAGCATGTCACGGGAGCCGCGGTGTACGATGACGCAGATTTTAATGCTGTGGTTGAGGCAATTGCTTCGGGTAAGCCGTTCTCTCGTTGAGATAGATCAATCTCGCTAATATGCTGTGAGTCGCAGGCGAAATCAAACCAGCGCCAATGATCACTAGCAAAATCAGCATGCACGAAGTGGTCGAGAAAGGGTTCCGGGCCCTCATCAACGAGAAAGACAAGCATGTCAAGATCTTGATCGATATTAACGCATGATGAGTCTCTCCCAAAAAAGAAATCGACCTAGTGCGTGAGAGACGTCATGCGGGGACGTGAGTTGGTAGAGATTTCAATCTTCAGCGCGGGCGATGTAGAGCATTAGCTCACACTAACAGGCCCATTCTCCTTCCGATTTGTACACTAGTGAACGAGCCTGGGAAAGGTAGAACATTTCCTTACCCATATTCGCTAGTTGAGATCACAAGGAATAATTTGCCATTATCTCAATCTGTAACATCTAATCAAAGTTCATGCTGGGATACTTCTGATAATTCCGTCTTTCCAATCTCCGTAACATCATTGCGACCCCATGCCTGCCGAGAGATATCTCTGGCATTTTGAACCACATGGAAAGGCGACTTGGCGCTACTAAATACCAAATCCAGAGATTCAAGAGTCTGCATACGTGTCTCAGGGAAGAAGAAGTAGACAACTATAGAGTTGGTTAGCATAAGTCGTTCAAGCAGACGCGGTGTATATGTACCAGGTAGTATTAAGCAAAGGTTCAAGACAGCAAAAATGATGAAAAATTTGTAGCCCAGGTTTGCGACACCAATGGGCGTGATCTCAACGACAAGGAAGTTGGAGGCCCAGAGCGTCGTTGAACTCAAGGCGTAGATGGGCACACGGTATGACAAAGGTGCAACCTCGGTGCCGTACAGGTAGTTGACACCCAAAGCACCAATCGAGAAGAAGAAGCCATAGATGAAGACACAGCTTGCGGCAACGATAGCACAAGCCCGGCTCTGTTCCGCGTAAGCAATAGTGGCGGAAAGGAGAATGAAGGTGGCACCCATTCCAACAGAACCAATTATCATCAAGACTCGGCGTCCAAATCTGTCAACGGTATAGAAAGGAACCAGACAGCAGACGATTTGCCACGTGAATACACAAGCGGAGAGGATTCTGGATATCAACGGTGGCAGGCCGACATATTCAGCAAAGATCGTGGTGGTGTAGAATCCGATAACGCCAGCTCCGTTCATTTGCTGGGAAAATGTGGCAAACATGGCCAGAAAGGTTCGATTCAAGAGTCTGTCACCCTTGTTGCGGAAAAGACCAAGAAGGCTTCCCTTGCCCATTTCGGCCAGGGATTCTTGCATTTCCTGAATGTCGGCCGCAACTTCTGGAGAGCCTTCAGGGAGGTCGGCCAGAATAGCCAGGATACGACTGGCTTCTTCCACTCGCCCCTTCTTGACCAGCCAGCGAGGGGAATCTGGGAGGAAAGGGATGCAGATGAGAATCCAAGCAGCAAACAAGATGGGCAGCGCCCATGGGAACCGCCAATTGATGGACCCCTCGGTGAATGAGAGTCCCAGCTCTATCCATTGTGAAATGGCCAAACCGCCGCTGGCAAAGAGTCCCTCAAGGCAGACAAGAGCTCCACGGTGCGCCGCCGGGGAAGATTCCGATTGCCAGACTGGCACCGTAGACGTGATGCATCCGAACCCGATTCCTAATACTAGGCGGCTAACGGGCAGTTGAGCCAATGTAAAGCTGCTTGAAAGGAGAATAGATCCGATCACCGTTACCACAGCTCCGATCATGATGGTTCTAACGCGTCCAAATATATCACCAAGCTTGAGGCAGCAAAGAGATCCTATCATGCATCCGACAGTATAAAGCGCCACGATGGTACCTGTCTAACGTTAGAAACACGTGTTGTATGTAGCAGGAGTGGGTAATCAAGTTTATCTCACCCTGAATGCGTGCGTTCTGCGCCTTCTTAGCTCCCTCCGTGTGCACAGTATCCAAGCTAGGAAACTGTTCCACGAAGGTGTCAAGCTCGAGCAAGCCTCCGGCAGCGGCATTGTTGTAACCTAGCATGAAATAGGACGGCATGACAACCGAGATGATCATCGCACGCACAAGGCTCTTGCCTCGCAGGCCCAAGTAAGGTTTCACCATTACAATGGATATCTTCTCCTTCGGCCGGGGGAGCCTTTGAAAATCGTGTTTGAATGATAGGCAATACTCTAGAACCTGGGGTAATCTGGGGAAGCTGGTGGAGAATTTAATAAAAGAATCGGGTTGAGAATAAACTTCTTGCAAGCTGTTAGGCCCCGGAGACACACCTCCGACGCCTCGACTTTGCCGGGATTCTGGAGTATCATTTCCGGTCACCCCTTATATACATCTCTTGGGGCTAAGGCTGGGGGATATCACAATACATAGTCTCAACCTCCGTCATACAAGGCAATGGCTCTGTGTGATATTATTATCCCTCGTTCAATTTGTCTTGCGAGAAAACCCAAGCACAATGAACTTTATGCTCAGAGTTGGTCTCTTGTGCGATCAAAAAGTTCGCCCGAAAGTCCGAACACATGCGTGCACGCCAACTTCCCCCACATTTCGGCAATGAAGGATTTGCCGGGCAGAAATCCGCATATCGGGCTATTTTGATCGTGTTCAAAGGAGCAGGTTTCATCAATTTTCTGACAGTGACTCTCGAGTGTTTAAGGTAGCGGTTCTCTTCATACAGCAGTTCTCAAGTCTGTCGCTGGGAGTAAATGGGAGTGGTCTGCTTTTAGGAATATATATGCCTTCGCAGGTACCTTTTGTTCAAAGGGGCCACTACTATCGCGCTTCCCTCCCACGGCCATTGATGTCCGAGGGCTGTGCCAAGTATCCCCCTGACTTCCACATCCAAAATGCGTCTATATGCAATTTAGCAATGCTTTTCTGCCAAGCCAGAGGCAAAGGCAATAGCATAACCCGCATAACCGAAAGCCGAACTTGCCGCCGGTTCTGCGACGAAGCTTTACCATTCCTGTAGTCAACGTAATCCACAAGCGAGCCGGGCACCCCAAATAAATGAAAACAGCTAACCGGAAACCACGTGCATCTATTGTGCTATACTCACAGCACTCCACAGTATGTACGATGTAAGTGGATCCGCAGGTTGCTCAGTGAACGAGTCAGTGTGATTCTATAATAATGATCAGGGATCGATTTTAGCGAGCAAAAAGTGGCGAGGGGTGAGCACTAAACGGAAAGGGGAACGAACTGTACCCATGTACCTCGTCAGACGTTCGTCAGACGTGTATATGATCCATCACGCATGAATAATCAACACTTGGATGGATAGCTCCACGAGTACCGATCACGCTAATGGTGTTCGGGGGGCCTTCGGAAATCGTACTCGTCTCCAATGCCAATGTCGATCGATCACTAAGTAAACTCGTCGCATCGTTGGCCTTGCTAGCTTCAAGATGGGAATATCCTGGTTAATCCACTCGTCCCATCCCACCGTGTCAAAAAGTTCTTCAGCGAATGTTCTAATGAGGCGACATTCATTATGGTTTTCTTTTCTTGAGATACTTTCCTACAGGTCACTTGAACCCAGTCCTTCCCTTGGGTTTCCATTTGTCGTTCCAGACTATTGGCTAGGTCGATCGTCTTTGACTTCGAGGATGCATTGAAGGGCCCGTGGAAAGCCCCTGACTTGAACCAAAAAAAAAATACTCTGTTTTCTGTGTTTCTTTCTGATGGACCTGCTCTGCCCGTGATGCGTTTCTAGTCTATCTTGCGTCTACCAGCTCGATACCCATCCCCAACAATCTTGGTTGACGACAATTGAGTACAATGGGAACGCCACTTGCAAGAACGGTCATCATCACAGGAGGAAACGGACGACTGGGTTCCGAGATAGCGATTGCCATTGCGAAAAAGCATCCCTTTGCTCACCTTCTATTGACGGCACGGGATATCCAGGCCGAGGATGTGCGGAAGGTGGCGGGCAGAATCCGTCTGATCGGCCCCAGGTCAGTGGAAGTGGTGCGACTCGACTTGGGGGACCTGGAGTGCGTGCATCGGTTCGCGAAAAGCACCGTCGACCGAGTTCGACTCAAAGAGATCCCACCGGTAGTAAACCTGATCCACTCCGCAGCCATTGCGTCCTATGTCGTCGACAATGTCACCAAAGATGGCCATGATCCGGTCTATCAAACCAACTGTATCGCGCCGTTCTTGCTCACCATCGGTCTGTTGGAGGCATTCCAGGCTGGGGATGGGTCACTCGGAGGAGCCAAGGTGATCAACATCGGGTGCTCTGCAGCATCCGATGGGCAATTGGATTACTTCGACCGTGATCGCAGTCGCGGCCGTCCACCGGGGACTCCACTGAGCGTCAAGGAGGGACATGTTCGCTTTGCAAGCAGCAAGTTAATAGCCAGCGTCGCCATGTATGCGCTGCGACGGAGTTTGGTCTGGGTTAGTAGGATGAGCTGTGTGAGACACATAGAAAGCACGCTGACTGTTCTCCCAGACCGGCAACATCTCACTGGACATCTTCACGCTGGATCCGGGAGGAATGTCGGGTCCCAGTCGGCTCAGGGCCGCAGCTCCCTGGTCGGTCCGAGTCGCGCATCAGACTCGGTCCGGACTGCGGCCGATTCTGTGTCTAGTTTCCCGGAGCGCAATCAACAAGGCCAGTGTTCCGGGCAAGGCGATCGCCAAAGTAGCATTCCACCGTGACACTGTGGAGAACTGGCGCAGGGAACGGTACTATATCCTGGAGAGTGAGTGTGAGGCCGCATCCGTCGTGCCGGCCCTGCGCGACGAGGCGCAGATGGGCAGTTTGCTGGTATCGATGATGCGACAGGTGGAGGGCAATCAGGATTATCATTCTGGTTATAATCATCATAATTGTCGGTAGTCAATACATAGCATTGTCTGTCCCTGAAGAAACAAAGCAAATGTTGCATCCGGCCGCAAGCGGCAGCACCCGGATTCGGCCAGGCGAAACACCGTTATCGATCGATCTGCCACTTCCTCGCTATCTTCAATTCTTCATGATTCCCTTCTTTCCATTTGTTGCTCTGCTCGATCCTTAATCAGAATCCATCCGCCCTTGATCCCTGCATTCCTCACCCCTGTCATGTTCCTCAGCCACCGCCTGAATCGCTGAGCTGAGGAAGATCATCCACAGCGTGGCCTCGCCCTGTTGAACCGGGCGGAACAACGGCCGCTTGCCTGCCCATTGATTGCTTGCTCCGGTCGGCTCGTGCTGCGCCAGAGATGAATAGGTACCACGCCCATCCTAAGGGCTATCCGGCCTACTCTCGCGGGGGCGCCTTCTCCCCGTCGCCCAACCGGTATGTCCTCTGTCTGGTGACAGCTCTCCAGAAAAGCGGCCATTCGCCGCCAAATGGATGCTGTGCAGATCCCATCCCACGGCAATGGCAATCTACGCATACAATTAATCGGTTTCGCGCTAACATGGTTTGTTGTCAGCTTCCAACCTCGCTCCCAACCCGCCCTCCGCCGCCGTCGCCAACTCTTCCAACGACTTTGTCTCCTCGGAGGCGTCACCTTCCTCATCACGATCCTGATCTTCCCCACTTGGCGCGTCGCAGTTCTTCCGACCCTGTCACTCGGCTTGCTCTCCTCCTTCGAAGACTTACAACTCGAGACGGTGCGCTACTATGACCTGTCGAAGGTGCAGGGTACCGAGATGGGATGGGAACGAGGGGAGCGAGTTCTCATGTGCACACCGCTGCGCGATGCCTCGTCGCACCTGCCCATGTTCTTCTCGCATCTCCGCAACCTGACCTACCCACACAATCTCATCGACCTCGCATTTCTGGTGTCGGACTCGCGCGATGACACCCTCGCCATGCTATCCAGCATGCTCCAGGAAATCCAGGATGACCCAGACCCGAAAATGACCTTTGGAGAAATCTCAGTGATCCAAAAGGATTTCGGGCAGAAGGTACAGCAGGATGTGGAGAGCCGGCATGGCTTCGAGGCGCAGGCCAGTCGGCGGAAGTTGATGGCCCAGGCCCGGAATTGGTTGTTGAATGCAACGCTTCGTCCGACACACAGCTGGGTCTACTGGCGAGACGCGGATGTAGAGACGGCTCCCTTTACCATCATCGAGGACTTGATGCGGCACAACAAGGACGTCATTGTACCAAGTGAGTGGTGCCCGTAATCTTTACTTAGATGCGGCTAACTGTCTGTTCAGATGTTTGGCGTCCGCTTCCGGATTGGTTGGGGGGTGAGCAGCCGTATGATCTGAATTCGTGGCAAGAATCGGAGACGGCATTGGCCCTGGCCGAAACCCTCGATGAAGACGCCGTCATTGTAGAGGGATACGCCGAGTATGCGACCTGGCGGCCTCATCTTGCCTACCTCCGCGACCCCTATGGCGACCCGGACATGGAGATGGAGCTGGACGGAATCGGGGGTGTCAGCATTCTGGCCAAAGCCAGAGTATTCCGCGCAGGCGTCCACTTCCCAGCGTTCAGCTTCGAGAAGCATGCGGAGACCGAAGGATTCGGCAAGGTAAGCTTCCCTTTATTCTCGTGCACCACAAATGCTAATCATGACTTTCTTCAGATGGCGAAGCGAATGGGCTTTTCGGTGATCGGACTACCACACTATACGATCTGGCATCTGTATGAGCCCAGTGTGGACGATCTGCGCCACATGGAGGAGATGGAGCTGGAACGACAAGCTCGTGAGCGTGAAGAAAAGGAGCGCGCCCAGCAAAAGGAGAGCGGGCAGTCCAAGGCACAGGATGCGGCGGACACTGTCTATGTTTACAGTGAAGCCGGCAAGGATTCCGAGGAGGGTGTGGCTGCGCAGCCTGCACCATACGTGGGAAAAGATGCTTCCAATGGCCAGGCTAGGTACTAACTGCATCTTCTTTTGGGTTGAAGCCATCTCAAAATGCTCCAGCTGGCTGGACTGCTTTGCACCTCCACCACCTTGGCCAGTAGACTAACTCCGAGATTGGCCAGTGTTGATATTGTGGCTACGGTGTCTACTCTTCGTTTCTTCTCTTGTATATGTTCTTCATTTTCTCGTGTGTTCTTTTTATTTCTGCTCATGGTGTATCACTGCATAGAGGAAAGGCGCAAAGTTGGGGCAGACAAAAGGGTCCTTGTTTCTTTCATTTGCGTTCAACCCAAGGTTAACCATTCATTGCGGCCATTTTCATGGTACCTTGTTTTCTCTTTTTTTTTTTATCTCTATTCTCTAGTTCTCTTCAATATTGTAGCTCGTGTCTATTTATCTTAGAATGCAGCACCACCACAGTTACAGTGAGACTAGTTGCTTCATAATCACTGCGGATAACGCCATAAATAACGAATTGTTGGTGTCTGAGCTCTGCTTTAATTTCAGGGGAAAGCATCGCTCAAAAGACTCGAATCTCTAACAGTCACTGTTTGATGCGTAGTCCCCGTTAAGCCATTAAGCGGTGGTCTGTGCGCACGCGTACCGCGTCTGTCTCTGGCCTCGTTTTCTTCCGCGACACAGCATTATTGGCGCCCCCAACATGTCGACCCAGGACTCGAAGAGCGTGCTCTTCACGCATACCCACCCCCAGCTGGGTTTTAGGTTGCTGGAACTCCCTCCGGACCTGGAGGAACTGCTATCTTCCAAAGATGCTCCCGTGTAAGTCGACCGTGGATGCCACTCGTCCGACTCTCTGCCTTCTGGCTCTGCAATGCCAGAGAGTTAACCGCACAAGGTTGACCTCTTTGTCTAACCCAACTCCAGACTTGAGCTCAAATCCCCCTCCGCCGCGCTCGCCCAAGCAGTCACCACCGACCCCAGCGCCCGTGAATACGTGAACATCTGCACCCCGACAAAAACCTACCGCATCCGCCAAGTCCAGTCCTCCAACTCGCTGCACATCCTCCGTCCAAGTCTTGGGCGCATCTCACGAGCAGATATCAAAGTCGTCGAAGAAGAAGCCGGCGAGAGCGGCGCCCTGAACCTGCCCGACGAGGCTGTGACGTCTATCGCGAAGTGCGGGTCAACGCTGGAATTGCACACCCCTCCGGAGGGATTCTCGGAACTTCCATTCTTAGAGAAAACGCTGCGACTGTACGACCGGCGGAATGAGGATACCGACGATGGTGATGGTGATCTTGAGATGGGAGATGCGTCGCGCGCGACAGCTAGCTTGGGGCCCAAGGAGATGAGGGAGCACATATGTGCTGATATACCCGTGTCCACAGCACAGTGTGAAGAAGGGTGGACGGAGCTCTGTGCATTTGTACATGGGAAGCAACAGCTCGCGGGCTGGAGGCCTTCGGCTAGAGCGCGGTTAAATGTGTGGAAGCGCTTGATGGAGGGTGCGGTCTTGCAAGGCATCGATCTGGAGAAACAATTTCTTGTGGGGGATTTGTGGAAGTCCGTTCTTGACGACGATGAGACGTCGGAACCGCCTTTTCCCCGGCCTCTTCTTGAAGCGGTCGTGCGGAGACTCTGTGTGTCGGATGAACGACCACCATTGGCGGAGGAACTCAAGTGTACGTCTTTTCATCGGGTATTGAGATATGTTGTGGGAAGCTGACCGCCGTATCTATTGTTTAGGGGCAAGCTTTGATAAAATCGAGTGCGCACAATGGGTTGGGGAAACATATCTTGCGGCTATGGCTCCGACGGCGTCTACGGCCATTGGCAGAAGTGACTTTCTCCGCGCGTGGAAAGACTGTTTGCCCGAGTCTTGGAGAGAAGACGCTGTTTTGTCCAAGCTGAGTGTGGGTCATCCGCTCTTCCTACCGACATTCAATGCTAATCATGACTACAGAACGGTTCATACAAGAGCCCGGATCCAACAAGTATACACTTCGTCGAAACGTCACAACGACAGCAACCCAGCAAAGCTGCCGGTGCTGGATCGGCTCCAGCGGCTAGTACCAAAACAACCCGAAACTGGCATGAGTTACTCAAAGCGCAAAAGAGCCGCTGATCGCAGGCCTTCGAGTTGGGGCTGTATTTATGACTTGATGAATACATGGGCCGCCGGAGGCCAATCAAATTCCCCGGAACTGCATTTTATGAACGTTCAAGTCGCTCACTGAGCACTGACTGAGCATCAGTGGTCTCTTACGTGACCTAGTCGGAGCCTGAGCGCCCTCATTAAAGCGGCGGCAGCCCAGATAGGAAAGGGCTCGCCTAGTAGATACGTAGTCGCATATGAGGTGTATATATAAAAGCATGACTGACCAGCACTTGGATGTATATTGGCATGAAAAGCAGAGCAGCAAAAGCCCGAAAATCAGTGTCCCAAAAAGAAATCAGCACCAAGTGTACTTCTCATTCAGCAACCACTCCACATCCTTGCCCAACCCTTGCTCTGCACCAGTCCACCGCAAACTGGAAATACTGCTCTTTTCGCGATGCACAAGCTCGACATCCGGATCCAGCAGAGCCGCCGCTTTCTGCAGCAGTGGCGTGGGATTCCAGAACTCCACAGAACGCAGATTCCACTCCCGCGCCTCCCGCTGAGCCCGCCGCAAGATCGCAGCCATGGCGTGCACAATAACCTCTTCTTCCTTGGGGGATGTGGGGTCATCATACACCCATCGCAGAATATATAGGACGTTGGCGGAGGGATCGTCCCCGAAAACCCGATTCCACGCGCAGTACACGCGCGCCTCGTCATCGCATGCGCCCTTGATGACTGGTGGAGCGTGGTTCGGGAGCATGGCCTCCGTGAAAAACTCCTCTCGCGCCCAGTGCCACACGAAGTGATCGAAGTCGGGCGTGATGGCAATCTTGGCACCTGGCTTTTTCTGCGATTCCGCGCGCATCTGTTCGCGCAGCTTGTTAAGCACCTGGTCGTTGCAAATGTGTGTATACACGTCCTCGGCAAAGAGGTCTCTCGTCTGTGCGCTTCCCGGTACACCGTTTGTGTGGCTGCCCTCCGGAATCGGCTTCAGGGCCATATGCGAGGACATGAATGCCCGCCACCCAAACTGGGCGTAGAAGTTCTTCCCGATATCCGAGAAGAGGATTGTGAAGAGCGCGCGCTTGCGGGGCTCCTTTTCCATCTTCCACGTATCCAGCCGACGGCTCAGCTCCTCGAGCATACGCTTTGCGTAACCCTTCCCCCGGAACTCCGGGCGGCAGTACACACTGCCAATGCCGTGGGTCGCCACGTCTTCAACTTGGCCGTCATACGCCAGCAGGGCCTTTTTGCGGTACGACTCGCACGAGCTGAGGATGGTGCGCTGACCCTCGGGCTGGGTGCGGTCGACGAGGATCCAGCACGTCAGGCCCTCGCGCGTCAGCCGCTGCGAGAAGAGATGGTCCTCTCGCGCAATGTACGTGTTCAGGTCTAGCGGGCCGGCCCATGCGGCGCTGTTCAGCTTGAGGGAGGCGATGCGCTCTTCTGGTGTGGCGGGCACGAGAATCAGATCTGGCGAGTCGCCTGGAGGGAGGGCGGTGACGTCTGCGGCAATCATGTTGCGCTATCTTTCGCGGTTGACGTTATAGCAAATATGTGGATGGATTGGTGGTGTGAATAAATCACTCCTGAGGGCCCCCCACAGCTGAATGAATGCGAATTGAGCTCCCTGGATAGTCGTGGACCAATATTGTGGGAATGTATCCGTGGAGTGGCCAGGAAGTCCCTTGGTTTAAGTATAGGTGTGGAAATAGCCGAAAGCGCCTAGGGTGTGAAGAAAGGACAGAAAAAATCCGGGGTCCAGGGGAGAGAGATAAACGATAACGCCTCGGTAATAGATCGATTATTCGATCTACTTTGCCTCTTCTTTGGTCTGTCTGTCTGCAACTAAGCCCAACACGGGAGATGGTTCCGCCATGATCTAGAATCGAATCATCACTACTTTATATACCCACACTCCGAGCCCTCCGCATCACATTCCGGGCCGGGTGTCTGCATTTCTGGTTTCTCTTTGTCATCGGCCCGCGGACAAGCGACGGCAAGCGATGGAATGGAGTATCTGGATGAGCAGAGCGGCTCAAACGTTGCATTTGCGGTTGACGTAGTGGGCCACGTGATAGGGTTATGTCAGAATCTCTCGCTACCTGCTGTTTTGGGATTAGAGTACCAGACTTCGTTATTGGGACTATATATAGCTCGAGATAATGGGATTGTACAATAATGGCTATTGTTGTCCACGTCACCTAAGAATGAGTTGATTGGTGACCAACAGGCATCCTCTAGGAAGTTCCCCTGCCCATATATGTGGTTCTCTTTCCCAGAACCGAGATTCAATAAGCCAAAGGGGGTGCTGCGCAACGTTAAACGGTTATACCAGCACATTCGAGCAGTATCCCCGCTCTGCTAATGACAGAAGGGCATCCTACAGCTTAAATGATCTCTTCCGTCATTCGCCCTTCAGTGTGCGAAGTTGATTCAAATCAGATAATCGAATGATTGATACTAACAGTCCCCAGTATCGTGGATCTTCTCTCAACAAGCTAAATTCACTCGCTATCTTTCTTGAGAAACTTTGTGGTACTTACGCTGCTGGTATATCTAGCCTCGAGCAAGAACAGGAATGTACTGATCATGCCGTTCTTTCTTTTGTGCGGCATGCATTATTCATTCACTTCTGCTGCATATATCTGATTACCCATACCGAACACCTGATATTAAAGCACGCTTACAATTGCCAAACCGCAACGGCCTGCCATGCATACCAAACCGGACCAGAGCTCGGCTATCCAACTCACGCAGACAGGAAAAGGGACTATTAGGGTGAAATGGGATAGAAGGACACGAGACGAAAGAAAATGAACATGATTGCGACAAGAACACCAAACACCCACGTAAGGAAAGGGCCCGTGATGACGAGGAAAGAGGACAGACGCATGGAAAAGAAATGGTCAGGAGATAATGAGACGAGACTGGGAAACCTACTTGCTAAATA